CTTCTTCTTCTTCTTCTTCTTCTTCTTCTTCTTCTTCTTCTTCTTCTTCTTCTTCTTCTTCTTCTTCTTCTTCTTCTTCTTCTTCTTCTTCTTCTGTAAGATGGGACATTTGGCTTGGCGTAAATGTGCTTCCCATTTCAGTCCGACCCGATTGGCTGATAGTAATGGCTGTAAATTGTTACGGTGTACCTGGATATTGTCGGTGCTGTGAAGGATCAGCCCCCATGTGCGACGATGATGCCAGGTGTTCACTGCTGACCTCTTGGCGGCCTGTTATTGGCAGCACCCGCTCTCAGGGGCTCTAGGTCGCTCTTGGTGGCTTTGGTCGCTATGGCTTGCAGCCTCGGCCTAGTGGCCCTGATTGAGCGGGCTGGTGGGCTATTGGGGGCGCCCGGAGCCTGGCGGTCTATCCATTGGGCACCCGTTGGGCGTGGGCGCCTTAACCGGACTCCGCCATTAGCTTGGTGGAGCCCAAGGTTGAGAGCTCTGAGAGCCCTCGAGCCCCCTGCGCGTTCAACGTGATGTTGCTCCTTTGCCCAATGCGGTCTCTTGTATTTTCTGACACCCACTCCCACTCCCTATTTTTGTCCTATACTCTCCTGACCGCAGAGGACACAACACTCGCTTCTCTTCTTTTCTCCTCTGATCTTTTAATCTTCTGCGTCTTGTTATCCTTCCTCTCCCCCCAGAACGCACGAGGCCTCTGAGATCCCTGTGACTCTGTCGAAGCGAACACCACCGACAAGATGAGCTACAATACTCACGTCCAAAGCAAATTTGCCCACAAGGTGGGCGAGCCTGTCCCAGAATTCAATACTGAGTATGTTCTTTCCTCTCATTTCTTGCCGCTTGAAGTAAAGAGACTAGTCGGTGGCTGTTACTAGATTGCGTGACCTATACCTCAATCCCATATCTTCAGCACTGACCGTCTTTCGTCCAGGTTCCCCGTCCACCCTGGCATTGTCCACTTTCCTATTGCCTTTAACGTCCTTGCCTGGGGCCTTGACATTCTGTACGCCCTTACTGCGGTCTATGTCAAGCCGGACTTCCTCACCACACGTTTTGGCTCCCATTCTACCCTCGTGGACATCACTCGCCTGTCCTACTTCCTCTTGTGCGCGGGCCTAATCACCACTGTGCCCGCCATTATGTCTGGCAACATCCAACTAGTCGGTATGATCAAGAAGAACGGTGGACCGTGGGAAAAGGACGCGCAGGGAAAGCAGAAGAACACAATGGTGCCGCGTATCAAGGCCTGCATCACGCACGCCATCATCAACGATTTGGTGTTTGCGGTCAACCTCTACAGCTGGTACTTGAGGAAGGACAAGGAAGGCGCTGTCAACCTGGGCAAGACTCCCACTCAGACGAACATTATCATAAGCGCCATCTTGCTCCCGGCTTTGATGGCCTCGGCAAAGATTGGTGGCACTCTCGTCTTCAACCACGGCGTTGGCTTGAATCTGGGCCGGAAGAAGTTCGAGTAGGTGGCGCAAGACCTGAAACCCAAGGTGGAGAAGTGGAGCTGGGAGGCACTTTTGGTGACTGAGCCAAAGCGGGGAAGACAGATGGCAGGGAATTAAGGGGAGGGGGAGAAATCTTTTCAGAAGGACGGGCGATGCGGCAACCCCGAGTGAGGTAGCACGCGTGTATGTGGAACAAAATATAGCAAGTGATAAGCAACGTTTTATGAATCTAGGGGGGGGGGGGGGGCCACAGCCTTGCGCGGGAAAATGGGGACATCCTGGAGGAAAATGTAGATTTCTAGAGGTGTTTCGACTTAGTGCGGTTTAATCATACACAGGTTTATGAAGATTTATTGTATTGATGACAGCAGTGATAGCAGCAGTATTAATTCCACAATCTCGTAATACTCATCTCGGCACCGCCAATGACGCAGGTGGGCCACTCTTGCTCTTATACAATCCCCCTCTCCCCAGAAGGGGTGTTATCGAGGTATTCTTCGCATTGCGGAGAGGTATTCCTGTGATCCCAAATTTTTGGCCGACTACTCAAATCCCAAACTTGGGCGGAAGATCACCGATCGATTGATTGATTAATTGAGCGACTGACTCGTGCCTATCAATAGCCGTTTGATAAAGCTTCGCCCATTTTAATGTCCTTGGCGCTGATCACCCAGAAGCGACTTCAACCCTTCCCGCGCCCCTTGGAGCAGCTACATTCCAAGGTCTCCCCGCGCGAGAAGGGCCGCGGCTTGACGAGTCACTCACCGGGGCGCAAAGCGCATGAAATCGAATGCAACGCGACGAGCTGAGTCGGGTTGTTGGGGAATCAATCATTCTTGCGGCGCGGATATATGTGTTGGGGCTTTCAACGAGGTATGCTCTGTTTGGGGGAAATGGATCTGTGACACGCGGGACAAGGGAAGGAAGTCCACGCCATTTATCCCTGTTTCTGCAATCCAAGACATGGCAGTCAGTCCTAACGGCCATAGGTATGTCGCTAGCTCACCGGAGGCCTGAGCGAATCGAGGCTGGTGAGGCTGGTGAGGCTGGTGGTATTAAAGACGGTATATCGGTGGTTGATTGTTTGTTTCGGCCCAGGATCCCCGTCAAAAGCCGTGCGCCATGCCTCGACTGCAACCAATGACTTGGGCCTTTCGCGCGCGGGATCACGAAATCAACTTGCGACTTCCTAGATTCAGGCGGGACGATTCCTTCCGCCATCATTACCCGAGGCGAATATTGATACCGTGACTGGGTGATGGATAGAACGTTACCACAAAATAAAGGAGAGGAAAGGACAGATAAATCCAACCATCTTTCTTTCTTTCTTTCTTTCTTTCTTTGTGCCCGATTGGCAGCCCTTTCCAGCGAGCTGCCGTCCCGCCATGGGAGGCGAAGAAGAGGACGACTTCGCATGCTCTCCGCCTCCGGGCCCTCCTCCGCTGTTATCGGAAGAGCAACTGCTTCATCTCGCGCGGCAGGGCTGGTTATCCTTGCCGCTGCCACAAAATCTGTTGAAGACGGTTGGAAACTTGTTCAAAAGCTCGACACGGTTCTTCGAGCTGACGGAGCGGGAGAAGGCTGAGCTGTATCCCTCTAAGTCGGGAACCGAGTTTGGCTTCTACACGGTCCCCAACGAGAAGGAGTACATCACATTTCGCTGTCGCATTCACACGGGCTACCAGCCAAGATTGTCGTCACCACAACTGCCTCTCGTACAGGACCTTGAGGACAATGCCGCGAGAGCATGGCAAGAAGGAGCGCTTCTGTTGTGGCGCATTCTATGTGATATTACCCGGTGGTCTGATCTAGATCTATCGATATGGAATGACATCCTGGACGGCACCCAGACCATGCCAGAGTCGCGGAAACGACTCCCATACACGCTGCTGCGCGTGTTTCGATACTCGCCAGCCACGGGATTTGCCGAAAAGCATACCGACCTTGGCTTGTTGACCATCTGCATAGGTGACCGTGGCGGTCTTGAAGTCTTGGACCGGCTCAAGTCCACGGATGACAAGCCCGTGTGGATCGACAGCAGGACCGAACCACGTGCGGCGACAATTTTGGTCGGGCAGACACTCAAGGCCTTGTCAAACGGAATGCTGAGTCCCGGGATCCATCGGGTCGTGGAGAATCTCAGCGGCAGGAACAGCGTTGTTTTTGCGCTACGCCATTCGCCAAAGCATGCTGTTGACTTCAGCTTGTTTGGGGGACAAGGCTGTGTCAGCGCAAAGGATTTGTGGAAATTCATCCAGGTCGGCAAGGTCAACATAAACTCCATCAAGGAAAGGAGAGATGCACAGAGAGCTAGACACGAAGCCGAGCGGCTGGCCATGGGGAATCACCAGGGATGGGACGTATGTCGAGGTTGAGACTCTAGGGACGGGAGAGAGTGCACTCATTGAGAAGCTAGACAGACTGAGTGACTTCTCTGACCAGGCTCACAGCCCTTTTCGCAAGTGCTTCCGAATCGGGGGGAAATCTCGCCGACAGGTAATTATAATTCGGATCTTCGACCACAAACCTGCCCCCAGTCAGCATCCAAAAGCGAGGAGCCATCACTCCAAACTTACGGACTGAGAGTCTTGCTGTTCTTGAACTGAGCCCTGTCGCGCAACCTCTTTTTCACGACTTCCTCAACCGAGTCCGTTCCAGCTCCGTAGGTTTTGTAATAGTCATGCAGAAATAGTTTGGTGACGTGATAGATGCTCTCCTCCATGTATGCCGGCAAGGCGGTGGTTACGGCGTCACGCATCACGCTTTTACCGTCACTCGTCGAAGCCATGGCCAATACTTGGACGCCGTGACAGATCGCGGCCAGAGACTTCCGAGATGGCTTTCTGGTCTTGGGGAAATAACTTGCCAGCATCTCATGGACGCGTGCGGAATCCATGATCTGCCGCACGCTCTTCTCGTGGCCGCCGGGGAGGAAGACAAGGTCGTAATCCTCAAGGCTGAATGCCGCATCCTTCCAGGCCAGGGGCTTTTGGAATGCTCTACAAGTGCTGGACAAATCTTGATACGCTCTTTTTGCGGCCTTGTTCGCCCCAAGCAGTGCTCCGGTCCAGCCCGAGAGCATTTTGTCGTCGCATTTTGGTGCGTTGCCATCTTCGGTCGCGAAAGAAACGTCAAATGCAGCATCCTTAAAGACCTTCCACGGAATAGCAGTTTCTAAGTGGTACCGTGAGCAACGAGGACAACTAATCATCTGTCGAGGCTGACCTTACCCGTGGGGTCATGGCCGTAATCCGCCATCAGAAAAATCACCTTCGCTGCCATTGCAAAATTACTCCGTCCAAGGCAAAGCTAGAAGTCCGGTGTCCGCGGGGGTTGGATTCACGCAAAAGGTTGCGAAGAAAGTAGAGGGATGAAGAACTCAAAACTGCCGCGCCCTGGAGCAAAGGCCGGTGAGAAGCGTGCTGAGGTAAAATCGCACATGTCAGTAAACAAGCATCTCGCACATCAGAGAATAGCCTTGACTCAGCTGAAGCCGTGCAGCCGCAGTTCGTATTTGTGTGTCACAAGGCATGATACAGATGCAGGTGGTCGTCCATTTTGTGATTTCTGTCGACCGCAAATGGGATGGAGACATTGCTGCGACGGAGCTGCGAAACGAGGGGATGAGGAGGTCAGGAGGAATGTTCTTCCGATCCGAGCCAACCTCATCGCTTCAGCTCTGAGAGACTTCGTCTCATTCCTCGTATTACAGGCGTCAACTCAAACTCTGCCGTTTCTTGATGGTTCAGCTGCGCCTCTTGGTGCTGCGAGCCATGTCTCTTCTTGCATGATTTTCACATGTCATGGACCGTTGTACAATGCAATGCCGCATTGACATTGGCACTATGGACCACATTTGTGATGCCACACTGGCCCTCCCTGTCCGAGACCATGTTCAACAATGTGCTTACGGATCATCTAGATGACTGCCTTTCACATGCAGGACATGTCTCCGTCCGATGTATATTATATATCTCTTGGGTACTGACAAAGTGAAGAGAGGCTTTGTGATGCTCACGCTTCAATCCCTTTTTCCTTCGAGCTCGTGTGCTCGCATAGTGCCTCGTCATCATGGATCAGGAGTTTCAGAAGGTCTCTGACACAGGCATCGAAAACAAGGCTACTGACGGGTTGAGTGCAAGCGCCACATCTTCGTCAACAGTACCCCTTTCACCTTCTCACCAAGTACCCCCGTATCGAGTTGGCGTTACTGAGCCTGATGGCCCGCTGTCAAAATCTCAGTCTAAACTTGAAGCGAGGGACTACAATGAGGGCAACCGATTTCCACGGATTTCGCGCCCCGTAGAGTTGCTACGCCACACTTACGATGTCGTCGTGATCGGGTCAGGGTATGGTGGCGGTGTTGCGGCATCAAGAATGGCGCGTGCAGGCCAGTCTGTATGCGTCCTCGAACGCGGAAAGGAGAGATGGCGTGGGGTTTTGTATATCTAAGCGCTTCGGACGTCTTCTAACAGTCTTTAGCGGGAGAATATCCCTCTAATCTTGCCGAAGCCACACCTGAAATCAGTGTCTCCGGGCTCTTTGCTCCAGGAGACAACCCGGGTGTACCAGTACAGATCGGCGACCCGACGAAACTTTACCAGCTGGTCATGGGCGCCGGCCAAAATGCATTCGTTGCGAGCGGTCTGTTTTCTCCTGGTGAATCGGATTTCTGGATGCTGACTGCCCTCTTCAAGGTCTCGGAGGAACGAGCCTTTTGAATGCAAACGTCTTTTTAAAGGCGGATCCGGGGGCTATGAGCCTCCCAGAGTGGCCAAAAGAGCTTAGACAGCCTGGTGCTTTGGATGAATGTCCGCAAAATTGATCGGACAGTTAGAGACCTTTCTGCTGACTGCACGAGACAGATTATAAGCGTGCGGGTCATATGCTTCAGCCTGAACAATACCCGGATGACTTCCCGCCGTTGTTGAAGCTCGAGCTGCTGAAGAAACAGGCGGAGCTCCTGGGACTGTCAAAGCACTTCTATCGGGTCCCGCAAACGACGAGGTTCGAGAACGGTCCAAACAATGCAGGTGTTGTAAGTTGCAGCATGCCGGCCCAATGCTTTCGTAACATGGTTCAACTAACACATCTCAAGCAAATGCAAGCTAGCGCACTTACAGGCATGGACAGCACCGGTGTCAATGATGGCAGTAAATCCTCGACCCTTGTCACATACCTAAGCGACGCCTGGAATTGGGGCTCTGAAATGTACGCCATTTATTCATTCACTATTGCCCCGCACTGACCGAGATAGATTTTGCGAATGTGAAGCTCGATACATCAAGAAGCACCCCACACAAGAAGGTTACCTTGTCTTCTTCGCCTGGCACGGCAGCAAACGGAGCCTCTTTAAGCGCAACATCTACAATGATCTCATGTGGGTACATGCGAAGAAGTTTGTTTTCATGGGCGCTGGAGCTCTAGGGACTACCGAGATCCTTCTTCGAAGCAAGGCTCTTGGCATGAAGTTGAGCCCGCGGGTTGGCAAAGACATGAGCGGGAATGGGGATATTCTGGCGTTCGGGTTTGCAGCATCGCAGGATCTTGCTTTTAGAGAGATACTGACAGTCCCAGGTACAACACCAATTGCGAAGCAAACGGTCTTGGTAGAGTTTCTCCAAGTCCCGATAAACCTATTGGGCCCACCATTACAGGAGTGATCGATTGCCGCGAGCAACAGAATCCGCTCGATGGCTTTGTCATTGAAGAGGGTGCCATTACGGAGGCACTCGTTCCGGTACTCCAACAATTGCTGGAATCGTTGCCTGGAAAGATCATCCCTAAACCATATGCCCTCAAAGATCGGCTGATGCACTTCGTCGCCCGTCAGCAGAGCCGAATCTACCCATATGCGTCAATGGGAAGTCTGGAGAAGACTCAAACCTATCTCATCATGTCCCATGACAGTAACCAAGCAGTAATGAAACTGGGAGACAACGACAGGCCCACCTTAACTTTCCTTGGAGTGGGAAGAAGTGACCATGTGCAGTATCTCAATGGAATCCTCGCAAAAGCAACCAACGCTGTAGGCGGGACCTATGTCAATTCCCCCTTCTTCGCAGCACTGGGCGAGCAAGAGGTACAGGATTCCTTGACATTTCTTAAACTGATACTGACGCCCCGCAAGATCACTGTTCATATCATGGGTGGAGCAACAATGTCTAGTGACGGTACCGGTGTCAACGGAGCAGTAGACCAATTTGGTCAGTTATTCAAAGGGCCAGGCAAAGACGTCCACAACGGGATCGTCGTCATGGATGCTGCCATTCTGCCCACTGCTCTTGGTGTCAACCCATTCGCGACTATCACTGCGCTTGCAGAACGATCAGTGGAGGCCGCGGCCAAGCGCGAGAAGTTGACAATTGATCTTGTGACCGAAAATGGTAGGGATTCGACCTAATACTGTATTTGAACATTCGAACATGCTAACCCGCCTGAAGGGACTCTGGACTTGTTTGGAGGACCGGCACATTGGAAGCCGATGAGCAAAGAGCTGTATAAGGCGAATAGAATTGTTCACATGGCGATGGGGTCGGAAGCCGAAGGCATCGAGTTCACAGAAGTGATGGCTGGCTATATCAACACTGAAGATCAAGTCGACACCGGTAGTGCGACGTCGGACTTCACAGTAGCTACAGATGCAGCTCGAGCCGCAGGCAGCACTGCCAGATTCTTTCTCAGCTGTCACGCCTGGGATACGGACGAGTGTAACAGTCCCCCCCCCCCCCCCCTTATTCCACACGACAGATGACTGACCTTACCAGTGATCGGGCGGTCTGACCATCCTGCAATGCTCACAGGCACTTTCACCTGTGCCGGCCTTCCTGGGTCTCCTTTTATGGTGCTCCGAGGCGACTTCAATCTCTTCAATCACGACAAGCGAACGCCAGACACTACGAATTTGACTTACGACTTTGACATGATGTCTATGCGAGGTGAAATAATCCACTTTCATGGATACAAATTGGTAGATCGATCCATTGCTTTCAGACCCTGGCAGACATGGAAGGCGACTTCTACACTCTACGTCACACTCACCAAAGGAGGCCAAACCATTGGAAAGGGAACCTTGCACATCGAGCCACAGGATTTCGCTTCTGAGCTGTCGACATTCACACCGCATGGACCAACCATGCTATCGAAGGCATTTTCCACAGGAAAGTTCCTGTCCTTCTTCACCAAACAGGTCTTGGCCAATTTCTTGGGCCCCTTGGGTATCATGCAATTTCCCACAACGACATACCAAGGCTATGAGGTGAACAAAAAGCCGCCGGTCGAGACGAGGAAAATCACATCGGTCGACAAGGTCGTGTCCATTCTCCAACGATGGGGTCCAAAAATCTCATCGCCAAGTGGACGTAAAGTGCTCCTGATCCCTGGTGCCGCTGTCGACCACCAGATCTTTGCTCTACCCACGATTGAAGTGAATGCAGTAGAATACTTCCAAACAGCAGGCTATGAGGTGTTCTGCGTCACTCATCGCACAGGCAAGACGCCCAATGCTCAGAGAGGATTCACCACTTACGACGCGAGACTTGACATCCAAGCGGCTTTTGAGGAAATACATAGCATCCAAGGCTCCGAAGAACCAATCTACACAGTGGCTCATTGTGCGGGCTCCGTGGCTTTATCGGCTGGATTGCTCGATGGTACAATCAAGGCAAGTTGGATCAGAGGCTTAACGGCTTCCCAGGTTTTCTTCAACCCGATCTTCGGAACTGTCAACAAACTCAAAGCATCTTCGCCGATCTCCTTGACGAGGGTCTACAAACTGCTGGCGGGAAGTTGGTTCTCCTGCAGTTCAACGGAGCATGATTCTTTGATCCAGCGGCTGCTGAATGAAGTGGTCCGCCTATACCCGGTAGGGTCACCTCGTGAACTCTGCAATAGCGTCGTCTGCCACAGGTCTGAGTTGGCCTTTGGAAGGCAAGTTCCCTGAACTCCTCAAAGCCCTATTGTGTGCTGACCAGGACCAGGCTGTGGTCACATAAACGTTTAAACGCAGCAACCCATGACAACCTCTCCAAATTCCTAGGTGGCACCAGTATGAACTCACTCAACCAACTCATGTACCAGGGAACGCACGGTTACGTGACCAACAACATCCTGGAGTCGCTAGTCACGCCGGCAAATCTCCAGCTGCTCAGAGGTCTCCCAATTCTGTTCATCTCCGGCGCCGACAACGTGGTCTATACTCCAGAGAACACCGATAAGTCCTACACCACAATGACAACGACTTTCGGGCAGAAGGACTATGAGCGGGAAGTATTCCCAGGGTACGGACATCTGGACTGTTGGATGGGTTCTGAGGCTGCACACGACGTGTACCCGACAGTGCTTGCTCACGCCGAAAAGATCTACAATGGTGATCTGGACAACTAGGTAGCTTTTTGCTTGTGTGGTCTCAGGCTTGACTTTCCCAGTTTCTCAAAGCCCCGACTGTATCTATTTCAAAAAGAAACACTATTCCACAAAGACTAAACACAACCATCACCGTCCTGTCATTCTTTTATGGGCAGTTTAACAACAGGTGCTGGCCGATACTTTCCGCAGCTGACATTGACCATGCCTGTCCAGCTGGCCCTGCACCTCTTCCGTGTCTGCAGGAGGTACAAAAGTCACCACGCTCAGCTTGCGCAGCTTCTGTCTGGCAGAACCGTCGACCGGAAAAAGTATAAATAGACACCAGAATCGTGAGAAGAATCTCGACTGCTGACATTATCTGCTCGCCGACCTGATTGGGATTGGCGTCTCTCTGCCGTGTAGTGTCCATACCTCTCCCCTTTTGCTCAATCGATTTTGGGTCGTGCTACCAGAGAGGGCAGCCTTCTTGTTTAGCTAACCGACCGATCAGCCTCCTGGCCGAAGCGCCTTTGTATTTCTTAGGATATAGTGCGACACATTTGGTGATTCGACAAGCATTTTGCGCTAGTTGCCTGATGACAGCGTTTCCCGTCGCCCAGCCTCGTATCCGGCAGCGCCACACTCTCGCTTGGACAGCAGCTGAGGTTCTGCCAGAACCCTTGCAGTCGTGTAACACAGGCCTTTACAGCCGCTTCTGATTACTCGACATGTGAAATTCCAGAAACCGATGTCTTGAAATTGGGGAGATTTGCATGTGCACCCAGTGGACTTGCAGGCAGCCTGACCCTCCCAGGCTCTCAGGCTTCCAGCTTTCAAATAGGCCGGCATTGCCTTCAGGTCCCTTCTAAAGCCAAACCTCATCATCTCCCTCTCTACGCCTTCCACGTCACAACGTCGACAACAACAATGGCGACCCCTTCATCAAAGCCGATCCCTTATACGGCGAATCCGCTTCTCCTCATGCTCAATGACTTGATGCTCTTTGCCGAAATTACGTTCACATGGCCTATCACAGCTGGCCTACCGAGTATTGTCCTACCGTTGCGTCCGACCAGATCACGCTCACTGGACGAGTTGGCAATCACCGGTGCCAATGCGTGGGCCTCTTTCCTGCATATCATTCTCATCATTGCTCAGATATTCTTCCTGGGATCTCTGTTCCCGTTGGCGTTCATTGTAATGCCATCCTTCTATCTTCTGTACGTCATTGGGTTCGTCGTGGGCAATCAATGGTTTACCGTCTTGTTGAACGGCCCGAGGCACCGAGGGCTGTTCGAGTCGAATCCGGCCTGCATGAGAGGAAAGGCGAGACACGAACATGAGAAATGGGTCTTCATCAACGGAGTTGCTGTAGGGTATGTCAAGATTCCCTTGCACGTGTCCCCCTAGAGCGCCACCCCGCGCTTTCTACCCTCGCATTCGATTTCTATAAGTTGACAGCCTCGCAGGCGCCATTGGCTGCAGTCGAATCTCGACCGCCTTTCAATGACTTTCAGACGGCCCATCTTTGGAATACATAATCAGACGTAAGTGGACAACCCCTTCTGGCTACAAACTCATGTCCGAAACCTGCTCAAGTTCATATCTCTCTGTGTCCGTCTGACCCTGTAAAATTTCTAGCCGGGGTATCATTTTTGACGTTCTCGAATGCATCATTCAGCGCGACTTGAACTTCGCCACCCTGGACATTCGAACGGCTTATGCTGCGATGGTTGAAATTCTGTCGGATGATAATATCCAGAAGGTGGTCTTGATACTCCATAGTCAAGGTGCTATAGAAGGTGGCCTGGTCCTGGACTGGCTTTACGATACGGTTCCGGCGGATCAGCTTGGCAAGCTGGAGGTCTATACCTTTGGAAATGCCGCGAATCATTGGAATGCGCCTGTCATATCGCCGTCCGCCATTTCTAGCGCAAACGGAGACAGCGTCACAGAGCAAAGAATCGTGTCACATATCGAGCACTACGCCAACGATGATGATTACGTCTCCAGATTCGGCATCTTGCATTTCCGCCCTGATCAGCCATCACCTCGAACACCCATTCCCGGTAAGCCACCGCTTGCCCCCATCTCCAGGACTCCTTATCCGGACAAGCCCAAACCCACGGATGGCGAATCTGCACACACTACCCGGTTTAATCCTCCAAAGATCAACACTCGGTCCAAGGCAGTCGCCGCGGCTTCCAGGGCATTGCTCTCTCCCAAGACGCCGATCGAAATGATGGATCTTCAAGAAGAGGAGACCAACCTGTTCTTCGGCCGGCTGTTCAAGCGAGTCGGCTCCGGCCACCAGCTGAACCAGCATTACTTGGACAACATATTCGAGATGGAGGGGATCGACACCAGCGACCTCTCACGGGGACGTGTGCGAGACAACAATGTCTTCATGGACTCCGAGTTCGAGATGAGCATCTATCAGGACTGGGACACCGTGCAGGCCGCAGGACGGGGCGGGGCGCGTCAAAATGGAAGACTCGTTGCACCGGGAAAACAGATCAAAGATCTGAGTCGCTTGTGGGCTTATCGAAATGGGCAAAGCCCGGAAGACTGAGCAAGGAGGGCGTGAACGGGAAAGGGGGCTTGCCACTCAATCGGACTCGGTTGTTCGTGGACCAGCGGCACACAAATGCTATTGTTACGATGGTTGATAGTCATGCGAATGCTTTTTTCGGACGGACAAGCGAAAAGAACGCACAGGATAAGCGCCCAGAATTGCGGAGCGGGAAAAATGGTCTAATGGAGGGCCGCGTTCCAGATAGTACTTACTTTGGCAGAGAGAGATGGAAACACGAAGGGAGGCTGGAGTACTTTGCGCGAGATACTCTTTTTATCATCCCATCACACAGGCCAGTGGGGGCAAAGGGGCGGCCACTTCAACCTACCTACATAGCGAGTCTCACAGACTAGTATTTCATTCCTTATGATTATTCGGGTTTATTCTTCCGAGTCTATGCCAGTCCTCTTGTATGTGCGGAGTACCTATGTCATTGTATCCTCCCTACCGCCTCGTTGACTGGGGATAAAGTAGCAAGCATTCATGATGGATTAGAGCAGTCCTAAGTATATGTCTTTTTGTGCAATGCCAAAGTTCGCCGTCGCTTTTTCGGAGGTTCATCTTCGTAATACTTCCTGTTTGTCCTCCTCTCCCAGGTATGCTTGTGGCAGGCAATGCTTGGGAGGGGGCTGTGGCTACCTAGGTAAGCTAGCTGCAATCATTTTCTCAATCACCTCGTTTCTCCTTTATTACTTGCGGGCTGCTATGGATCTAGCTTGGTGGATCATCTTCTCGCTCCTGGTCCATCCTCATCCCGTTCTCATGGCAACGCTCGCCGTAAGTGAATGATTTGTCTCGTTGTACCGATCGAGCTGACCGAACGGCTCTCTGACTATCTAGCCGCCGCTCGACTGACCAACAAAACTAGACGAAGCCTGCGACTCCAGCGTCGAACTTCTGGAACACGCCCAAATCGAAGCTCTTGGCCAGGAGCTGATAGCCGGCGTCGTTGGGATGCAGGTAGTCGCCGGATTGTAGGGCGTCGGCCAACTGGCTGGGCACGGACTGGTTGCGGAGGACGGCGTCGAAGTCGAAGACGGCGTCGAAGGTGCCCGAGGAGCGGATGAAGGCGTTGACCTTCTGGCGGGTCTGCTCACGCAGGGGGCTGGTGTAGGCCTGCAGGGTGACGTTGTCATTCGGGGCCGAGAAGGGCGTGATGGTCGCTGCGAACAAGGGGATGCCGAACGCATGGATCCGCGTCGAGATCTGTCGGTACGCCGACACTAGGCGGTTGTACGTCTCCGTCTGGTTCGCCGCCGTGGCCGCCGCGACGCCGATGTCGTTGACTCCTTCCCAGATCATGGCGTAGCGCACCCCCGCGTGCGACAGCACGTCCCTGTCGATCCGCGAGAGCACGTTCGGCCCTAGCCCGTCGTACAGGATCCGATTGCCCCCCGCGGCCTGGTTGATCATGGAGATGGACGTGAGGAGGGACGAGTTGCTGGATTGCATGCGTGCGTAGACAAGGTCGGGCCATCTTTTAAAAGTAATTTGTTAGATTTGGTGCAGTTTAGCGACATGAGAGAGGGGCAAGAGACAGAATAGAGTACAGTACATACCTGTTGTTTTTGTCCGGGTCGCTTCCTCTACCGTCCGTGATGCTGTCTCCGATAATCGCCCATGTACGGTAATTAGGTGGTGACCACGCCTCGACCGCGGACAAGAAGTACCTATATTCTCCGTACCGGTTTTAGTAATCTCTCTATAACCTGATAGTGACGGAGGTGACTGAGTATAAACGACCTTAGCGGAACCTACCAATGCTGAGTGCTGTTCAAAAATGGGCCTGTCAGGTTCGTCGCGCCTACCTGATTGCCCAATGTGAACCACGATGTCGCCCTACTACCTGGGTGACTTGTGATATACGTCCCGTTCTGACCCGTTGCGAGGTACATGGTCACCGTGATGGTCGAGAGAGGCTGGACCGGGAAATTTAGAGGATCTGAGACTGCAAGCGCACCGTTGGGGATGATGATCGACGACTCTCCACCGCTGAAAGTCACCTTCTGGAGTGTTGATGGTTGAATCGCACTGCCCCCAGACGAGCTGTTGAATGGTAGAGCCACTGTCATTGCCGTTATTGGCAAATCAGTGAGGCTAAAGGCATTGGAGATTCGGATCCGGATCTGTGAAGCACCCGTTGACATGTGCAGGGTTTGGCGGATCGTGCTGTTATAGAAAATCACGGAGGTGGTGTTCTGGTGGGCAACAACTTAGCTCATAGTTCGATTTCTTGAACGATCGGATTCTTTTGGATAGCTCAGGGCGTTGGCTTCCTTACATATGGAGGTGGAGGTAAGTTTGTATACTCGGTCAATTGTGGCATTGCTGCCCAGGTGTCGATCCAGTGACCATTTGGGAGGCTTGGTACAGTAACAAGAGCTTGCCGCTTGGGCAAAGCATTGCATGTTACTGTCAGGTACGTGGCAATGAGCATAGCGGCTGAAATACAAAAGCGTTGCATCCCCATGATGATTGGTGCTGTCTGTGAGAAATAGTATCTCAACCTACAGTGTCTTGGTATGCAACCATCAGAGGTTCCGAAAGCTTGAGCATCTCTGTTTAATATAGCCCTCGTATGATCCCAGCCCATTCAGTCGACCTACCTATGGAAAATCCGGGGTATGAATTTGCATTGGCAGAGTTTAGGCTAAATCTCGTTCATTGGCGACGTGGTCAACCGCCCTGTACCCCTTGTAAGGCTCATGCTGGTTGGTATCCGGTATTATCTGTCATGTGAGCGACCTCGGAGACATGGAGCTGTGCTGCTTCGTCATCGCCGTCCAAATGCTGCCATGCGGTCCTTTGGATTTGCCACAATCGGCTTGAGAGGTCCAGTCGGCTCACTGTCATGGGGCACTGCATGAAGTTTCCAGAGGGCAATGATCGTCACTGAGAGCTTGAAAATAGCCGGGTCAAGGTCGAGCTGCCGGTTCTTGAGCATTAACTCCATTAGAACAGTCCACAGCCTCCGCATCGAGAGAAATCCTGCGGGGTTTGGAGTAGGGAAGGGAATGAAAATGTTGAGACTTGACAAAGTCGATAAATGCGCACACTTCGCAAAAACCATTATCCGATCATCCCCATGGGGTCGCGGCAGCCTTGTGCCGGGAGCCTTGTCAGGGAACTAAGCAACAAGCAATCATGTAAAATCTATCAACAACAACATGATACTTCAGCAGAGACGGCTAGCCGTGCACTTGAATGGAACACAACATCTTGCCTGATCAACATATACAACCTTGCCGATACCGAGTACATGTGGAGATATTCAGCCAAAATCCTGGTCATCACGCTCTTGACAGATATCCAACCCTTCGCAGATGGTGCGTGATCAACCACCTTGTACGTAGCTCAGGGTGACATGCTTAACTTGCAAATGATAGTAATGAAAAGGCCAAATATGTGCCGATCACAGTCAGCCGCCAAAGGTAGGCCACATCCCCACGCGCCTCACTATCAGACATCCTCCTTGTGATAGACATTTCTCCTGCTCATAGTCTCCGTGCACCGTCTTGTCTTCGTATGCTTCCTCATGCTAGACTTGCATTGCTGCAGCCAGTTAGGCTTATCTCGCGCTGCCGTAGCAGAGACAGCTTCCTTGTCGGAAAGCTGAAGGGTCTACCGTCGCCGGGTAGAACAAGTATATCAATATGAACAATGCATGTAAGGGTCGTCCAAATGACTTAGAACTTCCAGTGGATGTTTCGCATGCTAACCTGTAATAATAATGAGCCATTGTCAGAGTCGCAACTATTGGGTCAACAGGCCTGAGGAGGCTCAATCAATTTGGGTAGCAATTGCCTCTATTTCTAGCTATGGCAAACAAAGAAACCGGTAGCACAAAAGCCCATGTTGCCCCTCCATCTGAGTGCTGGTCGCTGAAGACCTCTGAAATGCCTGTTTTGACTGTTTCCTGTATCCTACCTTTTCTTGCATTCCGATCCCAAAGAACACTTAGCAAAGGAAAAAGAATGCCACCGAGGCAGATGCCACTTCGTGCGTGTGAGCAAATCCAAGCTTCTCGTTATAACGAATTCGAACGATAATGATGAGGAGCGGCCGTGTCTTCACCGAGATGACTCTGGCAGCCACGACACGGTTGAATACAGTATAACGATGAAGAGAAACTGGGAGGCAAGAGGCAGTCACCAGGCAACTGCAAAAAGAGAAGCCAGATGTGACCCAATTCGACAACGAGAATCCAGCAATGTTCAAGATGAGTTCGATAACGACGAGTTTGGCTCGCCATTTGATGGCTGATGTCTCTGTCTTCCAGACTGGTGCAGTAGCCGTGTTGATTTCATTGCCAATAACGACAACAAGCCGGCCAACAATCATCTAAGCCGTGCAATAAATGCAAATCTGCAGAATGGCTCCAACGCTCATGATAGATGTCCCAACCGAAACTGGCCTACCTCGACCCAACCTTTCTCCAAGCCAGACGGCGACGACGGCGCCAAACACCCAGCCAAGATCGTCAATTGTAGTTACGGTTCCCAAAAGCGATGTCTTCGATGGACCGGCTAGGTTGTGCATCTGGAGAAAGTCCTGGGTAACCACGACGCCACGAGAGACGCCCTGATCGTAGAGAAATCTCCAAGGAAGCAATGTGTAAAGGGTAATAGTCAGAAGGAAATTTGTGCCTGGACTAACTTACAGCGTCATGTCCGTTGCACAAGTAGCAGAGATCCAGAAGGTCAATCATCCTCCCTTCAGGCCAAAGTATGACTGCTTAGTTCCTAGGAAACCCATACTGTTCTTCTCGGTCGACGCTCGAGCTCGAGCATCGCAGACCGCGCCGCCATCGAGCATGGGTCATATATGAACTCACGACGATCATCATCTTATTCTCTCGCAGCTCGACAAAAATTCTGCGACGTCATCACTATTGATGCTCTTGATTCAATGGCGCCGAACAGTTGAAAAAGTTAACGTGGCTCTTGTCCAGCAAAGACTGTTGATCCGAGGTGACAGGGTTAGCACTAGTACATAGGTATGTCGAGGAAGCGAAGTGCCCATGCACGATATCGTCACAGAGTCGCGTAGGAACATGGGACATGGTGAAAGTGGTTTGAGCTCGCCAGTTATTGGCTTTTGAGGATTCGATGTTTACAGGTGTCTTTTCCATCAGCTCAGGTTCAATTTGGTGGCGGCGAGGGAGATTGGCATCGTACCTTGCCGCTGCAGATCTGGGATTGCGTTGCCTCGTCCAATTCTGAAACGGGCACGCGCTGCACGCGACACGGGCACAGGGTTCGTCCCAGGGGGAACCATACCGTAACCTCGATAAGGGAGAAATCTTTACTTTGGCGAAAATGCACCGCTCTCCGGAAAGTGGCATGAACCGACAATTTCTGCAGCCAGATGGTCTCGTAACCATGTATTCCGTAGCATTGAACGTGTTGCATTGAGTTTATCTTGCTTTCTTAATCGTGGCTATGATATTCTCGGGGGCTCTATCAATTCCCATAAGACCCGAGAAGGAATCAAACCGTCAGAGCCTCATATCCTGCGCCGATGCCTTGAAAGAGTCGTACATTTCCGTTGCATTTCAATCGTGAGCCCAACGCCCCCCGTCCACCCTGCCAAACCTTGTACCGGAGTCGTTCCTTCACTCATCCGCAGCGCGTTGTGAAAGTCGTAAAGAGAATTTGGTTACTTTGAACTTTTCTTTCCACAGTCGAATGTTGTCATGCCTGAATAAAAGGGCAATCAACCACGACGAGCATCGTAAGAGCGACGGTGCATCTCATAACCTTCAGTTCGGGGTCGAGGCTTTTCACCTGCGAGGCTTTGTGCCGCGTCTGCGCTGTTCGTGTACCGTGGCAAGAGTAGCACCACGAGGTAAACAATGAAAACGACGGCAGAGAGGATGCTGTAGACAGCGACTGAGTAGGTGGGGACATATTCGCTGCCAATCATGCCCACGGTCTTGAATCCCAAGCCACCGTTGATGACACCGAGGAGGATCATGGCACGACCCAGCCAACGGTGAGTTTGACCGTAAGCGCTGCGCGTGCCGAACTTTCGGAAATGGATGTGCTGAAGGAGACCCAGGGCGGGCTGGAAGACCCCCATCCATGCGACCAGGATGTATCCAATGACCATGTGATATTCATCCAGCTTGTCAACTTGTTTGCCGAGTTGGACACCCAGACCCAGACCGACCATCATCAATATCAAACTGAGGACTTGCAACGGGGCATGGATATGTCGGACCTTGTTGGTGTAGGGCAGATACAGTGTCAAAGCCGCCAACGGGAACATCACCACGAAGACCAAGGCCATAATGACGGCATGAGCGGTTCGAATGTTGTCACCAGGGCTAAGACTGACCACTGTTCCACTTGATGAAGATGGGTTGGAGCTCACAATGGGGTTTGACACACCACCAGTAGGTGTGACAACGGTGCTCGTGGTGGCCGTTCCTGACTCCGTTGCGGTGGCTGGCGTTCCGTCTGCGGATTGAGAAGCAGAGGCAGGTGCAGTCGCCGACGGGGCTGCCGAGGACGAAGAAGAATCACTGGAAGCGGCCACGAATGGGTTTGATGAGCTGCCGCCCACACCTTGAGTCAAATCCAGGGTGAATCCACCGGTGCTGTCGTGCTGTTTAATGCTGGCAGATTGGTCCGTTGAGTCGAGAGGGTCTCCTGATTTGAAGGCAAAGATCCAACTGCTCGAGGAGTCCGTTGGGCTCATGCTACCACCACTCCAGCTCAGGCATGTATCGCAACGGATATTGGCAACGAGTGAACCGTCCGACGCAATACCACTTCCTTCTAGCAACGACACCGAGGCGTCTGAGTTAAACTGCGGTTGAACGTGGCCAGTGCCCAGTCTTGGGGACACAGTCACATTCGTGCTGTCGGCAGCATATACAACGAGCATGTTGGCTCCCGCCATGCTGGAGCCCTGACCAAAACTGATCCATTCGGTCCCGCTAGGGGCACTGATCTGGAGGAACAGTGAACCGCTCCCAGATGAGGCAGTGTCCGAAGGGACATTAACTGCTAATGCGTAGTTGCTGGAAGAAAACGATGCAAACTGAGCTGCCGAGCCAGCCACTGTGTCTGGATCAGTAATGCAAGCTTTTCTGATGGGAGGGGACGAAGGGACATACCCAGGGCGGCTGTAGCCAAGACGCTTTTTTGCACCATCATGCTTGGACGTGAGTGATAAGTTCAAGATAAGTTCAAGATACGATAGACGATATGGTGGTAACCAGAGATTAACTCGAGTATTGTCGGGTCCTGCTAGACAGTATATCGCAGGATCAGCGAAGATATAAGCCTATCTCAGTCCGTTATCCACGCGTTTGTTTGCAAAGTTCTGGGCGATGGACCGCGGGAGGGAAGGGAAAGGGGATTTAATTTATTGATCCCACCTCGACCCGACGCGCAAAGCAGTCCGTCTGTCCGAGAGTCTGAGCCATGGCAAACCTTGGGCAGATTGCACGTCAGATAGTGGACGGCTGGATTGCGTGTCAAGGGGCTTGCCAAGGGGAGCCACAAAGCATGGCCCAAAACACCAGCCCCTGTTTTACCTTGTATCGAGTACAGGATTCTCCATTCGGCCCGCCATGGCAATTACGCGGCGCAGCGTAACAGAGTTATCTTTGCGATGATGAAGAGTTGGCTGTTGAGATCCCCAAACATGGTACTTGCATCACCTCGCTGCGGGACTAATGGTTCACAAAACGACCTCAGGGGTCTGGACGGAGTGACTCCGGAGCGGCAAGGGCACAAGGCTGGATGACAGACAATAAATAGAAATTATCCGCAGGGGTCGAAAGACGGAGGCAGTCGGAAAAGGGGATCGACGACCCCACTTCTCCACCCAGTAACCGGATATGGGTCTAGCACCGGCATAGTGTCCTCCATCCCGCTGTTTATCTTACTAGCACAAGGCTTGGCGTCATTGTTCCCTCCACACAGCAGGTCCATGACAATGGTAATCTGATAGAGTCCGATTGGCTGGGCCGATAGTCATATATTTTGTAGTGGGCGTCATCGGTATCTGGAAGAATGCCTAGGTACATCCATACTGTACCTATATCCAAGCAGTTAGGCTGATTATCGCTGCCCTCCCTGGGCACATAGGTCTGAGAGGTGTTGAGTGACACGAGAACACATGCCTCGCACTGTGTTCTGGTCCAACACCTGCTGGAGATTGGGGTCCTGGGCCTGATCGGCGCTCTTCATCTTTATAACGTGTAAACTGTTGCGCCGGCTAAAGATTTTCCGCCTGTCATGTCCCAGACAACAAAGCAAGAGGCGCAGTGCGTTAGATGCGCAATGAGGCCCAATTCCTATATCCAGAAAATGCAAACAAGTGCTCCGTATGAGGTCAGGAAGGATTGTGAGGCGACTGTGCACCCACACCCAACTCCCGTTTCCTACGGGATTGTGCGGTCCGCGGCGGCTCTCCAGCCTCCAATCCTCATGATGCCAGCGATTATGATAATAGCCACCGTTGGCGATTGGAAGCCATCAACGCATCTTACGATCACCTCGACGGTCCTATCAAGACATTGGAAGAGCTCTCTTCTATTCGACTGTAATAATGAGCACAAGAATAATCTGAACTCTTCTGGAACTTCATAAATTCTTCCTCAACCAATCACGGTTCTTGAGATCATAGAGACTAATGCAATTGATGAGCCGGTGTGGTCGACCAAGGAGCATATATCCCCTCTTTCAACCCGCCTTTGAATGCCAAGGTCATTATTTTTGGCATCAAGGATTAGGTCTTCTGTTTGATTAGTCTGGCTCCTGCGCTTGAAAGGCTTTCCCTTTCAATCAAAGGCAAGATTGGGTCCTTCCTGACCCAACATTGCCTTGCCGGCTCTTGCCCGACAACAGCAAAACAATTCGGCTTGAGTATTGGCGTCATTGACGGCCTTGTATTGCAGGAGCTGCACTGGACCGGCATTGATGAGTTACATGATCCTGACTGCCACAAAAACCCACACCACTCTCCCATTCGCCGCCAGGCCAGCGACCCGCGAGTCAGTTCTTCGTCTTGACCATTATCTCTTTGATCATTTCGTTTCCCAGTCTCACGGCGTCCGGAAACCTCGGAGCAAAGTATTGCTGAATTCTCTCGAATCGATTCCGATAAGCTTCGAACGCGCCGAAGGAGACGCATTCAGACCACGCCTATAGCCGAGCGCACTATCGTCAGCCAGTGGTTTGATGCACAATGATTTGCCAGCTTCCAGATCTGATCGAGTGTACAGATGATATTTGGAATGTGCCAATACCCCAGAGCAGGCTGCATGTCCTAAACAACATGCTGATGAAAGGGTCAGAGTTTGCCACATTGGGAAGACTTACTCTTGCCGCGAAAGTAAACTCAAGATCGTCCGAACGAAAAGTGTTATCTTCGATTGCCGTATTAATGACCTCATCTAGCAAGGTCTCGTTTCGAAAGAGATATTCAGTGACACCCAACCATATTCGGAAAAGCTAAGAGTTGGACGGTCAGAAATAGAAACAAAAACTAGGCCAAGGAACAACTCACGGGCGTAGAGCAAATCATATGGTCGTATGGGACAATGCCGAGTTTCCACCAGCAATCGACGATGCCCAGCAGACTTAAGTGATTATTCGGCATTCTCTCTTTGGGCCTCCTCGAGAGCGAGAACTTGTCCAACACTTCGTCTCCGAGCAATAGGTCCTGGTCAATAGCATCCTTCGAAAACACTGCCGCACCTGCCGTCTTGATCCTGTGGGACAGTTCTTCGCGATGCCCACCCAGCATGAGCTTGAAGAGTTCTGTCACCGACTCGGCGTATTGTCGAATCTGCTCTCTGGCCGCCGGGTTCAGAATCGCAAGGCCAGCGTAAACATGCCACTTGTTGGCATAGATACGCAATGTGATGTTGATCTTGACGTTCTCGATGCCACCGATATATCGATCGATTTCCCACGGAAACTGATTGTTCGCCGCCCAGGCAGTTCCCATGCTCAAAAAGGCTGCATGTGTGACAGCCTGCGTGTCTGCGGTAATACGGTCATGCTTTTCTCCAGACAAGAAGACGAATTTTGAATTCAGGCAAGAGAGGATTCGAACACAAAGATCAACACTTTTTTGAGAGGCTCGGTGTTGGATGACGACGAGGGGCTGGCCGGTCGGGTCTACAGCGGGACCATGCAAGGAATGGCAAGACACAATCTCAACATCGTCGGGCAGATACTTGTCAAAGGCGGCCAGCTCAGGGGCTTTGCACGAGGTCTGCCCACCGACGATGGCTCCGACTTTGGTTGACGGGCCGTATTCAGCAACCACCCTCTCAATGAGCGCGGCTTCCACGCTGTATATGATCCAGTCACTTGCTCGGGAAACAAGATGACCGTTGGGCAAGATATATATTCCTTTCTAATCTTGGTCAATCATGTTCATCAACTCTGCTGACGACACAAACCTCATTCTCGTACTCATGGTGTAGAGTTTGGAATTTGTCTGGCCGATCGCAAGCGTTGACTCTGCATGACTAACATTAGTTCTAGTACTTTTGTAGGTAACCGCAAGTGTTTATATCTGTGAGAGAAAAGGTCAGCCAGGAGCCTTTTGTAAGACTTTGGGGTGGATTTGTTGTATTGAATTGAAGAACCATCAGACGAGAAAAGATTAAGGTAGCGAGGGTTTTACATCAGTGACAGCCGTCGGGATGGAACGCAACATCAGAATGATGAAAGCAACATCACAACGACCATGCTCGAGCCAAATGCACTCAGAGTCATCCTTTGATAATGGTGAGAGACGAGCACGTCGACATACCTTAGCAACAGACATTCAGAGAACGTATTTCTTTTCAGAAAGCAGACACCGCATTTCATACCTCCATCCGGCTTGACTGAACCTTCTTGCGTACATACGGCCCATGTCGCCCATACCAATGATTCCAACCGTGATGTTCTCCATGACTCAGGAAAAGGCACTGGGGAAAAGTTAGGGTTTTGTTGGCCTCAAGGTTTTAAGTCGTCTGTGTTCAATAGGGTCTCGTGGATTAGTATTAGGATCACGACAGCTGGCCATAGATGAGAGATCATCAATCTGACACGAGGCAGAAAGCATAGAACTTGAACTGTTGAACAGAAAGTTCCGTGTGAGAACGAGACGGAGAGAAAGTTTTCTTAATCTGCCAAGCCACTAAAGTAAATTCTGGTTAATGTTCTTGGCAACTCGAGGACGAGGAGCAATCACGCGACAGGGCCCGACGGATTTCGAAGGTCTCCATACGAAGTACTCGGTATGGCCTGCTAATCCCAATGACAACGGTCCTTGAGATGACGGTTTTAGGCCGACTTGCTCGAGCTGACAGCCAGCCCAATCACATCCATTGACACAATGTATTGAGGTGAATGATCACCGGGGAGTTCGCCATAATGCCAACAATTCTAAGAATACCTGGCTAGCTGTAATAGATCCTCAAAAGGCTCGCGCGTCTTTCACAATTGCGCGCTCGCCTTTTCAAGGCACGGACTAGGTCGATGGGATATGGTACTGTACAGTGAGCAATTTTTGAAGGCGTTGAGTGTGCCCGTCATCGATACGACGCACCCAGTACTTCTCGTCTCGTTGATGCCAAGAGTTTGGACCGATTTGAACTAGTGTAAAGCTTGTCAGAAAATCCCCAGTCCCGCTCCCACGAACCAGCCGGCCTACCATTCGAAATTAACAAAATCATTGAAAACATTCCTTCTTGCTCTTGCCAGTCCACTCCCATAACCAGCAACGACAATCCAAAATGCCTCCCAAGAAGAAGGTCGAGCGCGCTGCCACCGAGAACATCTCCCTCGGTCCTCAGGTTCGAGAAGGTGAGTCAAATGAGGAAGCTCGCACTCTATTTGTGTGCTAATTGTTGCGCACAGGTGAACTCGTCTTCGGTGTTGCCCGTATCTTCGCTTCCTTCAACGATACCTTCGTCCATGTCACCGATCTCTCGTAAGTGAAAAGAACGCAAAGCAAAAATTATACCAAACAATCGGGACGGTAGAGATGGTTCAACAGGCTAACATTCTGGGTGATTCCAGTGGCCGCGAAACCATTTGCCGTGTCACAGGAGGTATGAAAGTCAAGGCCGACCGTGACGAATCCTCTCCCTACGCAGCCATGTTGGCGGCCCAAGACGTCGCTCAGCGCTGCAAAGAACTCGGCATCACTGCTCTACACATCAAAATCCGCGCCACCGGTGGAAATGGCACAAAGACGCCAGGCCCTGGCGCTCAATCAGCTCTGCGTGCATTGGCTCGCTCGGGAATGAGGATTGGAAGAATTGAGGATGTTACACCTACGCCCTCTGATAGCACAAGACGCAAAGGTGGTCGTCGTGGTCGTCGTCTGTGAGCGTGTACGCAAGGTGCTGTCGCATGGTATTTCCTTTTACTACTTCCAGTAAGATGCTGCTGAAGGAAAGACCACGAAAAGGCTTCTAGACGAGAGGAAGGGTAGGATGGACTCAAATACGCGAAGAACGGCTCTTTCTGCCTGGTCTTCAAAGCTGCTACCTCTCAGTGGTCGAATGATCGCACGAGAAAGCCGTGCGCATGATGAAATCAATCAGTCAAAAGGCAAAATTCCATCAGAACTTTCGAATCTGTTGTAGAGACTTTTCTTTCGTTCTCCCCATTTACTTCACTTTGGGCCAACTTAGCCATGGACGCACAAAATTCCTCCACGTTGGTCATTCTCTCACTCCCGCCCAAGACTTTTGTCGGCCTGGACCTCGTGTCGTTTAATTCGTCACCCAACTTCCAAGGCATCGCCAAAATCCCGTGGGGTATTCATTTTCTGTACACCGGGACCGACGCCTCTTTATCAATCCGACATGGAAGATGGCTGGACCTGAGTTCGGCCAACCTGGTCCAAGTCCTGGGATGGAACAGTGACGGAGAGACGCTCCAGGTTGTGGATCCGAATGATCAGACGGCACAAAATGCGATCAAATCGGTCTCCGATGGTCGCGGACTAGTCGACTACGCCGCACTGCAAACCGCGACCTCGGAACTATCCGCACGAGAGTCAAAGGACGACGATGCGTCTCAAGCTGCAGCAGAAGGAGGCCGCGCAGAGAGCATAGACTGGCCAGCCCTGACGACTCATATCTCCCCCTCCCTTCTCACGCGCATCCTCTCTTCCGACTGGATCATCTCGTCAATCTCCACTGCACCCAACGACACTGAGACCATCCCCGGGCTATCGCACCTCGAGGCCTCGAATGCTCTCCACCAACTTCCCCTTTACCTGCTCCCGGTCAATCTAAAGCAGACCTGGGCAGACGGGGACATAGGCCGGACCAGGACCGACAGGGCGCGAGACCGGAGTTGGTACCTGGGGCAGTTGATCGAACAAGCAGCGACCCGCCCCCCGTCGGGCGGCGGCGGCGGCGGAGACAAAGCAGCGGTAGGCGCACGGGCAGTCCTGGGCGAACTGCAATTCTGCTTCCTGATGGTGCTCACGCTCGCCAACTACAGCTGCTTCGAGCAGTGGAAGCGGCTCCTCACCGTCCTCTTCACCTGTCGCACCGCGCTGGACGAAACCGAGGCATATTTCGTGCAGGCAGTCAGAGTGCTGCGTCTGCAGATAAAGCACGTAGACGATGTCGAAGGCGGGCTTTTCGAGCTGAGAGACGAGTCTGCCAGCGCTTGGCTGAGGACGCTGTGGGCACGGTTCAGGGGGTTGGTGGACGACTCGGAAAAGGGGCTAAGGGAGTCGTTGAAAAGGGAAGTCGATGTCTTACAGAGATTGTTCGAGGAAAAGTATGGATGGCAGAGTGAGAGGGATATGTTGAGGAGAGGGATGTTGGAGCTGGAGGACGGCGAGAGGGTCGAGGTCACCATGCCGGGAGTCGACGAAGACGAAGAGACCGGTGAGTATGCGCCTGTTATCGTCGAGACTTGATGCCCACAGTTGGGTGAAGACAAAGGAATGTCAGTGACCTTCCAAGCCAACATTTCACGTGAAGCGCATCCGAGATCTTTTGAACGGGAAATTTATTTCTTGCTTTGCACTTTGATTGCACGCCCAGGCCAGGGTTGCGCCTACAAGCCTTTGAGCCCCGATGAGTGACCCATGACAGGCGGATTCGACGTTCATCAACTCGACCAGCCGTATCGTGCCCCATTCCCATGCATGTTGGAACAGGTTCTCCGTCTTCGCATCATTCTTTCTCTCAATCGAGTGGCCGTGATATCCTCACCAGACCACCGCAACCACCACAGCCGCAAGCATTCCATGCGCATTCCACAAAACAGCGCAACCGCAACCACCACAGCCACCACAACCACCAGCCAAAACACCACTTAACGATACGACTTTTGGTACCGCGCTCTGGCACCTGGACCACCAAACTTCTTCGGCTCACACCGTCTGTTGTCCGCCACTAGTAGTGTACGATCGTACTGGACCAGCGCCTGCTTCAGCTGGTTTTTCGTGTACTCATCGACGAATTTCTGGTAGTAAGCGACAATGGATTTCGAGATGGCCTGGCGGATAGCGTAGATCTGGGATGTGTGACCACCGCCTGTGACACGGACACGGATGTCGACATCGGCGAATTTGTCGAGGCCAACTATCAGCAGCGGCTCGTAGACCTGTGAATTCAAAAACAATAAGTGAGCCACTCTCTCCTTTCATGTTTTCCTTGTGCGGATTCGCAGGCCCTTGGAGTCGAGGATTTAGATAGGTAGACTGCAAGCGTACCTTGTAACGCAGGATTTCCGGTTGAACGAGGGAGAGAGGTCGGCCGTTGACTTTGATGAGGCCCTTGCCTTTCTGTATACACCCAAAAACCTCCGTCAGTTCTTCATTCCCAATGTTGTGGTATTGCGTTGGACTGTTCTGACCTTGCAATGAGCGACCGCCGTAGCAGTCTTCTTCTTGCCGAAGCACTGTACACTCTGAGTGGCCGACATCTTGAGGACGGACGGCGATTGCACAGAGTTGATACAGTTGGGTAGATTGCTCGATTTTAAAATGTTTCGTGAGGTGTTGGTGTTGGCTCGATTTTCGCAGGGAAAGTGCGGGCAAACGCCAAGAATTATGACACTAACCCTACTGAGGTGCTAGCGCCGTTTTCAGACCTGCAGCTCAATGCGGACTCTTTTCAACCACTCTGTACTGAGAAGGAACATTATCCACCGACCTCGAGTATTCTGAAGGCTTCCTGGACTCGCGCACGACTTTGGAGGCGAGCGCTACGCGACCAAATACCTCCTCTCATGTCAAGATAGCGCTACGTCCGCCATGTCGCAAACAATAGGCAAGGTGTGTTTAGAAATCTCTTTTCTCCGTGCCATTGCATACCCATGGGTCTTGATCCTAACGTCTCCGTCATAATGCTAGACACGTCTTGCCTACTCCCGCACATGGCACTACATCGATGTGGGTTCCGATTCTCGGTCACTGGGACGAATTGCCTCCTCCATCGCCGTCTTCCTGATGGGCAAACATAAACCCATCTACGACCCATCCACCGACTGCGGCGACTACGTGGTGGCCTGCGGCTGCCACGACATCCATGTCACGGGCAAGAAACGCCAGCAGAAACAATACTACACACACAACACGCGGCCGGGCTCGCTCAAGCAGATGAGCATGGAGAGGATGATCGAAAAGTGGGGTGGTGGAGAGGTGTTGAAGAAAGCTGTAAGGGGAATGTTGCCCAAGAACCGGCTGAGGGATAAACGGTTGGCAAGATTGAAGGTTTTCGAAGGCACCAGCCATCCGTATAAGGCCAATATTGTGAGGTTTGCAGGGAAGCCGTTTACGGGTGACAAGCCTGGACCAGTCATGCAAGCCATCGAGGCGAGCAAGGAGATGAAAGCGAGTCCTTAAAACACGAGATGTTATTGCATTATTTTGGGTTGTACTAGCAAAACAGGAATGACAGGTTTTGCAGGGTGACATTGTATTTGTGTATCATTGAGGGTATATGTACAGACTATTGTTATCCGGTGACACCTCTCCAATGAATCCAGTACCAGAACTCCGATGCCGAACATGCTCTAGCAGGTTTTGTCTACAATTTGGAGGACAACGCAGTGTCGTCCCGCGTCACAGTGCACTTGATCAGCCCATTGGGGTCTGATTGAGGCGCATAGACTTCGGCATCCTTTCCAGTGTTCTTTAAACCGTGATGCCAGCTCAGATCGATCTCGAAATAATGCTTGTTCGGCAGCGAATAGTCAACTGCTTGAACCATGGGCTGAGCAGCCAAGATCTGTTCACCCATCTTGTACATGGTGTTTTGCACGCTAGGACTCTCCTCGAGGGCGAAGAGGCGGAAAGTGATTTCTCGAGCTTTGGCCCAAGTCTCGTCAAACTTGGCGACGTGCTTCTTTACCGCATCGAGACCAGCGAAGGTGGACCATTTCCAGTTGGCGTCGACCGATGTGCTGAGAATACGATCCCAAACTTCGGGAAGGGTGGTGAACTCGTCGCGGACAAAGTGGTGGAACTCAGAGCCTGTGCTCTTAAGCACCAGTAGGTCGGAAATGCCCGACTTGATTTCAATACCCTTGCCCTCAATGATGTCTGCCTGTACCAGTCTCTTCTCGTTCCCATCACGAAAGAAGGAGTGAGGATGGGGCTTCCCATCAATGGTCATTCGAGTCCATCTGTGTTGGACGATAGTAATGTGAGCAGTGTGAATGTGCTTGTACGTATTAACGAAGTGAGTGCCGAGAATGGACGCGAAAAGTTCAGGTGGATGGACGGGGTTTTGTTTTGCCATGATGTACGTGGTGTTCTTCATTGAGTCGGTAGCAACGACGACACTGTTGTCGGCTTTGGTGTATCTGGGGCTATGTCAGTATGGAACTCATGGTAGAAACTGGGAGAGTTACTGACGATACATCGATCTCCCCTTCCAGCAAAACGCAGACCGTCATCTCGTAGACGGTGTGTGTCTTTGTAGCTTCATCCCTCTCCACCTTGTACAGGCGAATGTTGTCCTTGCCATAGCGAGCTGCAGCGAGCTTAGCCATCTTGAGTACGGACTTTGGAATGGTCGATGTGGTAGATCTCAAGAATTTAAGCTGCTAACTGGGCTTGGTTCGCCCGTAGTGAGTCTGACAGTATGTGTACGAGGTAAGAAGGAGAAGGGAATGCAGACTCTTTATATCCGCACTCCTACAGACCTCTTATCGGAGGGGCACGCAGAGAAGAGTAGAATTCCACGACCACGACCACCAATTGTACGTAGGTCCATGAGCACAGATGTTGTAAAATTGCTGATCATAGATTCATCGAGCATAGGCGATTGGAGTCCTCAGCCAGCAATTTGATCGGGATTGGGCTGTCGTACGAGCTCAGGACGGAGCTCGCCGAGACGCGCACCCGCAAAAAGCCAACGGGAAATCGCTTTATCGTCGGCTAGAATCTGCATTGGGATGACGGGCTCACCTGATATTGGATCTGCTCTTGAAGGTCGATGCTTTGTTCTCTTTGGAAATCCGAATGAGCCTTGGTCTTTGTGGGCGCACTAAGTTGGGTGGCTGGGCCAATGCTGACAATGCAAGCACCGCAGGCTTTGGGGGTTCTTCGGCGAGCTTTGAGAAGCCAATATAATGTCAATCCGAAGGTGTATCTGATCTGTTTGTTGCCTTTTGCAACCGTGGTCCATCGTAGGTTGGCTTCAGGAGGCCAGAGGAGGGAGCGAGGACTGATAGAAGAGGGAAAATCGTTGAGGGCGCGTTCTTGTGTCAGGATTCTGTCTGCATGTCAATTCTCCTTCTTGGACGTTAGCTGCTTGGATCGAGGGGCTCCCAAGAGTCTAGAGCATTTGTTTAATCCCCTGATGGATCCAAGCATTGCGGGGTCAAGTTTGGGGGGGAAGAAGATACAGAGGCCAAGAGAGGCGCAGAGGCGCAGAGGTGCCACCTGCGCTCCCTGAAATGGCTTGAATGGGTGACTAGCTACATGCCTTGGATTTGACCGCGCTGTGACTGCATGATTGCACCTACACCCAGCAACTGCTATGTACATCCATGACTCGTTACATGCCCGGCTTCGAGACAGTGGTTTGACCTTCACTCTTTTGTATATCAAATACCAACGCGAAATCGCCTGTCGCTGAGAAAACTCGCCTGCTCCTCCCACAGTCGAATTCCCTCCGAAACCGCGTCTCCGTCTCCCGTCCCAGGCCACCCAGAACCAACACTGCGAAATTCATCCAGCCCAGACAGACCACTTACAAAAGTCCCATGAACAATCCAACCAACATTCGAGTCGCATATAGGTCGCTCCCTCCTTAAATTCCACATTGTTCCATTCCGCGACGCTCCCTGAGCCTGTTCCGGCAGAACCGAGCAGTGCTCTGTACCTATGGGTGTCTCTTGCGCCAGCCCGAATCACCCAACCGCCTAGAAGAGGGTCGATACCCTCCATGGCTCGATGGCCTCGACCGACCAAGCGTCAGGCTACTCGGTGACACCTACTCAAGGGCGGTTCAATATCCGACATTCCTCCAGGAAAAGTGACGACTTCTCCGCCTCTCAACGACCCTCTGTCAAAGACGGCCGCTCGCTCTCCGGCGGAAGCGCTCAGTATGGCCAGAAGGCTTTCCTCCCTGCCTTTACGCCTGCCAATCCTCCGGGAAGCTTCAGCACCGATCTGAAAAACACCACGCATTCGGGAAGGACTACTCCCCAGACGGAGGTGGCCGGCGTTACCTTTGCTCGTCTACAACCGCAACACAAGGATGTGGACGCTCTTACCACCTCGGAGCAGCGACAAGCTGCGGTTCGTGATAAAATTGCAAAGGAGATGAAAATCAAGCTGGGAACTGAGAACATGCTAGAAGCGCTGCTGAGCAAGAACAACAAACAGACCAAAGAACAGCGACAGAAGGTCGAAATGGAGTTGGGCTCTTCCAACAGGAAACTAGCCGAATTGAAGCAAGAACTTGACCAGGAGATCATGCGGTCTCAGACCCCGACCACCCCTCCGAACAATCGCATTACCAGTTACTTTCGAGGAAGTCCCCTCAAGTCCCCTGCCCTGGGGCAAAACCAGGGCTCAGACCTCACAGAGTCGATTGACAGCGAGTCGCCCACGGTGGTGCTTACAGAGACCCTTCAACAACTCGAGGCGGACGGGATGCCTCCAGACTATTACATCGAGCGCGCAAATACTCTAGTCGACCTTCTGAAGCGCAACCCTGGCCTGAAGTACGACCTGGCCTGGAAAGTCTTTAGCGAGCGAGTTCAGATGATGCTGCTTAGCGAAAGCTCCGATGTTGTGGCAGCAGGCTACAGACTCACCCGGCACGCAATCGCCGATCGGAAATCCCTGCAGACTATCCGAACTCTCCACACGGACGAACTGGTCATCCTATCTCTGGTCAAGAAGGCCAACACTGCGTTGGAACGCGAGCAAGCGATTAAATTTGTCCGGGCATTTTTGGACGTCAAAGACGGTGTCTACGAGATTTCCCGTGCCGTTGTGCGAAGCCTGGTAGCGGTCGCCGAAACATATGATGATCGACTGAGGGATATCTGCTTATTGACGCTTGCGGAACTCCTTATGAAGCACACAGAACTGGTCGTTGCTGCAAATGGGATGAGCACCCTTACCGAGGCCCTTGCGGATGGCTCTTTCCCTGCGCCCGAAGGTCTTGTTGCTAGCTTTCTTCACATCCTGGACCATCCACAACAACGCAAGTACTTACACACTGGTCGAGAGTTTGAGGCAATGTTTGCTCCGTTCACAGATCCCTTACTGCTCAGTGGCAATGAGGAGAGATTGAAGACATGTGCTCAGGCAATTGCAGCAATGCTCAAGACTTGGCCTGGCTTCCTCCTTCTGTCCATGAATGGTGCCTCTCCTCTTCGATCTCTGATTGACTCGCTGGTCTATCCCATAACGGCAACTCGGGATATTGTATTGGAGCTCTTTTTCGACATCCTCCGTATAAAACCGCCTTCCTGGTCCACGTCGTTTCTGGCTGGCAGAAGATTGACCACCTACGGAAGGGCCAACACTTTGCCAGTGGAGCAACCATCTCAGAGACAGCTGGCAGAATATAATGCAGAGGGGAGGTTTGATCTAACTTACCATTTCTCAGCGTTCGTGCTGGCGGCACTAATAAAGGCTGGTCTCATCCCTGCACTGGTGGATTTGATCAAAATTGAGGAGGATCTAGCTCTGCGCAGGAAGGCAACACTTTTACTAACTGAGGTTCTAAAGCTCGCACACCACACTCTACCCGATACGATCAGTTCAGGCATTCAAGTACTTGGCGATCTCGTACCCAGCGGCATCGACTTCCGCTCCGAAAACACTGCGATCAATATGAGCATGATTTACCAGATCGAAAGCATCAATCGAGCCCTCAACAGAACGTCTGCCTCCATATTCGGAAGGATCGAGCAAGTCAATGAATTAGCTGCCGGTCCTCAAATGATTGAAAGAACAAAGTACACGGCTATGATGGACGGGGATCAGTTCAGGCAGGCCATGGCCGACAGCCAGGTCACAAGTCATTCACAATATATCAAATGGAAATGGGAACTAATCCAAGGCTTGGTCGAAGGGCCGTTGACCAATCCAAAAAGGCTGGAGGAAGCTATCAGGTCTCCGAAATTCATGAAGAGACTGGTAGGATTTTTCCGGCCGTTCAAATACCGATTTTCTACCATCAGAAACACAAGACCTAACCAGCGATACATTCGCACCGGGTGTGCGTTGATGCGAACACTGACCCAAACCTCGTTGGGCGTACAATACCTTGCAGAGAACAAATTGTTGCGGCAAATCGGTGAATGCCTCGCTCAGGTCGATCCACATAGCGGCATCACTTCGTCTAACCCGTTGTTTGAGCGGCATAACATGGCTGAGACACTCAGCGGAGGCTATTTCGTCATGCTGGGTGCCTTGAGTCACTCAGCTGAGGGGATGCGTCTGATGGAACAGTGGCATATGATGGACATTTTCTACCATCTCGTCGAACTCAAGGATCGGGACGACTTGATCCGGGCACTTCTGGGGAATATGGATTACACGCTGGACACACATCTCCGGGTGATTCTGTCAAAAGCACTAACCTCAGGCGTCAAAGACATCCGACTCTTTGCGACCAAGCTGCTTCGACGATATGCGGTAGGTCGGGTTCAGTATTCATCTGGACTGCAAGATCGCTCAAGCTCACATTGGGCCCTTCGACTGGTTCTGACGCAATTATACGATCCGGATGTGGAAGTCGGCGAAGTGGCGGTCAAGATTCTTGAAGAAGCCTGTAATCAAAGAAGTCACTTGGAATACGTCGTCAAATGCAGACCGTCACTGGACCACCTCGGTGAAATTGGCGCCCCTCTTCTATTGCGCTTCCTTTCGACTTCTGTCGGCTACCGATATCTCAGCGGGCTCGACTATATCACACAAGAAATGGATGACTGGTTCCTCGGGCGCAATGATGCGTATGTGGCTTTGGTGGAGGCGTCCATTCTTCGAGCATACATGGATGGAAGTGCCAATAAGGCGCATTTCAGCGAAGATGCTGCCGTTGATTTACATGAGGTTGGAATTGCGCCTCCCCATTTCTACCGAGAACTCGCCCGGACACATGAGGGCTGTAAACTCCTGAAGCAGTCGGGACACTTTTACGAGTTCTCGGCCACGATCCGAGATTTCCGTCTTGATGAAGAAGACCCAGAAGTACTGACCAAGGTGAAAGGTTGCATGTGGGCCGTGGGCAACATTGGGTCCATGGACCAAGGTGCACCGTTCTTGGAGGAGGCGGACGTGGTTACGGCTATTGTGAGGATAGCAGAAGGCGCTCAAGTCCTGTCGATGCGCGGCACCGCGTGTTTTGTTCTAGGCTTGATATCACGGACCCTTCACGGGTTCGAATTGCTTGCTGAAAATGGGTGGGACAGCACAGTAGATCCCCGAGGACGTTCGCTTGGTCTCTGTCTGCCCCGTAACTTAGAAGCCTTGTGCTTGGTAAGTCCGCATTCGAGGTTCTGGAACAAACAGCTAACAATGTAGAAATCGGTTGGGTCCTCCACAGTACCGCAGTCACCATCCCCTGAGAACGATGCCAAGTACAAGGCTGCAACGACGGACGAAAACCCTGTTAGAGCCAAGATTCTCAAATCCATTGTCGAGATGGGAAATTCAGTCATGTACAAAAAGGCTGCGGCGGATCTTCACGCGCTCAAAACGAGACAGCCTAGCCACTTTGGCGACACGGAAATGTTTCAGAAAACGCTGGTCATCTTGGAGAGTCATCACTATCGGCTGCAGGCGCGGCACTACATCCTCAACCTGTTCAACAAAGGCTTGATGCGAAAGATTATTTTTGACGAAGAGATGGGAGACTCGACCGAGTCCGATACGGGATAGTAGCCTCGAGGCGACGTGCGAGACACTACTGGAGAGGACTGATGATTGATTCGAAATGGGACGACAGCGTTGTTTCACTCGCACCGTCCCGAATCTTGTAAGGATATAGGGCCTTGAAGGGCCTGGAACAAATGGAAAGAGGGGATCGTACGTGGCAGGATCAGCTCGGCGAAATAGGGTGGCGTATTACGGCTATGTCGCCAACAGCTCTGGACGATGGATTGGGTATGGTTTTCAGCAAGATGCTTGCGGAGCAGAACGGGAAGGAAATATGTGGCGTTGTTCTGCATCTGGGCGTAGGTTTGCAATGTTTTTTGAGTTGTCCATCTCACCTTGCTGTTTGCGTACTCTCCGGCAGGAGCAATGGGCATCGGGATTGTTAGATCGCGCAACAGTCGAGACGGGGAAGAACGCTATGCATGCGGTCGCGGGCTCGACAGTGACAAAATGCATATGTTTACGAAGTATACGCTTGGTCCCACTATAGGAAGCCCGTGTATTTGAGGTGTGTTGATGATATGGGACGTAACTCTTTCATGTCCCTCGTACAACACTGCATACAGCCGCGAGAAAGTTGATATCTCATTTGTCACGTGCCAGCTGTCACGTGCCGCGCAAACTTGCAAAGGATTGGAAAATGAGCTCGTCGGCGATCACCGCCAACCCGCCTTCGCCTTGGGTTCCGCACAACCTTCACGGCCCCTCCAGTGACTGCGTCGATGCATGGCAATTTTCTCGATCCCGTCACCAAGTTAGATCTCGATATCGCTTGACGCTGCGCGCTACTGCTGTGGCGAGCAAAGTCTTACTGTACCTCCAGGCCGCCACCAATCACTCCTTTGGTCTGTGCCAACACAAAGATGGCTACCGCTGCTGCCCCAGGACCATGGTCTCTTGTTCCCACACGCCTGGCAACTCTCCGAAGCCCTCGAGGTTCCCTTGTTTCCTCTTTGGCTGCTGCGCCTGACTCGTGTCTTGGTTCCTGACAGCTGTGCGTGTCATCACTTGAGATCTCGAATTGGAGCGCATGGTGTCCTGTCCTACCATATCTCGGTTGAACTCTGCTCAAAGTCAACGACGTAGTTGACTTATCAACTCGATCGCTTTGTCAAAACTACCCATCTATGCAGAGACATCCTCACCGAGAAGCCCTGCACATGTTCGTCCGATTCACAATATAAAGTCGCTATCGCACACGTACACGGCCTTTCGAGTCTCCATCCAAGTTAACCTTTGCCTACTCTCGATCTACTTCGATTCATCTCACCAAGGGTACCCCGATCACTCATCCTTGCCTACCTCGACCACAGGTGGCAATCTAGCAGACAAATTGTGGATGTTTTGGAGACAAGAAGCGCAGGTGCGATCACGCGCTACATATGGATCATACGTATAATCTACATTGACTGGTTTCAAAAACACATGAAAGAGCAGGGATACCCAGGACAACTCTCAAAACCTAGTCACTCATTGCGCAGATGAGTGATGGATCACAGCCTGCGACGACACCCCAGTACGGGTTCGACGCTCACCGCAATGCCCGGGATGTTATCAAATTATTCCAGTGCTCACAGTGCTCATTGCCTCTCCGCGAGCCTATGACCTTACCATGCGGCAATACCCTTTGTCGGCCATGTCTGCCACTGCTATACAAACGCGAGAACATCTCTTACCCCGTTGTCGAGGGCCGGTCTGAGGGGTTTGTTTGTCCGTTTGAGGGTTGTGGCTCGGAGCATTCAGTTGGTGATTGCGGCACCGACGTGACCCTCAACAAGATTGGGCATATCGTGAAGACCTTCATATCAAACTATAAGAAGGAAACCTCCGGCATTCCGCTCTTGCTGGAGGAAAATTTGAACGGGCTCGAACTCGTTGACGGTTCCTCCGAAGTGACACCTCAGCCACGCGTTCTTCCAGGGGGTCGCATCGCTGCGACATATTTTTTGGCAGACATGGGCGAGCTGCGTTATTCCTCCGAAATTACCTACACGCCCGTCGATGCTGGCACCGCCGATACCATCAGAGCTGCCGACGTGGCACTTCTGGAGAATTTGAGGGAAGCCATTCGAGCCGAACTAGAGTGTCAGGTCTGCTACCAGATCATGCTGGATCCTCTGACGACCTCGTGTGGACATTCATTCTGTAGAAGGTGCTTTTGCCGGGCCATGGATCATACCAATCATTGTCCAATGTGTCGTCGCTTACTGCCGCTGGTTCATACCCAGCAATCAACACCCAGCAACAAACGAGTGACGCGTCTGATCCAAGATTTATTGCCCGATCTTCTCGTGGCGAGGAAGGCCCTTGCCGCACAAGAAGACATGGTTGATGAAGAGACGCATTTACCCCTCTTTCCTTGTACCTTGGTATACCCCCAGATGCCGACATTCCTACATATTTTCGAACCACGCTATCGATTAATGGTTAGGAGAGTCCTGGAGAACGGTACACGCAAGTTCGGCATGTTGGCGTACAAGCCACACAGCGAATACCAGCAAGGCGGGTCTCACTGGCAGCAATATGGAACAGTCTTGTTCATTGAACGAGTGGAAATGTTGGCTGATGGTCGGAGCCTTCTGGAAACGAGGGGTTTGTACAAATTTCGAGTCGTCGAGACAGGAATACTTGATGGCTATCTCACTGGTCGAATACAACGCTTTGATGACATCAGTTTGCATGAGGAGGAGGCGATTGAGGTGAGGGAGACGAGCATACCAGTACAGCCTGAGGATGATGATCTTGTTCGACTCCAGCGCTCATCCACGCAGCAGCTTCTGGAATACGGACTGGGCTTTGTTCGACAAGCTCAAGCGCGCTCAGCACAATGGTTACATCAACGGGTGCTTGCCGCCTACGGACAACCACCAGAGGACGCGGCGACCTTCCCTTACTGGCTCGCTAGTGTCTTGCCGATTGCAGAGACGGAGAAGTATGCGCTTCTCCCGGCCACGAGCGTGAGAGAACGGTTGAAGATTACGGCCGCGTGGATCTACCGACTTGAGCAAGCACGATGGTAAGTCGATATTTCTTCTCCCTTTTGCGCTGGGCCCATTGTGCCTGACATGGTATGTCTGAAGTGAGGACGAAGCGGAGCTAGCAGCAAAAGCCCCAGAACACCAAGATTTCCGTGAGCAGGAGACGTCTGGAACTGCTGCAACCAATCAGACTGCACCTGTTGAGCCTCGTTTCATGCAAGCCAGCGAGACTGAGGTTGCCGAGGCTGAGGCGCACGAGAGTGAAAATTCCGAGGCTGAAGCTCGAACAGCTGAAGCTCGCGGGAGTTGAACTCTGGAGGCAGCTCAACTGTGAATGAGTGATGTCTCAAGCAGAGAGGAGAGTCTGGAGGGGGCCAGTCTCAGACACCAGCCACAGGGGATATTCAGGCAGTCTCAGAAACGCGCTTATCCATACCAGAAAAAGAGCATGAAAACTAACTTCTCCCAACCTGTACAGGCACCAATCGTCCTCCTGTATTGTCTTGTGACTGGCCGCCTTTCTGGGTCTCACGACAGTGATGTTATTCTTGCGCATAACTTTTATCTTTTCCAATGATCGATGATCCATTCATTTGGTTTACCCGCATCATGAGCGAAAGTATTGGCCAGGTTGGCAGTGTGGGCAGCATTTCCAAGGCGTTAATATTAACGAGTTGTATGGTTCCCGTCGGCCTGATGGCCATTGTACCCCTTCTCATTTCTCTAGCGGTGCGCTCCCAGGATGGCCGGCATGACTACTTGTAAATGCATGAGCATAACGAGGCTAGCTTCATGACGATAGATTGTGCGAAGAAAGGAGGGTTATTACTACAGGCAATTGTGTTGGACAGGAAGAACTAGAACCACTTAAGAATTTGATTCACGCTATGTCGCCTGAAAGTTTTCCATAAGTCTGAACAGCTCACCCTTATGTAGAAAAAAAAGCTCAGTCCAACTCAGCGTCTCTCATACCTTTCCCCCCATTTTCCCTGGGGGATGTCTGGGGCGACCCTGGCCTCTCACTGAAAGAGGTGGTTCGAGAGCAACCGTACGACAACCACAAGGTACTATGGATTGATCACGAAGGGCGGCCCCCCTACAGCACCGCCTCATATCATCAAGAAAGGGCCCAACAACTGACCTTCCATCTTTTTCATTCGACTGAGGCAAATGTTGAACGAAGATTTACACAACTTAATCTCTTTCATCGTTACAGCAAGACTTCTATTTCTTCTTCTCAATCTCTTCAAGAAGTCTGTCAATCTTTGCCGTCGATGCTCGGTCCCCATCTTCGCCCTCTCTACTTCGTAGCTTGCTCGTAGTTAAACGGTGGTAGAGGTACTCGGTAGCTAGAACTAGGTCTCGAGGCCCTGAAGACCAAAATAATTCAAAGGCCCGGCCGCCTCGGCATTGGAGACAGTCTCGGAAAAAATGTGGAGGCCCGCATCCGACCCCATTAGTCCGTGGGGCTTGGCGTCTCGGCGTCGGCTGCCGCGAACGTCCCTGCGGCAGCGGCTAGTGAGGCGGTTCTTCTGGTGAGTGCCTCTAAGGATCCCTCCCATGCCTTTATATCGGAATCTTCAAAATCGATATAACTCTCGGCGCCGACGTCAAGGCAGGATTTTGTCTTTCGGTTTCCCACCGAGCATCTACAGGGTACCCACAAACTTGCAGTCCATGAAACGGCCTGGCCGTTTTGCTGACCGCGATGGCCATGGACATGTTTGCTAATGCTTCGACTGCGACGCCAAATGGAAAAATGGCTACAGATGTTACAACCCCCTCCAAGGCTGTGTGGAATCCCTTGAATAACTGTCATGACCCTTTCCTCGATCGTATCAAGCGTTGCCACTGAGTGGAAGAGACATCACCGCTCCACTTTGATGCGTCGTCGCTTCACTCGGCTTTGCGTTCGAGACGGATCAATGTCGCACCTGGGAGGTGTGTTGGATTCTGCACTTGGTGGCCTGTCGGCTCATGATCGACTACCAAATCACTCCGTCTACAACTGCACCTGGCCTTTTCAGGTGTTTGATGAATGCGGCAGTCTGGGAGAAGTGGCATTTCCACCTATCTAAGTTGTCCTACCTGGCTGTGTGCCCGGGGCGCCGTTCTAGTCGGTACAGCTCCTTGTGGCTCATATCCAGATCTGGTTGATTCATAATACTATTACAACTCCAAATTCTCGAGGCTGAGAAGTCCTTTGTTCGCTGCTGTCGGAAATTCGACCAACTCTTTCGGCGGTCTGGAGAGATTCTCTGTGTGGGAGCCGCCCAGGGGAAGAAGTTAGCGTGCCAGTTAGTGGTTCTATGTACCCAGCTCGCCAGTACTATAGCCTAGGCTCACAAACCCCGATCGTGGGTGCCGAGACCACATATTAACATGAATTACGAATTCAGTCCCACATCCCCCGCCTCGTCAGAGTTGCTTGCCCGACACTTTCGTCGCTGAATTCTCCATCGCATCTGCAGCCATTCTCATCAATAGAGCAAAATGGCACCCTATACAAGGGACAACGAAAGCGCCGCTATCACATATTCATCCTTCCCGCTTGTCTGGGCATCTCAGTCTCCGAAAGCCAATCGCGCATGTCGAGAGTGCAACCGGTAAGGGCTCTCTCAGCGGTCTGTTCTACCTGAAACCTTAATCTGATTGCTGCCAGGAAAAAGACCAAGTGTATGTGTCCATGCTCTATCGGTTGACTGCCAGGGTTCGCTCTGATCTCCGTAGGCGATATGCAGCGCCCGACTTGCGGCTTGTGTCAGCGCGTTGGTAGTATATGCACATTTCCGCCTCGACAAAGCTCTCTTCGACCACATAAGATTTCCAAAGCTTTGGCAAGATCCAATTTGAGTCGCAATGCTCGTTGCGAGTGCCGTAGGGAGCCTTCCGCTCTCCATCTTCACGCTGAGAACGACGAAGAAGCACCTTTCGCCGACATCCCACAGTTCGAGGTGACGGGGAACAGCAAAGAAACCGAATGTGTTCTCGAACACGTGTCTTCGCACTCTGGAGCGGCGGCCAACTTCAAAAACGCCTCGTTTATCAGTGACACCTCCACCTGTAATGCACAGGGCTCAGATGATAGACATGTTGCTTCCCATGCCCCGAGGAGTCCTACAGTTGACCCGCTTGAACAGCAAACCATCGCATTTGAGAGCCCCTCACATCAAGACCTATCAACAGTCTTCTTTTCCTTGTCCCAGATTTCCGATCATCCTCATGTCCCATCCCTGGGCTTAGAGGGTCCATCGAATATAGCAACATATTCCAATTCCAACGACTGGCACCTTCCCCCGGGTGTGGCCGAACACCTGTAAGCGGATGCTATCTTTTGTCACTCTTCGGTGGCTAATCTTGTCAGGATTGATCTTTTCTTCGAGAGAATCCATCAGTGGATCCCTATTTTCCATCGTCCGCGGTTTTATCAGAAATACTTGATAACACTGGGTTCCACAACATCGCTTGTGCCCAGACACAGTTTAAGCTCCGAAGAGGTGCTCATTTTCAACTGTATATTCGCATTTGCTGCTAGATTCTCTGCATCGGCCCACTTCCAAGGGAAGCCACCACTAGAGAGAGGCCCTTTTTTTGCTGATCGCGCGACTGCAATTTACAACGACCTCGTTCGAACCATCGAGGAACCAACGCTTGAGTATATCAAAGGATGTGTGCTTCTTACTTGTTACCATTTCTGCGAAGGATCATGCCATCGCGGCTCACTTATGACGGGGATAATAATCCGTCTTGCTTATGATATCGGGCTTAACCGTGTTGACGAAGACGAAGATCAAGAGCCAGGAAGAACCCCAGATGATGGATGCTCCGCCGTGGAAGAATGGATTCGCAAAGAGGAGCTTCGCCGGTTGTGGTGGGTAGTATGGGAGATGGACACCTTTGGAGCTACCATTTCATGCCAACCATATAGCCTCGACAGACGTCGGGTGCAGGTCCAGCTTCCAGTGTCCACCAAACATTGGTTTTCTGGAACTCCTGTCAAGTCCGCTACTCTTGGAAGCCAGCTAGGATCGGTTTGGAAAGCTCTGAAGAGTTCTCCAAATCAAGACGAACGAGCATGGTTTTTGATTAGCAACTACCTCATGGCATGCGCGCACGACGCTGAACGTCGGCCAACAATCATCTCATCGGAGGAAATGGCGGAGTTGGAATATGCCTTGGGCTGTTTCAACTTGGCGTTGCCGACTCACTTCCACCTTTGCACATTCTCCTTCGACGATGAGGACTTTGCGAAGAGCAACTATATTCTTTCGACGCAACTCATGATCCAAACGTTAGTATCTCCGAGATCCTGGCACCACTTTTGTCATACTGATGCACGTTAGCGCCCGGGTATGTTTGGAAAAGGCAAAGGAAGCAAAAGCCCAGCAGTGCAGATCGTTATCGACAGAGTATCGCAACGATGAATTCACCAAGAAAATGGCATCAGAATTGGTCCGCATTGTCCACGCATGGTCGCCTGGACGTATCCCTTTGAATCACCCTATTATGTGTTGTACCTTGCTAGGCCCAGGAGCCTTATTTGTTCAGAATGATGACTTCACACAGCAGAGCCAGGAGGTTTCAGAATTGTTCCTGTTGCACTGCTCTAAGTATTGGAATCTGGGGAAAGTGATGCTTCGTATGTGTTCCTTGTTTGGACTACCCTATACATTTTGAGTATGCGCTAACATGTGCAGGGTTGCTTGAAATTATCAAAATTTACACTGAATCGAGTCAAGACGTGGCTGAATCCAAAGAGAAAGAACTAGTGAGGCGATTTTCGATGCTCATACCGCCTCACCGTAAGAGAAGGTGTTCTATTGCGTCCGCAAATGATCCGGATCCTCGCCTGCCAGACTTAGCTATTTTGAACGCCTCGCTTGACTTCAACCAGAGCAATTCATCTGCGACCGAACATCTGCCGGTTGTTGATGCTGGGAAGTGTATTGGTCGAGTGAAAGACGGAAATTTTGGAGTGCGAGCCAGGCCTCAAAATGAGGATCATGCCGTATCCTCGAACACCACCTCGGCTCACTCCGATTCCGACAAAGGACAACACAATTTGTTTGACAACATTTTCGACGACATTGGGCAATATGTCTCTGGAGATAGTCCTGAATTCAACAACTCATTTCTACATGTTGTCGGTGCGCCAGGGCATGTGGAAGATGACTGGATGTTATAAACATTGACCATTTGGCATCCGGAACGCATTATACCACCTGCGGAAGAGGAAACAAAATTCATTCTCAGATGATACTACTGTTGGAATACAGCTAGCAACTCGATACGTCCAGCGTCCTGCTTGATATCACCAATTGTTCCTGTAAATGTCTTGTTGGGCAGTGAGTTGTGCACCTTCGATCCTCTGTTTTCAGCCAACCAACTTGACGATGCCCTTTTACCCGTGGAGGTGAGAAGGATATCAGCAACAGAGAGCTCTGCAGGAGACACCACGCCTTGCCCAGCACGCCAGGCAACGTGGTCGTCTGGGCGAACAAGTACAACATCCCGCTCCCAAATATCGCGAACATTTCTCTCATTCGGAAGGTGGACGACGTCGAGCGGCACGTTGAGATGCGACGCCACAGAGGTAAATTCTTTCGCAAACTCTCCATTCGTTGTGAAGTCTATCAGGGTATATTCTGATCCGAACAAGTCATAGATACTTGTCTTGCCGTCTGCGAGGAAGACGTGCGGCGCTCGAGCTCCTGGCCATGTTGAGGGTGTGTAGTTCCTTACATTCCACTCAGGCTCTTTCTCAAGCCCGCCGTCAGCGGCTTTGTCCGTTAGCACAATTGGAGACCTATTGTACCGATAGCCCATTTCAATGCCGAGATCTTGGTTCTCGCCATCATTGGCTAGCACATGAGCCCGAATTTGTCGACGGAGCTCCTGGCCTTCGAGCGTGTTGGAAATGGCCACTGTATGCCCTTGTCTCTTGACCCAATCAATGTACTTTAGATGAACCTGGGTGTGAACACCAGACATGTCGACATTCCGCAAAGCGACCGGGCGGCGCTCTGCTTCATACGAATCCAAAAGCGAACCACCGCCATAGCCGTTAAGGAAGGCAGCAAGTTTCCAGCCGATATCGAACGCGTCTCCAAGACCGGTGTTCATCCCATAGCCGCCGAAAGGGATATTTTGGTGCGCTATTCCGTCAGTGAGCACTTTTATTGCAACCGAGCAGCCCGAGCTAGGCCAACGAAGGGTTCTTACCAGAATCACCCACAAGGAATACCTTTCCTTTCCCAGATCGATATTGGTCGGCAACACACAAATTTGGTCGCCAAGAGCTCTGGACCAGAATTTTGTCGATCTTAATCTTGTGCTTCGTGGCAGAGCCACCAAGAACCTCATATACCGCCTCCGCAGGATCAATATTTCCCACATCTGTTCCCAAGGGAATCGGCAAGTGGGCTGTCCAAGTATCTTTTTCATCCTGGCTGATAATGATGCCGCCATTTGAGAAGAATATGTGCCAAAATTGGCCCTGCTTATGAAGGCTTTCGAGATCCCGAGATTTGAAGTGGACGAGAAACATTGCCATAGGCCTATCAGATACTGGTCAGGAGGGGGGGGGGAGAGGAAGCAGGAGTATTTGTCTCTTACATTGGTCCTCCTGTGAGCTCAACGCCTATACTTTTCCTGACTCGACTCCCAGCACCATCACAGCCAGCCACGTATTGGCTCCGGATCATGTGGAGGGCACCAGTCGTCATATCTGTCAATTCAGACTCGACAGCGTCTTCAAGCTCTGTGAGTGACTCGAATTTGACCCCCCAGTAGCTGTCAATGAGAGGCTCTGCCTCGATCACTTCTCTCAGCCAAGCTTCAAAGATTTCTTGGGAACATCTTTGATAGGGATAACGAGGCATGGATCCATCATTTCTTTCCTGTATCTTGGATTGACAGACGCTGGGAGACGGTAGATCCTGCTCGGTCTCGTCAGGGTGTCTGCCTCAAAGAAGCCGGTAGCCTTCAACTTATCGTACCCACTTTGCAATCAGTTCTCCTCCCTCGGAGAGGCCGGTGCTGAACAAACAATCCAGCGAATAGTCGGCGGGGACACCTGCAGGACCAAATCAGCCACAACATTCAGACACCAAACCATGGATTCTCCCTCGCCTCCAACCACGCCGTACCCTCATCAAGCCATGTAGATCTCGGTCGATTTACCTTTCTCTCGAACTTTCCCAGCGAGACCCAATCTGCCTAGCAGTTCCATCGATCGACAATTTGTGATGTCCATTTTCGGCCACTTTGTCGTGTCATGATTGCGTTCCACAAGGACATTTCGTATACCGTGCTTCGCAAGCTGCAGTGAGGTGATGAGGCCAGCCGGACCTCCACCGACAACCAACACAGGGGTTTCAGATGGAAGCACTCGGGCCGCTTTGTTAACTTGCGCAATTTCCTTTTGAGTGTTCAGTCAGTAGTTCTAGATTCATTTCGTCACCCGAAGTGGAGGTACTTTACTAACCATGTTTTTATAAGGGTGAAACGGTCCTAGCAAAATCTCAATTGAAAACAATGCCAGTCACTTCTGCAAAAGTGCATTTCCTCCTGGCTGTTAAAGAATTGCCGTCTCCTGGACTTATCATATCAGCATTGCGCTCCCGGCTTCGCGGTGGCGTCCGGTCATTTCCACATATGGAAAGTGATACCGTCTTTTTCGGATTTGGTAACTCTACTATGCCTGATCGGTAGCATCACCGTGCCCACTTCCGTAATTATGCCTTTTATGGTCCCACAAAGGCAACCCAACCTGGTTTGTGGGACGAATTCCGGGGTAATTGACAATACCATTTCACTCATTTACAGAAATCCCGCGTCTACACTAGTAAATAGCATTCCTAAGACGGCGAAGTCTTAATCGGGTCATGATACCGTGCCCCGGGCTATTCGCTTCTATCTCCCCAGACGTCCCTCCACATTTCTGGAGAAATAGATCGGGAGTACCTTGGACTCTGGGCTATGATATTGATATTGATATCACCAACACCCACACCCACACCCGCACCCGCACACAGCAACATTGGTCTTTCCTTGACTTGCCACTCGAGTCTCTAGTTTGTCCAACATACTGGAAACAAGTTCGCATTGCCTCTATGGCTTTCCTTTTCATCATTCTCGCTGTGTCTGCAGCGGCTGCCGGTCTGGTATATATCTACCTCTTTGTCGGCAGGAGAGGTCGCCACTACCCTGATGGTAATTTTCATGTTTCCACCATCCCTTGACTTCATGGCCTAATGCGCTGACGCTTTTAAGGCCCGCCTACTTTGCCGCTGATTGGGAATCTTCATCAGCTCCCTCGAAAAGGGGCACACTTCAAGTATGGTGCATTTCGCTCTGCGTGATTGGAGTATAGGATTCTCTGACCAAGACACCCCCATCTCCTCAGGTTTACTGAGCTTGCCAAAACCTACGGTGGCATGTTTTCACTCAAACTTGGGACCGGCACCGCGGTTGTCCTCACCGATCGCCGCATAATTAGGGAGCTATTGGACAAAAAGAGCTCGATTTCCAGCAACCGGCCGGTATCGTTTGTGTCACAGAACATTATCACAGGCGGTGACCACCTCCTGGTCATGGACTATGGGGCTAGGTGGAGGGCATTCAGAAAGCTGATTCACCAAGAGTTCATGGAATCCATGTGTGAGAAAAATCATATCAAGCTTCAGAATGCCGAATCGGTTCAGATGCTACGAGATTTCCTCATTTCTCCTGAGAATCACATGCTGCACCCCAAGAGGTTTAGCAACAGTGTCATCATGTCCATACGTGCGTATAGCCTTTCCAACGAAGGTTGCCCGAGAAAGAAACGAGAATGCTGATTCTGAAGATGATCGCGGGTAGTCTTTGGCATTCGGACTCCATCTTACGATACTCCTCACATGACAAAGTTATACGACCTGATGGAAAGCTGGTCCAAAGTCATGGAGACCGGTGCCACTCCACCAGTGGATTTCTACCCATTTCTAAGGTGGATTCCAGAACAATTCCTCGGAAATTGGGTCCGTCGATCAGTGCATGTCCGGGACGAGATGAACGCGTTATATAGCCAGGTTATTTCCAGTGTGGTCAAACGCCGGGAAGTGTCAGGCAGCAAAGACTCCTTCATCGACAAAATCCTAGATAAGCAGGACAAGCTCGGGATGACCATGCACGAGGTCTACTTCCTCGGGGGTGTCGCGATGGAAGGAGGCTCCGACACGTCGTCTGCCGTCATCACTTCCTGCATCCAGGCACTCACAAAATGGCCACACATCCAGAAGAAAGCGCAGCAGGAAATCGATGCCGTCGTTAGCGAGGACAGAAGCCCGGTTTGGTCCGACTACGCTAAGCTACCATATGTGAATGCGATAGTCAAGGAAGCGATGAGATGGAGGCCTGTTACACCGCTCAGTTTCCCTCACTGTCTTGCTGAAGGTACGATACACGATTCTCTCCCCCGCTTTCATGACATCAATGGGCACGAAGCTGACATTGTGACTTGGTACGACGCAGACGAATGGGTCGACAGCAAATTCCTGCCCAAGGGCACCATCGTCATAATCAACGTGTGGGGATTACACCATGACGAGACGAAATTTCCCAACCACGACATCTTCGACCCAGATCATTATGCGGGTCGCACATTACTGGCATCCGAGTACGCGGCCTCAGCCGATTACGAGAGCCGCGACCACTATGCCTACGGGGCCGGGCGTCGTCTGTGCCCCGGCATCCACCTTGCCGAGCGGAACCTCTTCCAGGCGATTTCCAAGCTACTTTGGGCGTTCAATTTCGAGAGAGGGGAGGACGAGGCTGGCGGGCCAGTCGAACCAGACACAGATCCCATCACGGGCTATAGTGAGGGGTTTCTTGTTTGTGCAAAACATTTTCCTTGCAAGATTACGGTCAGGTCGGAAATGAGGAGGGAGACGATCATGAGAGAGTTTCAGCGAGCCCAAGAGGAGGTTTTCCACAAGTACGAAGATTAGTGTGGTCTTCAGATACTTTCTTGTGTTGATAACTCAATAGCAAACTGTGCTACCGCGTTGTCCGGCTGCGGACAGAGGATCCTGTGTCTGATGAGTACTGTGAGCTCTTCCCATTTCTCTACATATCTTAAGACTAGCGATTCTTACGTTCTATAGTAGAATACAGGGCTACTATTGTAACAGATCACTTCGGGGTTCGGCATGCACGCGCAACAACGCACAGAGGCCTGTCCAGCAGGTCGGGGATCGAGAATGCCTTTCCGGTTGACACTGACAGAACAACACCACTAACACCACTCAGAGAGGCGACAGCTAGGGCAACGAACGCCTAGCTGTTTGTCCGCATTGAACGGGGGGATAGGACTGATAAAGCACTCAAGAATAGCTCGACGGCATCAAAAGAACCATGACAACTTGTTACTCTGTTCAAACTGTAAAGAATGGCACACTGCCAGCACTATAAACTGTCCTGCTCTCTCAATCTATTTTGGTTTGACATGTGACCTCACAGGCCTCTGCCCTGCCAGTCCACCACCCCAGCACTGCACAGCCACCTTGGCTTGTTACACTACCTTTTTGGGTATCCCTCTGGCCGACCAGCCTCGCGCTCGAGGCTACCCTGTTCGGCCGACCTGTCATTCCTGCCTCTGGCCCGAGTCCATTTTAAGGCTGTCTAATAAAGAACCACTCCTTCTATCCATACTGACTTATATACGGACTATGACTGAGAACCCTGCCTTGTGCTGAGTAATACGGAAGCAGCTCTGACAGACTTCTCCGAACGCTCAATTCCTCGATCTCAGCAGATTAAACGTTTTCTCCTGGGCGTACCTAGGAACGGGAAAGCGTAATTCTAACCTAGGTACACCTATATAAAGTAATATTGAAGAGCGGAGCTTTATCTAGAAATGGCTTCAGTGCCAGAACTTCAAGCATTACCACAGCACTCTTGGTTGCATGAACAGACCAATCATCAAACCCAGTCCCGCGTGTGAGCTCTTTGGTTCCCACTGTATACCATGATCTCAGTCGAAGAGCTGATACAGAGTACCAGGCTTCAACATCCACACACGAGATTTAGTCTCTGAATGCACCAAGTCGGTCGCAGCTTGGGTGTCCACTCGATATGGCTTGATAGCGCTTTCAGGTTCTGTCAGTGCGGATCTGACACTCACCAAGTGAATGTCGAGCAGGCGTACCTTTCATCATGGAGGCACCAAATCACTTTTCTCGGCTCATTCAGCCATTGAACTTCGTTCCGCAGAAATTGGGCGGCAGAACCAGTGAAGGGTCGGCCATCCAGGTTTGCCAGACCCGCAGCCCCGAGTATCGCAATGTTTGGTTTTGGTTCCATGGTTTCTAAGATGCCCTTGTATGCTCCTAGATGAGCATTCCAAAGAACAACCTTATCATCAAAGCGAAAATTGAAGGGTAGTTGGCCTCCGTCACAGCTGGAGAACTTGTTCTTGGGGTTGTCCAAGAATGCGACAAATGAACGTTTCCGTTCAGGCACACATCCCGTATGGTTCAAAGGCCCAGTTTCCCGCGCCAGCTTAGGCCGGTCGATGGAGTGTTAATAAAGCACAACTAGAACGGACCGTATAGTATTGACACCTGCATTTTTCCCTGTTTGTGTCAATCCCCTTCCATCTTCTCGTGCAAAATTGGGCGTCATGCTCTGCGTAGTACTGATCATCGCGAGGCGGACTTTCCCACGGAACCAACCTTGCGATGAATTTCTGGTACGCTGGGATCACATAGTGGGCCAATGGGGAAGACTACCCATGGGTCAGTCATATTGTCTTCGAAGAAATCTTGAAGACGGACAAGTTTTGTCCAGCGAATATAGCGTCGCCTCTGGGTGCTGATTGAGAGTGACAAACGCAAGAACAGTTCTGAAATCTACCATCTCTTGGTTAACCAGTCATACCCTGCAGCAACAATGTCCTTTAATCCGAGCTTGGATGTGCCAGTGGTAAGTGCATACGTGGTCGATGCTGCTGCAGCGTCCTACTGAGACCTTTCCGACTACAGCTTGATCACCCCCCAGACAAAGTCGGTGGCCCCGAGTCGACAGGCCTTGTGGGATACACCTTCTTTTACACATACCCAACCGGACTTTCATACAAGATCAGCTTTGACGAGAAGACTGCCTACTTCACCCTTCCACCAGGCGCACTAGCAGTCGATGGGCGCTCGTTTCTCGGTGTGCCATACAGGTGTAGAGAGCTTCGCCCTGATCTCTTCCTGGCACACTGGATGGTCCCTGGACGACAGGGTCACGTAGCGTTGGTTTTTGACCTTGCCAACAACCGCGTGGATTGTGCCGCACTCATGCCAGGCTTGTTTGAGCCTTTTGGCCGTACTTCATTGAGCAAAATATGGCGAAACGGGGAGAACGCCATTCAGATTACCGAAGGCCAGAAGTAAATTAGTTATTTGTGCGACAATGACAAATATCGAGTATTAGGACGGTTTGAAACGCGGTGTGATCGCCAGCACAATTTACAATAGGACGACGCCGCCATGGATAAAAGCGACGGAAGCATTTTGGAATGGCGTTCTTGAGACAGGCCAAATGCCTATATAAACAGGAAAGGAATCGCTGAAATGGCAGAGAGAGACATCTCTCTGGATAAACAAATGCTATCTACCACCCGGACAGTTCTGCGTCTCACATCATTGTTCTGTTGCAGGTGCCCTACACCCAATTGGCTGCAGTGCTATACACGAGAGGTTGTTTTCTCTGCAACTCAAGACCGAAAGACGCACAAATCGAATAGCAGAACGCCATTTTAAATCACAGGCTGATGAGTAGTTTGATCCTGGATCTTTGGAAAAGCCGCTAACAACACCCACTGGTCGTCTCTTCAACTTCCATCAACATATCACTCTAGCCGCTGATTGACCCTTAACGGTGGAGATAGTCTCGTAGAGCAATCTCTGTCTCTTCTAGATTCTTGAATCTGCCCACAATGTGTTGATCTGGCCTGATCAAGATTCCACTTTCGCCATTTGTCAAGCCCATCAAACCTGACCACCTCCCGTCCAAGTCCAAAAAGTCTACTCCAGCACGCCAGATTCTGACAGGGACTGCGCGCGCTGTCAGATAGTGAACCGCGGTGTCTTGCGTTCCAAATTCGCAAGTTACCAAAAGCACAAAGGTATCACCGTCGATTAGATCGAGTGTTGAACAAGTCATGCCATGTCGTCTGATCCATCCATGAGGCAAACGAGCTCCAGGCGCACACCGGGGGGCGAAGTCTCGGCAGCTTTTCAGACGGCCTTTGAGATTATCATTATACTCGTAACCAATCTGAAGATATATCGAGTCGAAGTGGTCCACATTATCCCTGATGGCGTCTTCAATCTGTTCCCGGTACTCTGGGTTCTGCACTCTTGCTTGAGGGTCAGTTCCCGAGGCTTCCACAATAACCTCTCGTAACTTTCCCAGTTTTTGTTGGTTGATGAAGCTCTGTACGGCATTTGCGATTGCAAGCGGGCGTCTTTCGTGCCCGTAGCATGATAGGAACTTCTGCGGCGTGTCAGTCCATTTGCTCTCGACGGCAAAAGTTTTTGTCACAAGGTTATGCGCGTCCGCAAAACCTGTGTTGATCCCGAGTCCGCCAGTAGGGGGGAATGCATGAGCGGCGTCTCCAACCAAGAAAGCTGTCGGGTGGGCGTCGGAACTGTAAAAGTCGGCTATTCGAGGACTAGTGCTCCAAAATGTGATGTCGAGGATGTCGAATTCGAACTTTCTTCCAATAGCCTGAAAAATGTGTTAACGTTAGTGGCTCAAACCCGTAAGAGAAAGTTTATGGCTTTCACATACGTTCTCGATCGCAGAGCGACAGGATTGTTCTGTAAATGTTTCTGCGGGGGTGACGGCGGGATCGTAGTCCATCACATATACCCAGCTTGAAGAGCGATCGTAGCAAATGAATGTACCGTTTTCCTTAGGACTCATAATGAACCACAAAGTGCCACTCTTCAGCTTCCTCAAGTTCGCGTTGAAATGAATTGATATATGGTGGGCTGGAGCTCGAGAGTGGCCATCGACGACCGAGAAAGGGATACCCAGTCGCTCCCGGGATCGCGCGTTGGCTCCGTCGCAAGCCAAAAGATACCTGCTCCGAATTTGCGTGACTCTTTTGGTTCTTTGGTTCCACAGACAGGACTCCTCGTACTCGTCATCAGTGCATAGGCTACCTAGCCATTCGATTCCTCTCCACACGGTGACCATGCCACATTGCATGGCTACATCATAGAGATAGTCCTCTAAGACAGGTTGTGGCATATTGAATAGGGGCTCCGGGGTGATCTCTTTGGTTTCGGGCCACTGCCGTTCATAGGGGAGGTTACCGTATTCAGTACCTGTCATAGAAGCCGCAAATCTGACCAGATCTCCGTCGGCAGGACTCAATCCCAGACTTCGTAGCAGATCTGTGTCCAGCCCGACCTGTCTGAAAATCTCAAGTGATCGAGGATTGATCGCATGTGCCTTAGGTTGTCCCAGCCGAGTGGCGTGTCGTTCCACTATGGTGCTGCGAATCCCATATTTGGCAAGAAGAATGCCACAAAAGACACCGACGGGTCCTCCACCAATGATCAATACAGGTACTTCGAGGGTCGGGAAGGCGCGTCGACCGTCGTCGGTAATGGCGGACTTGTGACTGTTGGGTATTGCTTGTGGATCAAGATGGATGCCATTCACACCATTAGTCTGCGGATGGGAGACCACGAGTGTGGTGTCCTGGTTGTGAGGCATACTGAGTGAATAAAAGAATCTATACAGAGAATCTAGTGTGCTTGAAGGGCCAAAGACCAGGGCGTCGCTGGTGCTTTGTGGTCATGTTTTATCAATTATGATGAACATCTAAGAATGAATGTTCTCAATGTCCCCACTCCGACTGTTGTAAACCCCGGAACTGGGAGTTGGCTGGTGTTCACAGAAACATAATTCCCCGGATGCCGAATACGGGACTGACATTTTCTGACTTGGCGCGCGATTCAATCGGCTTTTCATAAGACGATGCTATGTAACAATAGGTAGAAGTTCTCTAACTGATATGTTTGTCATCCTAACTTCCCTGTTGAGTCGGTCGTATGAGAGCTAGACATGTCGGATGATTTCTCTGCCAAATACACAAATTCAAATCTGGCACTTGATGCTTTACCCTTTGATTCATCCCTCTTTCGCGGGTGGCGACTTCGGCTCCAGGATGTCGAGCCACCGTTGAGTCCCGGCCTCACGTTGGCGGTTTTGGTACAGAGGCCCCGAATAAACTCAAGTGACGACTGATGCTAATGAATGATCGAGTGTGCTATGTTATGTGCTCAGAGGAGAGGCGATGTGGTCCCCGCGCTCATCGGTGACACATTGAGCGAACAGCCCGGCACTGATGCCGAAATCTTTTCTTCGGTCAGAGAGGCCATCACTCTAGTTGCCCCCTTTGTTGGCTTGCCAAATGTCATGCCGGCTTCATTTGGGGTGGTGGCAGAGCTCAATAAGCGTCAAGTTCAGAATCTCCAAATCACTCCCAGGCAAGTCGATCGGGAAACCATCAAGCTTGGAAAGTGGTGTTTACTATCGATAGGCCAACTTTCGCGGAAACCAACTATGTTGACAAAGGGTTGGAAATGAATGCAAGGGTATATCGCGGCGTAGGCAACTCTGAAGTCGGAATGATGATCCGCGAATTTTTCCCTGATCTATGTAAGTGCTTTGTGCCGTCTCAAGTCTACTGTACTATTCTGATTTCTCAAGCGTTTTGGGCAAACACGACAATCTTTGGGTATCTCCTTGGGGGAGGTAACGTCTTCCCTCTCAAAGAGGCAGAACTAGTAGTTGCAGCGGCAATCATCGCTTTAGGAGCAACTCGGCAAGCCCGAAGTCACTGTAAGGCCGCCATTCAACTGGGGAACTCGTTTCATAACCTTGATGCAATACTTGGTATCGGGAAAGAGATGTCACATTGGAGTGGACATCGACTTCCGCAGAAAGTCGATCTCCCCAAGCTCGTAAATGAGCTCGAAGCGTTGATGAATTGATTTAATTACCACCAGTACTTCTGGCGTTTACACTTCTTATATACTATACTATGCGAAGCACTCTTCGCGAGCACGCTTTCGTCGCTAAGAGCTAGGATAACCAGCCTGCACCTTCCCACGCTGTTCGGTGTAGGTACCTCGCTTGCGTTGACTTCTCGCTCCAGTCTCGGGTGGTAAGCTATCTTTCTGGAAGTTTCTGGAGCCCTGAATGCAGGATGCAGACTCTTGTTCAACCAATCTGGGACCATTAGTTGATTCACTGATTGGTTACTAGGAAGGGAAGTTCTGTCCGTGATGGTAATAGAGGCGGCTTCAAATAGCCTAGTACGAGGTACCCAGTAGGTGCCAAGGTGCCGCAGTGCCAAGAGATCTCCTAGCTACCCGATCAGGCTAGGTCCAACGGCCCACCTTGCTACAACGGCTTTAGCCCGGTCTCGAGTTTCCACGGAACCAATCTGGACCTCGCCTTTCACCAGAGACTTCTGGTTCAACTCTTTCCGGCTCCTCACCATTACAAGCTGACGGGGCAGTACTCGGTAGAAGCGGAGGTGAAGGCCGAGATGACTAGAGAGCTTCAGCCGTTTCGATTACCCTCGGAATAGCCTGCTCCATGGGTAGTGCCCGGACGGCCAGTCGATTTTCCACTTTAGGTCAGTACAGACAACGCTACTATATATCTGCAGAGTGACATAATCTTTGCGCAAGGGAAAAGCTCTGCCTAACCACGTCCTTATATCGGTGTCATCTCTTCGTATTGCAACGCGACCATATTTCATGACGATCTGATCAGGAATAAAAATGTCAAAAACAACTCAAAATGCCGTGGCAGAGTACAAAAAGAAGTTTCCGGACCTTCCTTGGACAAAGTTGAAGCCCGTTGGCAAGCATCCTTTTTTCAAATACCCAGGCTTCGCGCCCGATAAGAAAACGCTTCTTGGGAAGGGACATACCAAGCATCCCGGAAAGAGGCCGTTCATCAGCGAGGTCATCTATGAACACGATGTTGCCATTCAGCTGAGAGATGGCACCAAGATTTTTACAGACGTCTTCCGTCCCTCTGATTCAGAAGTGAGCAAGGTCCCTGTGATTATAGCCTGGAGTCCGTATGGAAAGACCGGGTCTGGGGTCCAGCGTTATGAGACGATGGGTCCGTTCTCCTGCGGTGTTTCTGAAGATACGGTTTCCGGTTATGAGAAATTTGAGGGCCCCGATCCTGCTGACTGGTGTCCACGGGGTTATGCTATTCTCAATCCTGACACCCGCGGCGCCACAATGTCCGAAGGTGACATCACCTTTTGCACAGAGTCCGATGCTTTGGACCTCTACGACACTCTTGAATGGCTTACTCTTCAACCATGGTGCAACGGATCAGTTGGCATGATGGGAAACTCTTGGCTTGCAATTCACCAGCTTAACTTCGCTTCCCGACTTAAGCACCCTACACTCAAGGCTCTAGCACCAATGGAGGCCGCAACTGACCCTTACCGAGACATAGCCGTGCGGGGTGGGCGACCACATCTAGTGGGATTCAACAACCTACTCCTGAGTGGGTTTTGTGGCCCCAATTCAGCCGAAAACTTTGCGGCCATGGTACGAAAGCGACCGCTCTATGATGATTACTGGGCAAGCAAACATGGTGCCACCGAGAATGTCGATATACCGTTGTACCTAACTGCCTCGTATTCATCATGTCTTCACACATATGGATCCTTTCGAACATTTACAACGGCCAAAACAAAGGAGAAATGGCTGAGGGTTCACCCTTATCAAGAATGGTCAGATCTATACCGACCTGAAATCGTTGATGAACTCCAGAGATATTTTGACAGATATCTAAATGGCACTTCCAACGGATGGGAGAATGATATTCCTGCCGTTCGAATATCTCTCCTTGGGTTCGACGGGAGTCCTGCCAAGACAGTTGTTGAAAGAACAGAGGCCGAATATCCTCTAGCTAGGCAGCAGCTGACGACATACCGTCTTGATGCTTCATCACATACTCTGACTAAAGAGAATCCTCCCAGAACATCGACCACGTCTCACAATTCTCACAGTCTTGATGCTTCCTCAGTAAGTCCAAAATAATGCCCTCCCACAGAAACCACTCTTTTATTCAATTACAGAGACGCTGACCACGATGCGCCATCAGGATTTCATCTTACACTTTGATGATTATACTGAGATCGCCGGCTCGGCTTCTGTTTGCCTCTGGATGTCTTGTGATGAGCATGACGACATGGATGTTGCCGTGCAGATCCGCAAAATCGATAAGCAAGGCAATCTTCTACAACACCTTAACTACAAATGTCCTGTTCCGGTGCAGGATGTCCCTGATGTGAATATTGCAAAGACGCTAGGTCCGCAAGGATTCCTCCGAGTGTCTCACACTATCAGTCGTGACTTCTCAGTCAAGGATGAGATCTACTATAGACACGATCGTCGAGAGCCGATTAAGCCAGGTAGCGTTGTGCCCGTAGAGATCCAGCTGTGGCCAATGGGGATGGTATTTGCACCTGGAGAGGGTATCATGTTGAGGATTTCGGGACATGATATGTGCCTTCCTGAGATCAGCTTTCTGAAACTTGCTGAACCAGACGACGACAACGTGGGTGACCACAAGCTTTACACTGGTGGAGAGTACGACTCAACACTTATTTTGCCAGTTATACCACCAGCGAAATAGGTTCCGGGACTTCAGGAACAAATGATTTAAAAATCCGGTATGAACCAGTGTCCAGTTGATAAGAACGTAGAGTCCAACGTATCGGCGCTCCGAGGCGGAGGGAAAGATCAATCTCAACTTTCGGGAAAGTTACTCCTTGAAATTCTACATCTGTGCCGTGTGCGTTGAAACTCATCCTGCCCCCTTCCCCGTTCCACAAGCCAAAGTATACTATTCGACGCCAACTTTTTTCTCCTTCTCGAATCTCTTTTCCGGCTCTTTTTGTCTACGGTCTTCAAATAAACACTTGAGCAGTTACTAATATTACAGCAGATCAGAGGAATGCTTTGGCGAATTTTGGCAGCATCGGAGGCTATACCATTAGCCATCCTACTGCTCACATTGCTGGTACTGCGTTCAGAGATGCATATAGCGTTTACGCTGAATGAAGTTCCAGAATCGAGGTCGGGCGATCTATTGGTTTCAACAGCGCCGTCATTATCTGTAGGCTGTTCCGGCTATCTAGGACGATGGAGATGGCTACGGCGGTGGCTATAGCGGTTGAAAAGTCTCCTATGACATCCTTGGGCGCCTCTGGCCTGCAAAACTTTGGATACTATTGCTGGTGCAGTCGGCACTGGTCTGTAATGGCCTTTTTCTTGTTTCACACCTGACGGTCGGAGTAGAAACATCGAAGGAAAACATTGGTGAAGATGATGATAAGGCTCAAACTTCGTGGTGTGAATGCCAAAGTGCAGAGCACCATCGCCGCTTTTGGGTAGTAGAAGCGATTCTTCTCGATGTCATTTCTTGACCGAGTCCGTCGCCCCAATGCAGCTAGGGTAGGACGAATAGGCTACCATGGCTATTGGCTTGTATCAACATCGACAGATAACATTATGCCCTAACGATGCGTCCAAAACGTGGAGCCACAGCCTGTACGCTGACCAATGTCATTAAACACTACCGTAGGTTTATCAGGTTGAAAGCCAACGCACATAATTCCCGCACCTCTACCAGAGTTCGAGGCAGCTGCCATAGTCATTGTTGGTGCGCTGTGTTTTGCCCATGTTCAGTACGTTAGGAAAGGATACATCTGGGAGCCCAAATGATCATTGTTTAAGCTCTATCGTTCATTCATGCAGGTGCGTATTTGAAGTCCACATAAACGCCGTCGTGGTATGTAGAAACGAAATTGTCCGTCACATCCAGCTGCTTTGTTTTCAACTTCATGTCATACTTACGGAAAAGGTGAGCTAGTAGCATCGTGCTCTCCGCATGCGCAACACTATCAAGCAGTTAATACGTATTATATCTCGGCAAATCTTTGCCCCGGGACTGATGTTGGCCGACTCACTTGATCCCAATGCACTGCCACACGCCTTTACTGAAGGTGCAAAGATATTGGTCAAGGCTCTTGCCCTCCGGACCAAGCCATCTTTCTAGATTGAACGAGCGAGCATTCGGACCCCAGAGATCAGTACTAAAGTGCATAGTGTATGCAGACATGCCGATGATAGTCTAGGTTGATTAGGTAGAGGACACAATCCTAAAGAATGAAAAGGACTCACTCCCGGAGGTACCACTTGACCATCCACAGTTAAAGGAGACGGACCGTTCGGGACTATTCTCGGAAGCAGTCCCGGGACGGGCATTGCCAATCTCAATGACTCTTTGACAGTTGCCCACTGGAAACGTCTCTATCAGTCTCATGCGAGCAGTGTCGGCAGGAAGGGGTATATCACCAAGTACTGAATATTTTCCAGCTGCTGCAATGGCGGCATAGCTTTTGAGTCCGGTATATTCTGTTTTAATTCTTGAACAAGCCTAGTTCTGATGCTTTCGTTGCTCAGGATATAAAATAATGCCGTGGCCACAGTGAACGCTGTCGTGTCAGAACCGGCGAGAAGGATGTCAACTGCTTCCATGGCCTGGTACTCATCGGAAAGGCCTTGTAAATTGTCAAAGATGACAGGGTGCGGCGATTTTCCCCTTCGGGTTTTATGTTGCGAGACAGAGTCTCTTGCGAACTGATATGCCGTAAGCTGGAGCTGTGATATTTTGGGGTTACTCAGAATATACCTCATGCAGATAGTGAATTTGAGCAACTGTTTTGTCCACCCGCGCGACGAGTGATAAGGGCAATCGCTCTGCAAAGAATAGTGTGACGTAGCTGTGCTGCAGAAGGGCTAACTGATCCCCACCCGAATCAATGGCCCTCAACAAGGCTGCATCAAAGCCGCCGGGTGTCTCGTGGATTAGATCCCGTGATCGTCCAAAGGCAAATTGAGAGATAACATCCACTGTTAGGCATCTGTGTTCGCATGATCAGCCTTTGTGAATAGCGCGGGCAACAACAAGATGCCGCTTACCTGAAGGCTCGACTGGCGTCGATCGGTCCGAGTGGACAGACCTCTCCTAGCTTTTCCAAAAAGATTTTGATCTTTTCGTCGATTATAGGCTCTAGTTTAAGCACACCAGTGCGCGAAAAGAATGGATTTAAAAGCTTCCTCCGTTCCTTGTGCAAAATAGGGTCGCATTCAGCGAAGACAGTATGTGCTGTGAGAAACCCGTCGTAAAAGGACTTGCTCTTTAGGTATGGCGTTGTCTGGTTGTATATTTCTTTGTACAACGACACGTCGGTCAAATGAAGCTCGTTTGGCCCAATTCGCAAGGCCCTGGTCCCTGCCATGGCGGTCAGAACAGATAAATGAAGACCATTACTTAACGCACCATATGCCTGATGCAGCTCCTCAAAAATGCGTTCCGGAAACTTTGCCTGCTGTTGCTCGAACAGCCACCTTCTCGACAGAGCCGCCTCGTGGGGGCCACGGAACTTAGCAAGCGGGTGGAAATAAAGTCTGTAGATCCAGGTAGTGGCGAGGCTGATGGAGAAGAGTACAATCGAAGCAAACGCAATCTCCAGAATTTGCTTGCTTCCCAGTTGGTCACTGAGTGCGCTGGAGAGTAAAGCCATTTGCACTGAGACGTGTTTGAGCTGAAGACTCAATAGGCGGGGATCCTTTTTGTTGCCTTTGGGGAAACCATATCAATGATGTACATCCACAAAGGCAGCAAAAAATTGAAGTCCATCTGTCATGACGACAAGGTCGCCTCCAGGGGGGCACAAGACATATAATTCCGGGGATGGAGGGAATCCCCGCATTCGGAACGCAGAGCAGTGGGCAGCAAAAGAATTGATGGCATTCTCCGCATGTCGGACCATGCAATTTCTGCTAGTCTAGAGCCACCAAGGTAGTTAACTGTCTACCCACGGAGCCTCCTAGCAATAGCTCTCAATTCTGCTGCTACACGGGTCGAGGAACGGCAATCACCTTGCGACAAATTACCGTCCTTAGGTCCCGGAGCGCAGCTCGTTCGGTAGGGTTTCTCAACGACATCCAAGCGTCTTGAACAGGGCAATCAGTCTGATGCCGGGCACGCTTAGATCTCGCGGCCTGAATTGAGGGAAGTTGCTTCCATCACTTACTTGCGGAATTGGATTCAAACATCCACGGGATGGGACGTACCACGTGACCATGTGTCGATCACTTTGCAGCTTTCACGACCTCCCATGGGATCCAAATCCTATCGGCTTCATGGGTGTTTGAATTTGTAGTATGGTCAGGCCACTGATACCGGATGTCAATTAAGGACAGCGGCATTTTTAGGTCAAATATCTTCCACCATGCTCGGTATTTATCAACTGTCGCTAGAGCAAGGTCTCCAACTCGAAGCGTGTTCATGATGGTTACCACAGCCTCTCGCCGATACAAAGACTTCTATGACTACATACCGCTCAAAGGTCAGGAGAATTTTGGACTGGTCTTATCTTCCCAAAAATGACGAACCCGTACTCTAGATGATCCTCGTGTTGCAGGATTGAATAATATCGATCCGTACAAATATTCACAAAATATTACCTCTTCGGAACTTGCAAAGCCGATCATTGCACTGTGGAAGCAGAAACTAGAATCTCCATTCTATGGGATAACCAGTGATGGTCATAAAAAGGAGAATTTGTTCCACCTGGAAGACGAGAATGCACCAACCGCCGAGATAGTGAGTCCGACATCCCAGGAACAACTCGTGTTGCCAATAACTTTGACAGGTTACGGCAGCCAAAACACTGTTACAAGCCTTAGCCCCTGAGATGAGGGCAAAGCTAACTTATGATCTGGACGATGAAGAATGGCATGCAGCCCCAGCAGGACCCCATTCAGAATCCCTGACTCATTAGAATTTAACTGATAGGAGAAAATGGAGCAATCCAGAGTTTATAATATTCGACGTGGGTGTCAGACTCGACCAACTCTCTGAGCATGAGCGAAAACTGGTCATGAAGCTTTTGAGAAGCGCTCTGAGCAAAGAGGGCTATGAAAAAGTTCTCGGCGCTATACAAACCAATGCATTCTTGGGAGAGCTCTGCGAGTCACGGGCTATACTCAATGACTGCAGTTACTTGTGAGTTCGCCCGTCTATCTTGACTTTCTGACGCACTGATAACAGCAAGTGTCATGATCTTCGGAACGCCATCGGTCACCACTCCCTGGGGGTTTGCTTTTTTTGGCCACCATACCTCCCTCAACTTCTTCTTCTTGGCCAAACAAATGACCATCAGTCCTGTCTTCATTGGAGCTGAACCAAATGTGAGCCTCTTGCTTCTTGTTGGTACAACTCATTTATGACGAATCAACTAGATCATTAGTCACGGTCCGCACAAAGGATTAGAAATATGTGTACGTGAGGAGGAACGTGGTTTGATGTTCATGCAATCCCTGCCTCAGGAGCTACAAGCAAAAGCACAAATCTACAAAGAATTACACGATCGGGAGATGCCTGCAGATCGCTGGAACCCTGCAGATCAGGTAACAATCCCCCCAGGGTTATCCGAATGGCTACAATCTGACTTGTAAAAGCGTCACCTTGGAGGTGCCTTCCAGGACAACAGAGTCATTCCCTACGAAGGAATCCTCGTGTCCACTTTGTCACTAGGCGACCAAGAAGCACTCGTCGAAGTAATATCGAGCTTCCTCGAGATTCTGCCGCATCCGGTCCTCACAGCACGCCTTGCCCAGGTCAGGCGTCACTTCGACGAAACCTATTTCTGCTGGATTGGTGGATATGACAAGGAAGATAGTTTCTATTACCGGGTCCAGAGCCCGGTCATTTGCGTGGAGTTTGATCATCATTCAGGCGTCTTCTTGACGAATTCAGACCCAAAGAAGTATCACGTTCACACTATCATCAGGACTCCCAATGGCAACGACTACGGCCGAGAGTGGCTGAGATTGTATCGCGAGGCTAACGCAAGCAACGATTCCAAGATGGCCAACGGAGCATGCACATCAGACAGGGTACCGGTTTGAGCACTCGTGAATGATCGCGCTGCGATGACGTTCGGATTTAGACGGGAGAGCATCGATATTGATAACAACGTCCAGACCGGCATTTTCTAAGCGCCCACGTAATGTTTGTCCCCACGGATGCCAAGTGAACCTGTCTTCAGCACGCATCAAGACCCTCGAAAGTAATGTTACGTGTGTCGCCACTTGGCCACCCGAGCAACGACCTGATGTGAACTGCAGTGTCAGGGAGTAGGACCAGACGAGAACGCTAGACCCACGAAATCGTGCTGGCTACCGTATTTGCTTTGATTGCCATAATAACCCATCTCTGTCTGACTTGCCTCGTATATTGTTAAGCATAAAACTTGGAGGCTCATGACTTGTGAAGAGCGCATAATTTCCACATCAGGCTCGGCGACAACACGCAGCAGAAAATGCCACAAGGGCCAACCGCCAGTCGCAAGCTCAGCAAAGAAGCCAATTCTAGATGATGAGAGTAGCTAGGCAGGGTGCCTAGGGCCCAAGCTTTAAAGGGGAAATAAAGAGACCAAGGCGCCGCGTCAACTCTCCTCCCTTTCCCTCGGGTATTGCCAGTCCCCCACCCTAGGCTTCCCCTAAACCGAACAACTTTACCCAGTAAAGGTGAGAGTTAGCTCCACTAGGCCTAGGGGCCTCAACCCCGCGAGCCCTAGTAGCTCACAAAACCGCATCCCTTCAAAGCTCATCTCAGGACAACGACCACCACAAAGTCTTCCCAGCAGCTTCAACTATAGGAAGGAGAAATGAGCACAACTGCATGCATAGAATGTCGGGCTAGGAAGGTTTGCAAACTTCCTCCTTGTCACGACAACTATCTTGGCCAACTAATTATGGTTGACATCAAATCTCTTGTCTAGATCCGCTGCTCACGACAGAGACAGCATGTCTTCGGTGCGTGCAGCGAGGGGAACGATGTCCATACCCGCAGCCTCCAGACCGAAGATACCTCGCTTCACTAAGATACCAACAAAAACCGGCTTCAAAAAATGTGTTTGAAGCACAACTGGGTTCGCCACGGAGACGGGTCAGATCAGAGACAGAGAGTCTGGACGACAGACCGCCGAAATTGTCGTCACTATCTAGAAAGAAAATCGCAGTACGCAAAATGACCAGATATGAGTCCCTCGCACTTCCCTTTTTCGTTGACATCTTGCAGATACCGCAAGATGCTGCCAAAATTTTCGCCCTTCCCTCGATCGAGAACATTGGATGGGTGGATGCGGCTGTCCCACAGAAAGAGATTGGCCTCTTTTAGATTGAGATTTACTTCACCAGGACGTTAACGGCCTCGCTTCTATTCGATTACCAAGAACTAGTTTCCGATTATCGTGACTCTTGCATCCCAGACTATGTTTGTCTCAGTATTTTTGCTGTTGCGTCTCTGTAAGTCGTGCTTTTGAAGCGACCCAGCCCCCTGTTCACTGCTCAGTGATTCCGAGGACTACTGACACCGAGGAATTCAACGAATAGATGTCTCCGCCCTACTTCGGAAAGCCCGATTGCCAGAAAGATCGACCTAGCCGCGTTCACGAGCCTTGGTCAGAAGGGAGAAGAGTGGGCTGAGACCGCAACTCGGTCAGCTTTGCTCAGTGCTGCAAACACCTCTATCTCCACAGTTCGTGCTTGCGACAAGTTGTGCCTGTATTGGTTCGCGGTAGGCCGAATCGACTGCTCGCGAATGATGTCTGGTAAGCCATTCAAAGCATCTGTTGATAGTTCCAAAACCATATTTGGGAATTTGACAACGAGTGGCACTAATGTGGAGATTTATCCAGTTGTTTCACGACAGGCTTTTGAGCTTCTTCGCGGGAAGGCAACTTTGAATCATGCAAATCGACAGTCTAATTCTTCCCAAGGCAAGCATTTCTCCATTCTGCAGCGCCTCAACTGGGCATGCAAATTGAAAACATGCCTCGCAGAATGTGAGGGAGCGAGCTATGCGTCTACTAATATCAGTCGATTCGTCTTATTTGAGAACTAGAATCGCCATTCTAGCGGAGCAGATGATCTACAAGGACATGCAAATGATTGGTTAATATGGGATGAAATGAGGCCGCAGTGCAGCATATACCATCTCATTCGCCTCTTCGATTTGTGGTAGGCATATTTGAAAGATCGAAGCACCCGAGCAGTTTTCCAGCTAACTAAACACTCAGGAGTCAGATCAAGCATCTTGTGAGACGCTTTCATGACCTAAAGCCATCAGAGTACGCAGCGGCCGCTTTTGATCTAGATACAAGATTGTACCAAGTTTACGGATCAATCCCTTCAGACTTGAAAAGGCAAAGCCTGATGGACAACAAGGTCATGGAGCGAGCCCAACGGAATGCCTTTTTCATGCATTCTGTTTATTACCTGTGTATTATCTATCTCCACATGTCTACCGTCCCAGCTTTTTCGGGGGTTCCATCAGCACAGCCACTTACGCCCAACTTCTCAGAGTCCTCCGCCCGAATTGCAGTCACGAATGCCAGAATGTATTGTAACAAGGCAAGGTGGCTGTGATGTGCTGTGTTGGGCTGGTAGAGCGGTGGCAGAGAGGAAAAGTTGTCTAGTCACATGTCAAACCTAAATGGGCTGGCAGAGAGGGAGGTGCGGAACAGCTTACAGTGCTGGCAGTGTGCCATTCATTACAGTTTGAGCAGAGTATCATGAATTCTATGGCTTTTTGGCGCCGTCTACCTAATTCCTGAGTGTTTTATCAGTCCTGTCCTGATCCTCGATGCTGTCACTGTGCTAGGTGTTTGTGGCCCTAGTCGCTGCTCCTCTGAGTGGTGTTGGTGGTGTTGTTTTGTCAGTATCAACCAGAAACGCGTTCTCGATTCCCGATCTGCTGGACAGGCCTCTGTGCGTTGTTGCACGTGCACGCCGAACCCTGAAGTGCTCTGTTACATTATAAGCCTCGGAATGCAGGCATAATCGAGGCTAATGCGCGAATAGATTAAATCTAAAGGTTGTCATTAAGTGTGATGGCCATCATTACTCGATAGCTAGCAGCATCGAGAATAGACTGATCATCGATATGGCGCGATGAAGGAGATCTTCATCGATAAGCAAAATAACCGAGTTTACCATCGGTAACGATTATCTTTGATGAGATGTCTATATAGCTCTTCGGAATGAGGATCTAATCTGCGTTAGCGGAGGAGTGCACGTCGTAAGTGCCGACGGTTATATTTCGGGAGGTACGTTGGTCTCCCGTAGTAAGTCGAGAACGCCTTTTCGGTTGACACTGACGAAACAACACCACCAACACTAAATAGAGGAGACAGCTAGGGCAACGAATGCCTAGCTGGTTAGCGGCATTAAATGAGGGGAGGCAGGACTAATAAAACACTCAAGGATAGATAGACGACATCAAAAGAACCATGACAACTGTTACTCTGTTCAAACTGTAGAGAATGGCACACTGCCAGCACTATAAACTGTCCTGCTCTCAGCTCTCTAATTAGGTTTGACATGTGACCTGATAGATCTCTGCCCTGCCAGTCCACCAGCCCAGCACTGCACAGCCACCTTGCCTTGTTACAATACTAACGAATCTATAGAGCTTTCTTAAGGTGGTGTAATTAGCGAAGAGATATTGTAACAAGGTAAGACTCCGTGTCTTAATCCTTGGATATATGAAACTCCCTCGATCAATAGACTCTCCGTCTTATATGTTTTACCGCCTAGCAAGTTTAGATTAAGGCCGCATGGGTTGATAGTATCGCCCGAATTGGTCAGCGAGGAGCCTTTAAGGGTCGAAAGTTGCCGTTGGTGTCTTGCGGCTAGCTTGGCACTCATCAAAGAAGTCTGGTTGAGGATGTGATAGTTCCACTCAAGAACAAGTAGACGCGCCCGAAGTCACTGTCTTGATTGAAATATTGACAACTGACAGAGACAGTCATTTAGTCGTATTCCATAACCCTCGAACTCTGTTTAGATGATAGACGTGTTACCTCGGCGGGAATTTCGACCGGATCTTGAACTTAACGGCGCGTCGTTGTCGGTACGCGTCGTGGCCGCTGCTCAGGGTGCAAAGGTTGGAGCGGTTCAGGTGCGGCCGGGCTAATTCTCGTGGAATGTGTCTTCTCCCACTTGAGCCTTGGGCGTCCATCCTGCCGACCAGAGATTTCAGCTCATACCCGTGAGAGTCATCGAAAATTGGCCACTTGCCACTCAGTGGGCTTGTGAGCCTGCCATGGTATCCGCAGTCATGATTATCGGAAAACGTCCGATCGAAGGGTCACCTTCCTCTTCAGGCTTAGTATGGGACTAAAAGGAGCGAGCTGAATGGAAGGCCTCCACTTCGCTGCACATACATAAAATCGCTTCCGCTCAATCCCTCTGCAAGACTTTAATACAATGAAGCTTAGCTATTGCTTGTATTTATCTCATCCAGACCAAAGTCATCGATTCTGAGATGGCAAAACAACTCACCCTTCCCGATGGTCGAAACCTCGATTACAGCATCACCGGAGCCAGAGAGGGCTTTCCTCTCATATGGTGTCACGGTACTCCTAGTGGCTATATTCCTATACCAGCCCTGGCTCGAAGCTGTGAGAAGAAAGGCCTCAAATTGGTCACTTTCTCTCGGTCCGGTTACGGTGGATCATCTAGGCGGAAAGGCAGGAACATCGTGGACGATGTTGATGACGTGCGAGCGCTCTCGAAGCACCTTGGTCATGACAAGTTTGTCGTCGGCGGATGGAGCGGCGGCGGTATGGCCATTTTGTCAACAGCCTCGGGCACAAACTGACGTGAAGACACAGGCCCACACTCTTTAGCCTGCGCGGCGAAGCTTGAAGGCTGCGTAGCTTCAATCGTGATCGCTGGTGTAGCTCCCTACAACGTTGAAGGATTAGACTGGCTTGCAGGCCAAGGTCAAGATAGTGAGTCTCCAATCAACGACTGCTTCCTGATTCACAGATCTGATGCAACTCGCCCAAGATATCGATGAGTATGCAGCCTCTATGAAGGGCGAATATGCACTCAGAGAGTACTGTGATGCGCAAAGACCAGGCCTTATAAGCTCTACAGCAGCGGGCATTATCGAGCAATTGTCCGCAATCTTGCCAGAGGTCGATAAGCGAGCATTGCGTGAGTCTGCTGAACTTGGATCATACATGGAGCAAACCATGCGTAAGTCTAGACACATAAACGAAATGCTGAGGCCATTGCCGCAACTGACCTCGCTGTGCGCCCAGGCGAGGGCCTCAAGTCTTCTTGTGACGGCTGGATCGACGACGACTTTGCGTTTCTTGCGCCTTGGGGTTTCGACGTGGCGGATATCAAGGTTCCAGTCTTCTTATATCAGGGCAGCGAAGACTTGATGGTTCCATTCGCACATGGACAGTGGTTGGGCTCACATATCAATCAGAAGTATTTAACCAACCACCTCGAACAGGGCGAAGGGCACATATCCATCTTCTTAGGCAGGGTCGACACCATGCTGGATGAGATCAAGGCCGTTATTGATGACAAAGCACAATAGAGGTTCAAGGATCCGCGTATATAGTCAGGCCTAGCGGGGATATATTTAGACCAATATCGCAGCTTGAAATGTTAGCTCGGCTCGCACATATAATTTTGAACGAAGCACGACCCTTTAGTCGAAGAATGGTAAGGTCGGTATTGGGGGGGCATACTTAACACCTAGAGCGTCCCGATCGATGAGCTGAACCATTGGACAGACCTCCTTTCTTAGTGCCCACCACGGCGAGCTGATGGCCGTACGCAAAACCACTTCAAGCCTGTGGATTGAGTCATTGAAGGTCCCAGGTCCAACGCAGCACTTGCACCTAATTCGGACGAATCAGTTGAATCAACTGAAAATTGCATCTTCTTCATGCAAAGATCCTGCAACAAGGGTAACAGGTCTAGGTATTTTCGCCCTCGAGTCGTTGTACCACACACGCAAAACCAACCGAACGCAAACTATCTAAACTCGCGCCCGGGCCAGGAAGACAGTATCCCTGTTCAGGCTCCCACTGATTCCCGTGGGAGACTTTCTTGCGAGTTTTTCTCAACTTATGCGGAAGTCAATATTGATGTTCGACAGAACCACGACCGAGACGATGATTTTACCCGACAGTTTTTAGGAACATCACTGTCCTTTAACGAGTTTGGTGACATCGTCAATGTCTCTCTTCCGACAGATTTTTGGCATGCATGCATCGCAGGCTTCCCAGCAGGGACTCCTCCGGAAGCAGTTGTCGGTACTCTTCGTGGCTTAAGCTTTAACTTGGGCGTCAACTATATTCAGATCCCGGGGCATAAGGCATCTTCGGGCCCGGGGGCCACTGTGAAAGTGTAAGACCTGTTCTTTTCCAAAGAGCTAATTGCCAGGCTCAAGAACAAAAACTCTAACCTCAGTGTAACGGTATTGCCTATTAACGCTCGGAACACAAGTTATCGAAAAGTTCGTATATCCTGGCATAAGGCTACTAGAAGTGTGTGGATGAATATGGGTCACGGCGAAATAGCGACCAGGGGGGTTGCCCAGAAATTCAACGAGGGTAGATATAACTGCGCGGGTCAGCATGTTAGATCAACTGCCGGAGGGAGTGGTTTCAGTCAGGTTTTCTTGTCTTACAACCATCTTCTTGCTTGGACTATTATCTTGAGCGACGTGCCTGGCCATGCCACGTCTCAGGACGTCGAGGCGGCCATCAAACTGGAATATGATAAACCACGGCAGGTTAAGATGGGGCCCATTAGCCACGAAGCCTGTGGTCCGGAGGTCAGCGTTGAGGTCCGTTCGCGCCTGGAAAGATATGGTCCGATTCAGAGCTTCTATCTCGCGCCCGAATCCACAGGGAAGCGTTTGAAAGCTACAGCTTGGTTACAGCATGAAGCAGAAGCCAGATCGGCATGCTCGCTGGGCGGCCGGACACTTGATATTTCTAATAAGCCGTTCGTCTGGTTACCAATCCCCTCAGATAAGAACCATCTACAGGCCGCGAAAGTCATTCGCGGTCAGACGGCAAGTCTGCATCCGAGGAAAATTGTCCCATCTGCTTCTACGAGGCCGATACCCGTATCAGCGCTTCAATTAAGCACATCTACTGCCTTGAATGCTTCGAGGGATTCTCCAAATCCACCGCGTCGACTAGCAGAGGCAGATTCCATATCAAGTGCCGCGGGGACGAAGGGACTTTCTCAACTGTATACAATCTCCAGGGACTAAAGGAATATCTCTCCTCATCCGTCTTCGAAGTCGTCCTCAAATCATCTTTCGAGGAGTACATACAACGCTAGCCCGAAGTCTTGCGCTATTTTCCAACTCCAGGTTGCGGATTTATCTACCGGTGCACCACAGCTTCGAGCTCTAAGCCTCCAACATAATCTTGCCCAAACTGTCTTGAGAGCCTTTGCACCTCTCATCACAAGCGACATGGCAATTGTACGTGTGCGGAGTTCAAAGACATCAAATCTAGTGGCGGTGAAGCGCTCAAGACTGAAGAGAGAATTTAACATCAAAGATTGCCCGAAGTGCTCATAGAGACGACGGAAGGGTGCAACTTTATGACTTGCGCGGCATATAAGGCACACATATGCTGGGTCTGTATGAGCTGCCTCCAATGCGAGCGAGCCTCGGTATGCTGACATGATAAAAGAGCAGGGTGGTGTCGGACTTGGACTTGAGTATTTGGCGTATGGACAATGCGCGCCCTAATGGCTGTTGAATATTTCCGGACTGGAGACAGCACGATATCTGTGTGCTGCAGTGTCTGGTTCTCCGTGACGAGGTCATCCAATCAAGAGGTGCTAATTAAGACTCTAAAACCACAAGTACCGTCAAGCGATGCCCAACTCCTGTGGTAGAAGCGAATGCAAGCAAATCTTTTGCTGTGGTTCCACCCACAGTCTTCTTTTTAGAGAAGAAGGGGGGGAGAAAACGGAAAAAAATGCCTAGCTTAGATCCATGCATCCATGGCATGATCATTTATGCCCTAGTGGCTCGGCGGGGGCAAGGTTCTGGTCTGCTATTCGTCGCACCATACGTCCACCATCCCAAAATGGGTTTGCACGTCCTGAATGGGAATCAGTCTTCGGCAGAGCAAAGCTTATTACTCGATAAAGCCATGCGTGATCAGAAACAGGCGAGCAGCAATCAATCTTCCCACTCTTTCGATGGCCGCAATCCCCCGCGTTTCTCTTTCATGCTGTTGGACTCGCAGAGGCGCAAAGCACGGTGGAGGTGCGCGACGTCAGTCCACTTCCCTGCCGAATTTGAGAAGTTGTCGTCTACTTGAAGACTAGACCTGACTTGTCAGGCTCTTTCTCGTGTTCGAGTGTCTCCTTACCTCGAGACTGCTTCGCGAGGCATTTCCTGAGACATAGAACTTTGTTTCGGTTAGCAATTCTATGTCAGGATGCAGGAGAGTATCAGTGTCAAGCGGCTCTCTCTAACGTCTCGCTTGGGCACAAGGATGATGATTTTCCCATCTAGGATTAGAAATGCCAGCATAGGGGATGGGCCGACATTACCTCAACAACTAGGAGAGGTGTACGCCAGGTTACTTCCCTCGCAGCAAAGGAAAGTCGACATTTGCCTGATCTCTGTGGTGCTGCTGCAAAAGGCATGTCCTCCAACGTACCCGAACCAGCTCAGCCTTCCGCTCTTGGCATCATACCACGAAGTTCTTGGCCACAACTGCTTTTATCTTAGGACCCAGCATATTCTCAGGATGGAGTGATGACCCAGGCATGTCGATTCAGCATGGTAAGATTATTGCAGCAAGTACGAGTTCGATTTGCCTTTGCTCAAAGCTTGGGTCAACTTACCAGCTGCGAAAGCAATAAATCCCACTGATAACATTGTTGCAAAATACCCCCCTGCTCAACTCTTCTTCGTATTGTCTGCCTGAAGCATTGACCTTGACGCTACGCTCATCGAAATGCATTCCCCTACCTTCGTAATAGTTCTTGTTACCCTGTATGGGGCAATCGTGTCAGCCACTGACCAACTGGTCGAACAACTGGTGCCCCTGGAGCGCAGTCTCTGGGATCGATGGCGCCTAAACATTAAACGTGCCGCGGAAGATTGTTGTCCGTGTTATCCCAATGGCCCGTCATCCCCAACCATTAACTCTACCATGTTTGATGTTACTCTTGGCCACGACGAGGATTTGATATGGACCTCTCCGAACAGTGTGTCAAACAGAGAATTTGTACTATTTAAGTACCACTAACCCAGGCTAGACGCCCAGCTGACTACCGTGCTATTCAATGTGATCCCAAATCCGGGACAGAGAATCATTGACATGGAGAAATTCTCCTCCGCACTTGTCACGGCCAATTGTTCTGAACATTTCGATCTGCGATTCTCGACGCAACAGACATTCAAAGCTGCAAAGGCATCATTTGACTGGGTCAATGGTGGGACAAACCGCACATTTATCCTCGTGGGCGATTCTGCTGTCTGCCACACAAGCAACAGGCGCATTCCCTGGGCCATCAGTCATGCTACCTTTGACGCAACCAACCGAGCTATCCACCTGACTGCAGTTCAGAAGAAGTGGGTAGAAGCAGCCTCTGCATTCACCATTGATTTTGGTGTCGCCAACCCAGGTCTCCAGAGGCGGCGGATAGGCTTCGATAAGGCAGGAGAGGCTATCTTCGACCTAAGCCACCCATGGCCTACCGAAATGCTTCGCTTTCTGTACCCCAATCCACTGATCAAGATCAATGTGGATTGCGAGGACTGCGGGATAAAGGGCTCACTGGCCGTGCACGGGCATGTCAAGTGGACCATCTTAGACGGGTTCGAGATATTCGAGTTGAGGGCAGAGCCTCGTGGCGTCGAAGCCGGTGTCCACTTGAAGATGGAAATGTCAGGCAAAGCTGACGCGGCTATCTTTGACCTGCCTAGCTACGACAAGCCAGTGGCAACGATCCCTGTGCCCGGGGGATTCGAGATTCCTGACATCCTCAAACTCGGTCCAACTATGGACGTCGGCGTCAGCTTCGAAGTCGACTCAATCGAGGGCGAGGCGACCATTACTACGGGCGCCACGGCCAGCATACCTGACACCGCACTGGCAAAGGTTGACTTTGCCGTCGACGGCGCCGCGGAGTTTGCGGACAAGAGCGAATTCTACGACTGGTGGCCAGAGTTCGAGGTTGATCCATTCGGCATTGACGCTCAGCTGGGCATCGGCCTGAAGTTTTCCGTGGTGTTCAACGTCTCCCTCGGCGTGTCGCTGTTCCCCGGTGAGTTTGTCGGCAGCGTGTTATTTATTATAGCCGGGCTTCGAGCCCCCAATTTGCTAACGTGGCTTCAGACTTCAAACTACCGTGGGTCAAGGTCCCCGAACAGGGATTCGAGATGGTGCTCGTTTTCAAAGACCCAATCTTCATCTTTGACGGGAAGCTTGGACACAGTAAGTCTCATCAATTCAAGAACCAGAATCCCAACCCGTGAATAAATCTTTGGGGATCGAATTCCTCCAAGATATAAAGGGGATAGATACGACGGAATGTGTAACTAACGTTGCATCAGAGGCCGGCGGATTCTGCCCTAATGATACGAGACCGAATGGTGTCTCACTCGACGTCAATGTAGGCTCCGCGATGAGTGTCGACGGCGTGATCGAGTTCTGGACTGGTAGCAAAGACTTGCTCGATATCGACCTGTGGGAGGACGATGAAGAGGAACAGATAGTGCTCGTGAAGGACTATTGTAAAGCATTTGGTGCCTTTCCTGTCTCGACAACAACGTCAAAGAGGATAACAACAACGACAAAACCCACAACGACCAAAAGCACTCCAACCACCACGCTTAGAACATCAACCACATCCAAGGTCACGACAACTCCACGAACGACCACTACATCGACGAGAACAACCACAACAACGACATCAAAGGCCCCTTCCACATCCTCCAACCCCTTCCCTCTTCCCTCTCCCGTTCCAGGTGACATCTGCGGCTGGACTGTGAACGTGCAGCCCTACCAATACTGGGAAAACGACCACTCCCTCGACCGATCCTCATACCTGATGTACGGCGATCAACTGACTCGCAACACCAAATGCATCACCGTCCAAAGCACCAGCGTTATCAGCACGCTGCCTGACCTGAGCACGATCCCCAGCGATGCCGAAATCACGTTCGACACCAGCTCCGGGACGACCCCAAACATCGACTCGTGCTGTCTGGCCATGTTCGAGACGTCGAACTGTGACACTGGCCGCAGTTGGAACAAGACGTGTCAACACGGGGGTGGGGAGTTGTTTGTGGACTTTGGAGTCAAGGCTTGGTTGGTTTATAACTGTGTGGGATTGTATACTGAGACTGAGGTGTAGCTAGAGGTTAGGCCAAATCCTACGTACATAGTTTTAGGGTAATCAATGCTTAATCAGTGGTATATACCTCCATGCTAGTAGGCTCTCGTGGGAGTTGTACCAGAAAGAGATGATGTTAGTTAGCTTCTGGTTGGGAGTTTGTTTTGCTTCTCATGGAATCGTGTCTGGAGCCACCCTGGACGGAACCGTGAATGGATGACCCGATCATCTCCCAGGTGGAGGCCACGAGAACGAGAGTTGGATGTTCGGCTTGTCCTCTGTAAAGCCAGCCGGGTTGGGTCGCGCGCATCAACTGACCGGAGAAAGCACAACATACACGAGGCTGACAGGGTGCAGATTGATTTGTCCTCGTCACTGTAACTTTATGTAGGAGCTCGATTTTCAATACGGGCAGTTTTGCCACCCAGCCTTATGAGGCTGACATTTTTTTCACTTTGCCGTGAATGGAGGGCGGTCGGGACGAGCGTGGTAGATGCGTGAGAGTGCTGTGTCATTTTTCCGTGATTTGCTCAAGGTTGGCAGCCCCGAGGCAGGTGAGAGGAGGTTCATGTCGGGTTGGGATCGAGATTATTTTCATGAGGCAAGCTTGAAGTGTATTACAGATTGCAAAGATTGCTGGTACATACTGTAGCTACTCGTTGCCGCTCGTGTTACTTGTTCCCGTAAGTTCAGACTAACTACGTCCGCCCAGACGCTAAGAATGCTTGGCTTTGACGTCATTCGCTATTTGCGTTCTTAGCACAAAGCCAAACCTCCTTGATCTCGCTGGCGAGCCGTTTTCAGCTGGACCCTTCAGCCCCTTCTGCCCCCTCTGCCCCCTCTGGCACCTTGGATTATTCTTTCATTCTTTCATTCTTTCCACTTGGTTGCCTCATCACATCATAGCAGCCAGGAAGGCTATGCTGCAGGCTGCTGTTGCTATCACATGCCAGAGACTGGGCTGGGCTGAAGGCGCAGACAAGGATGGCACACTGGAAGTTGCCGTCGACAAGGCAGGCACTGACGGAAGCGAGCTTGGTTCTGCCGTTGCAGGCGTAATTGAACCTCCCTGATCCGACATCGATGAAGACGTTCTGCTCAAAGTCACGGTGGCCGTGGGTGTGACTGTGGTAAGTTGCCTCCCTGCTGACACCCCATTTCGGCAGTTCTTGTACGACCAGAGATTCGTGGTAACGACCGTCTCCAGGAGACAAGAGGATGAGCCGTCGATTTGGCACCTGTTTGCCAGGCTGATGATGTTTGACTGGCAATTGCAGCTGAGGATATCCGACGCGGCTGTGTATGAAGCAGAACAGCCATCCGTTAATTCACCAAATCGAATGCAGTCGTTGTCAACGGAGTTACAGAAATCCTGGTCAATCGTGATTGACGGCTCCGCTGCTACTGGAGTTGTGACTGTATACGTGATTACTTCGTCGCAAGCCGAGTGCCAGAGAGTGATGAGCCCGGTGCTCGGATCCTCAAATGTAGGGTCGAATTCATCTCCTGCATAGCAGAGCCTGAATTCTCCTTCGCATCTGTGCCACCTTCAACCCTCAAATTCTGGCAATCCTGCGTGTTGACTTACCGCACAATGGCATCAAAGACGGTTTGTGGACAGTAGCAAGAAGCGGCGGCACTGCCACTCAGGCTGTTGCAAGCATTGAGCTTACTCGCAAAGAAGTTGCAGTTTGAAGCAGTAGTTAATGGTCCAACGCAATCTGAAGCATCGAGCGTAAGCGCCTGCGACGACGCAAGTGCCGCAAGCCCGACGCTCACTAGCAAGTACACGCCGAAATGCATCTTGAGGATATTTGTCTGACCTGGATGGGTGAGAATCAAGAAGGACCATTTTATATTCCCTCAACAAGCTAGAGGCCTGCCTTCGTCTCTCAGCCCTTCAACAGCAAGGTTTGCCGTTGGCTTTGTGCCCCCAAATTCTATCCCAACAAGGACGGCTGCTTCTGGATGTGGCGCCTGTCGCTGTGCTCGGCGCTTTCGTGTATGCAAGAACGGCTGCATTGATTGTCTTGGCTGTTGGCTCTGCTCCGCACCAGAGCGCCCCTCACCTATCCGGTCTGCTGGGAGAGCCTCGAAGTTAGAGTACCGGGCCAAAACAACAAGGTTTCTGGCTTCCTTCGGGGTCATGTGGCAGCTTCCATCGACGGTTGCCTTTTCTGGCCCACTGAACCCGTTGCTTTACATACACAGGTCACAGGATTGAGAGTTGACATAAATCAATCGCCAGCAAGCTAGCGAGCCTTCTACCTATTTGTTTTTGTCTAAGAAAACGCACACCTGTTTCTACCTTGGTTCCCAATCACAGCACAATGTGGAGATCGTGGTCTCTGAAGTCCTGGTCGTTGATTGCTATTGTTACAATCGACTGTGCCATCATTGCTGTTGTTGCTGTTCTTCTTGCTTTCTCGCAGAAGGATGATGGATTTGTCTCTGTCGCAGATCAAAGCGTCTCGTCATCTGGATCCAGCCAGCAAATTTCGTGGCAACAGGGTCTCCTATGGACAGCATTACCATCGGTTCTTCTTACGCTGTACCGCTTCTACTATGATTCTGTTGTCACAGCTCTATTGAACGAGGTGCCATTTGCCGAGTTATATTCCGACAAGGGAACTTCAGTCAGAAAATCATTGATGCTGGACTATCGAACCTATCCATCGATATACGCTTGGGTTTTTGCTTTTCGGAATCGACATTGGCTGCACGGCTCCAGCATGCTGCTCGGGTGGATTGTCTCCTTGTTCATCGTCCCTTTCTCGGCTCGTTTGATGGCTCCAAGCTACGTCAATCTCGACCGTCAGACTCCAGTATCATTGACAACAAGCTTTGACTCTTCCGCTATCAATGCATCTGTCGACTACAGTTCAATACTTGACACTGTGTCAGCGGTGAGAGTTCATGGTGGGAACCTGCCCCCTTGGACTGACGGAGAATTTGCGTTCCCAGCCGTCGACCTCTCTCCCATGTCTGAAGATCCGAATGGCGTGAGCGTAGCGCTCAATATTCAGGCTTATTCGGCGTATCTCGACTGTCGAAGTCTCACAGACTATCAGATAGATCGGCTAGATGCTGATGAGGGTTCTACAATCACCTTCTCCGCTATCGACAGGGGCTGCGATGTTGAGATTAAAGGCGGCGTGAGTGGGAGTTCAACGACTTACCTCAAAACAAGCTCGAAATTATTCTGTCCTGGCGGTACTGGATTCAGCCGACTTGTTATGTTTATCGGATCCTACGACGGCGATGCACCGTATTTGTTATCCAACCTCAGTCTCATTTCCTGCATGCCATTATACAGGAAGACGCCCGGCTATCTCAACATCACGAGAGCAATCTCGAATGCTCCGCTTTTAGCGTTCAGTCCGGACGAGGAGCACACCAGCGACGCTAGGTTCGACACCTCGGCATCATTCGAGTCAGAATTGCAGAATGTCCAGCACTTCACCCCTGGATCACCTGATTTTACTTCGTCTCTAGGCACGGTGGTCCTGGCTTACTCCCGAATGAACTACCCTAGCAACTGGATCTCTGCCGAACACATGATATCGTCCATCGCCACGATTTTCACCACTGTTTTTGCCTTTCTCGCTGCCACCGTGGCGTATAAACCCACTTCAGGAGCGACGACAGCCTCAGCCACGCTTACATCGTCCGAGAACCGACTCCACGTCGTCCCATGGATCGCGTACGCGTTCTTTGCCATCTTTGCAGTCTTGGTCTTCCAAGCCTTGCTAACCCTTCTGCATGTTCGGCGCCATCCCACCTTTTTGCAGGAGGAGCCGAAAGGGCTCATGAGCAGTGCGGACTTCGTCTCAAATAGTCCGAGCCTGCACCGAGTGGTAGCAGCGGCTCAAGCTGACCGAGAATACAAGGGCAGGATATGCGCGTACATGGAGAGTAGGTATGACATCGACAGGACCAAGTGCTGGGTGACACGCGATGGATCAGACGAAAACACCATCGTTGTCAATGACCTGCAACCGAAGGAGGCTAAAGGGAGTCAGAGAAAATGGGTCTGGGGGATTCCTCTAAGACACCTCTCGCGATCCCATGTCAAATGACCCGGTTGCCTGCTCTGTGATGTGAGACCGCGGTTTGCCTTGGGGAGCGGACGAGTTGCAACGCATACGGTATTGAGCTGCACCGATAGCCCATGTAGGCTTGCTTGACTGTTTGCCTTGGAGATCTATCCACCCTTTGAGAGCCCGGTAAGGACTTTGTCTTCTACTGCAGCACACTTCCTGGGCACGCCGTAGATCACGGAGAGAAGAAGGAGTAATTGCAGTATTGAACACGATTTGTTGGCGACGTTAACTAGTCACTTTTCAGGTCGAACAGAATGTCGCCCGTCACATTCGCTACCCCTGGATTAGTGCTCAGCCTTGTCCAGGGCTGTGATTGATCTCCTCTCACGTGGTTGTTGTTGCTACCGTTGCAAAGACTCCAGTCTAATTAGCAATGAATAATGTGTGATACAAGCTGATAAATATGGAACGTGCCGGGGGTGCTGCAAGCCAAGCCTAGCTTCACCTCGCCATGTCGGCGCCTCGCCGCCACACGCAATCCTTGACCTGAACCTGAACAGTCCTTGAAACTGAACCACCGACAGACAACCGGATTCGAATTCCAACGCCTGAAGAGATTCACCTCATGGATTCCAAAGCCAGACGTCCAGACCGCTCCGTTATCTTTTCCCTCATTACCCTCCTTGTGGCACTCATTTTAGGCGCACGATGGTACTCGATTGCGAAGCCGCATGGTTCAGTGGCCTTGGAGGTCAGTGCCTCTGTCATCAACCCTCTGACAGCCGACTTGAGAGAGCTACAGGGCTTGCTTGGAAATGGAACTTTGCGAAGTGTTGATCTTGTTCGGTTGTATACAGACCAAATTCAGAAACATGACGACTATCTGAACGCCATGATCAATTTCGGACCGTTACAGAGTGTCCTCAAAGCTGCTGAGACGCTTGATACAGAGCGATCTGAGGGGAGAACAAGAGGCCCTTTACATGGCATCCCAATTGTGATCAAAGTGAGTTCCGTGTCAGTCATAAATGACTCGGGACTGACTGCTCCCTAGGACAACATTGACACACACCCCGACCTTGGCTTTCGGACCACTGCAGGGAGCTATGCGCTCGCAGATTCCTGGCCGCAAAGAAATGCCCACATAGTCGACCTGGTACGTTCTACTCGGAAGAAGCCACGCAACCGCACCAGCTGATGGTCTTGACTGTGCTAGCTGATCGCAGCCGGAGTCATAATTATTGGCAAGACGAATTTGAGCGTATGTGAATTTCGTGCAATGGTCGTCTCTCTCATTGACATTATCTAGGAATTGTCAAACTACAAGTTTGTGCGACCATAAGCGCCCACTGTTTCTTCGACTGAGAATTGGTGTAGGGGCCAGAATATAACAAGCGGCTACTCTGCTGTTGGCGGCCAAGTCCAGTCCGCGTATGTCCGTGGCGGCGTCGATCCAAACGACGGCAGCAACGGTCATAGCGCAAGTCTCCCTGTGAATACAGATATCAGTGAGTTCTAACCATATGTAACCAGAATCCGTCTGGATCCTCTGCTGGCTCAGCTGTCGCGGTTTCGGTGGGCTACAGCCCTTTCGCCATCGGCACCGAGACCGACGGCTCGCTCGTCCTACCAGCAGGCAGAGCCGCACTGTATACAATCAAGCCGACAATCGGCCTGGTCCCGCAAGCAGGAATCGTCCCTATCTCACCAAACTTCGACACAGCTGGCCCTATGGCTAAGACTCCCTATGACCTGGCGGTGCTCCTGGATGCAATAGTTGACCCCGAGCGAAAGCTTCCAAGCTATACCTCTGCCTTGACACAGAGCTGGAGTGATATTTCTGTTGCTACGCTAGATCCCCAAGTCTGGAAACTCCCAGATTCCTGGTTGCGACAAGTCGAAAACGCAACGCAGCAAATGGTTCGCTCGTTCATGTTTCAACCTGATTGATTCCATAAAGCTAAGCCATGAAATAGAACAGAGAGATCCGACAGGCGTACGCCACAATCGAGGCATTGGCTAAATCATACGCTGGCAACGTGCCTCTGATCAGTCACGATGCCTTTGACCTAAACGGCAAAAACAGCGAGACTGTAGTTATAGGTAGGGGGCCTGAGAAGCACGCTGTCGGTATCCTAAGCTGATGCAATATTCAGCTGCCGACTTTGTGAAAGCTATTAATGCCTATCTCGACACTCGAGTCAATTCCACGGTTCGGAACCTGAAGGAGCTCATTGAATTCAACGAACAACACGCGGAGTTGGAACTTTCTCCCTGTAAGCTAGGGAACACCACTTCTTCCCTACCTTTCAATAACATGCAGGCCAGATTCTCCGAACCAGGGGCGCCTCGTAAGAGCTTACAAACAGTCGATCACTGCGGAAGAGTACGACGCTCACTTCAAGCACCTCCGAGATGTGGCCAGAAATAGGGGCATAGACTTTATTCTCGACACGTATAGAGCCGACGTGATCATGGCACCAGCGGATAGTCTGCTGATCAACTATGCAGCTTGTAGTGGTACGTGTGACACGCGATCCCTCTCTCACACGGGTCTATGCTAACGCCTCCAGGGTATCCAATTGCCACATTGCCACTGTCGTATCTCGACTACAACGGCAGACCATTTGGCCTTTCGGTAATTGCCCGTGCCGGTCAAGACACACTGTTGATCAAGGTTCAAAGCGCCTGGGAGGCTACGTTCGGCGCCCGGAAACCGCCTTCAGCCATGAATGGCACCTCGTCAAAACTCTAGGCGAGCGAGATATTCCCGGGTCTTGATCGGGATTGTCGAAGCAACTTATTAAGTTGGAGTTTCCAGTCATGATCAATCAATACAGACACTCCAGGGGATGTTTTCTTCAGCATCTGTGGGAAAGACCTCCGGGGCCTTTTGTGTAGAATACTTGGAGCACACACAACTAGAATTTTAGACCGGCTTTGAGATCTCGGCAAGGCGAAGCCTCTAACAAGGTAGCGAAAAGGTACCTAGGTAGCTGGCCAGCACCCCAAGAAAATGGGCCTACTTGGGACTTGCCAACACACCTGGCAATTTCCAACCGAGTAGGGGATATTCCCCAGATATGCAAGCTCCGCATGCACGCTACATGATTCACTCACTCTACTCTTAGATCCTTGAAGATGACGCTCGTCCCATCCTCCAAGGATGTCAGAAAGACCCCGATCACTGGTCCAGTGAAATCCGGGCCCACCAGATCCATCATGTCAAACGGATCGAATTCGGTGCTTCCTCCGACTGTGCTGAAGGAGAATCTGTACGAGTCTTCTCTGTACTCCAGTTGCAGCTCGTTAGCTTTACCTGCGGGACATTCCTTTCGAGTGAGTCGACGAATCTCTTTTGGTCCGTTTACGACTTCAAGGACCATTTCGCTAGTCGGCGAGTCGTGGTAGATCCGAGCATACCGAAACTCGTCTTTGTATATGGCGAGGCCGGTTTTGCCGGTTACACCGCGAGGCGGCGCCAGGAGGACGACGTACGATCGACCATCAAGCACCCTCTGTCGTTTTCCGACGAACGATACTTGACCTCGCGCGTCCGAGAGATCAGCCCTGCTAGATATCAGCTCGATCGTCCTTCCGTCCGGGGAAATCTTGTGCTTGCGGAGATTAACGTCGCGGATGTAGCAGAAGTCCACGAGTGGCTCGGAGCTCAGAGCACTTGGCTTGCCGACTTTCCTTCCGTAGGCAGCCTCAGGAGCCATCTTCACAGGTTGCAGCGTTGGCCAGTCACCCTCGGGCCACGTACCCGGTGTGATAAACGTTTCACGTCCCATAATATACCTCTTTTTTGGGTCCTTGCGTACTCCGAGACAGACACACCACCACTGGCCTTGCTTATCGCAGAATATATCGCAATGTCCGGTGTGCTGGATGTATTCGTGTGTTCCACATGCGGTCAATATGGGGTTGTGGGGGTTTGGTTCGTATGGGCCGTACAGGTTCTTGCTCCGAGCAACAGTGATCATATGGTCTTCAAAGGTGCCGCCCTCGGAAATGACCAAGTACCACCAATCATCTTTTCGATAGATGTGAGGTCCTTCAGGCCAGATGCCACCAGTGCCTCTCCAGATGAGTTCCTCACCACTGAGTTTTGAACCAGTCTTGACATCGATCTCAAACATCTTGATTGTTGTCATTGGACCGGGGGCTGCAGAGCCGTGTAGATATGCCTTTCCTTCATCATCCCAAACGAGACTGGTGTCGATACCATCAAAGTCGAAGAAGACAGGGTCACTCCACGTATGAGAGTAAATGTCAGTTGTCGTTATAATGAAGTTCTGTTTGCTCTCGCCCTCGTTGTCACCCTCGCCTCGAATAATGTTTGTGCAAATGACATAAAATGTCCCGCCACGATAGCGTATGGTTGGCGCATAAAGGCCGCCTGTGGCTGACATGACCTCTCCCCATTCGCCTGGTGGACTGTGTTTTGTCTCGGAGGCCTTGAGACTGAGCTGTTCGCGGCGATTGAATGCGTTCGCTGTCGAGAAAAGCATCAGAACCGGTATCTCACACAGCAGATTTGCACGAGATTCTCCGAAGCTTACTTATGTGTCGCCATGACACCAGGTCTTTTGATGCATAGATGGGCAGGCCTGGAAATATGTGGAAGCTGGAATTCACAAGGTAGTATGTATCATCGACGAGGACAATGGAAGGGTCCGGCGCGAAGCCAGGGATAATTGGGTTCATCATGGGACTGTTGGACTGAACGAAGGTCACCAAGGCCCCAACAACAGAAACTTGCAGATTCACGCCGGCCGGACGTGTCTCTTCTTCAGCTGGCCTCTGTCTGCGTAAATATCTCCGGTTTAGTGGGCTGAGCAAAATGATCTACCCTCCTGACAGGTAGGGCCAATGTTGAGGTCATTGTGCCTTATTCCTTGCAACCCCGTGGCTGAAGTCTTGACCACCGCTTTGGACCATGCTGGACCTGACCTTGGCTTCAAGGTCCGGGGCCCAGAATTCAGCCTGAATGCCGCTGAATCTCCCTGCAAGGCACAGTGTCGGAGTTGTGCCGCTTATCGGATTTGGAGCGACACCCCGAACTCAGCCTTGCGCCCCACGGGGGAATAAGGCCTCGACATCTCGGTTCGATTGGCTCCTATCTGTTCTCCTTTCCCAGGTTTCAGGCTAATAACCTACAAGTGTCTATGCAACAGACGTCCACAGACCACACCGTGCAACATGTTTTCAGCAAGAAGCCGGTGGCTCGCCCGGTGGTGGCTTCCCGGCGGTTCCCCGAAGTAGCTTTTAGCTCAGCTCACCTCCACGATAACCTACACTTACCGTCTGATACTGAACACACCAACCCAACTTACTCCAACAAGTGTCGGTACTTTTGCGCCTTTGACCACACTCAGAAGTAAAGCAAATCATCTGAGACGGCTTCAACCGGGCAAATGAAGACCTCGGTTGTTGATTTCACTCTACAAAGCACGCGACAATGGAGACCAATTCAGGCAGATTGCTCCTCTCAATATCCTCTATGGCCACTACTTCAACTTGGTAAGAATGCTTCATGCCCCTTAGATCTTCACTCTGTACCATTCCAGAATTCTCCTCGATCCTCACTTGCTTCAACCACTGCCTTCCAGACTGTACCAAGATGGCAAAAGATCCTCAGCTCTTCGTCCCTCCCAAGGGCCACTTTGTCCTTGCAGGCAGAGTCTTTCCTCGGGTCAAATGGTGGAAGTCCTCCACGATGAGATGGCTCTACTTCTACATCTTTGCCTTGATATGTACCAACACTGCCAATGGCTATGACAACTCGATGATGAACGGCCTGCAGTCCCTTCCGCTATGGCAGACCTACTTCAACCATCCAAGAGGCTCGATTTTAGGGCTTTTCAATTGTGTCATGAGCGCTGGCGCACTTGCCGGTCTCTTGTTCGTTCCATTCATGCTCGATGGCCTCGGGAGACGAACAACCCTGACCATCGGTGCATCCATCATGCTTGTTGGTGTTGCTCTTCAGTCTGCCGCACAAAGCTTCGGCATGTTCGTTGGTGCCCGATTTATCCTGGGTTTTGGCGACATCATTGTCAACTGCGCCTCACCACTTCTGATCGCTGAAATTGCTCCAGCACAAGATCGTGCTCTGCTGGTCACCATCCAAGCCGCGAACTACCAATCTGGAGCCTTCATCGCTGCGTGGGTCACTTATGGCACTTTAAAGATTAACAGCAACTGGGCCTGGCGAGCTCCCAGCTTGATTCAAGGTGTATTCACTGTGTGGATGTTGGCAGTCGTTTGGTTCATGCCAGAATCACCTCGTTACTATATCAACAAGGACAAGTCTGAAAAGGCTATGCAGGTTTTGGCCAAGTACCACGCCGACGGCAATGAGCACGATGAGGTCGTTCAGATCGAATACACCGAAATTTCTACTGCCCTGGCGCTGGAGAAGCAGCAGAAGAAGACTTCATCTTTCTTGGACTTCTTCAAAACCAAGGGCAACCGCCGCAGGCTTATCATCCTTATTTCAGTCGGTCTCTTCTCGCAGTGGTCTGGAAATGGCTTGATTAGCTATTACCTCAACCTTGTCTTGGATAATATCGGCATCACTGATCCCAATCAACAACTCCTCATCAATGGTGGGATCACGACTTTTAGCTTGGTCACTAACGTGGGTTTCTCATTCTTCGTCGACAAATGGGGTCGTCGACCGATCTACCTGATCTCGACTGTGGGCAGTCTCGTATCCTGGGTCATTTGGACTATCTTGGCCGAGCGCTACACTGCCACCAAACAGCTCGCCTATGGCAAGGGAAATCTGGCATTCATATTTATCTATACTCTCTTCTACAACTTCAAGTAGGTGATTTCCTATTCAACTGCGCTCCGAGGCCACAACTAATTCATCTTTGTTAGGTCCGGACTGATTGCATCCTACACCACCGAGATCCTCCCCTATAATCTACGTGCCAAGGGCTTTACCATCATGGAATACGCACTCTACGGTGCTCTGTTCTTCAACCAATACGTCAACCCGATTGCCATGAATGCACTTGGGTGGAAGTACTACATCGTCTATTGCGTTTTCCTGCTCTTCGAAGTCTTTGTTATCTACTTCTTTTACGCTGAGACCAAGTATCTGCCACTTGAAGAGATCACCAAGATCTTTGATGGAGAGGACGTGGCCGCCAAGACTAACGAGAATCTGGGTGGAGAGAAGGTGATCAATACCGCCGTACATGTTGAGGAGATCAGCGCCATGAGCAAGGCATAAGGATGTGGACGACGTTGAGAACGATATGGTGCCTTGACGTGGGAAAGCCCCAAGCTGACGTGCTAGCCAGTGATACGAATTGGCCTGAGAGCATTGGCCTCGTTGGCAAGGCTGGTCCCAGTTCCATTGTGACCGGAGAAGAAACAGAAACAAGACATGTACCTCCTCATGGACACATATTTTCAACCCCCAAATATTCTTTTGTAGCCAACTTTGCTATCATTACTATAGCTACCAGCATGAGTAGTAAAAGCTGCAAAGGTGGGAGGGCAGAGCTAAAAGCAGCGGGGTGAAGAATCAGACTCAAGCCATGGCTCCAGTAAAACGGCGAGTTCTTGAACCTGAAAAGGGGAGTTAAATGTTGACTTCCCCCAGCTATTGTCGTCAGTGGCTCGAGCCATGAAGTACTTCGCCATTCATTTTCCAATGACACCTACTTTCTTCCAATCCGCATGCATGAAACTGCAACATGAAGAAACTTGTCTCTTGCTCTGCTCGCTTTTGCATCTCTGCCCCTCAAGCCGTTCAAGCTTCCTCCCTGCTAAGGATTCGGTCCTCCAATAGAACACCAATTCTCCCCCTAGCGCGACTGTTCAGCACAACTCCCTCCTCACAAAGGAATCGGGTGTTCACTCCTTTTCGAACTCCCCCCCAATTCCACGATGCCCTCCGCCTGGTCTCCGCCAACAACACGCTCATGTTGGCGCTCTTCACTACCTCAACATGTGCCCCCTGCCGCACGATAACACCACTTTTGACCTCCCTTGTCGAAACTCGACCACCCTCGCCGGAAGACAAATACTCGTCTCTCGCTTTTGCAGAGATCGAGCTGGACTCTCCAGATATAAGCAACGGCAACATGATGGACCTTGGAGTGGAATACGGGGTCAGGGGCATGCCTACATTGATGGGATTCGGGGGGCGGAGAGCTGAAAGAGTCACGGAGCGACTGGTCGATACGAGGATGTTGAGTAACGAGAAGGCAATGGCAAAGTGGGTTGACGAAGAGATGAAGAAGGGTGACGCATCTTCCAGTTCGAGTCAAAGTGGAGGTGGTGGATTTCTTGCGAGGATTTTCGGGCCCTGACAGCCTAGGATCTGCAGTTGGGAATCAGCTATCGAACAATGCCCAGTGATTGGCGTACTGGCCGTGATTTTGGCAGGATGATGTGCTCCTCCTGACGACCGGCGTGGGCCCGGGAGCTGCCCAGACTCGACAACTTTGTTGCGTCAATTCGAGGCCGTATTGTTTCTACCATTGCGGCAGCATCCTCAACCCAGAACCTGTTGTTAGTTCTACCCCGATTCAGCTCTCTGTCAACCACAACCTCAAATTCCAGCCCAGAGATGAAAGATGATATTTTCTGCTCATGGCCAGAAGAGATCTCCGAACGCCATATCGTGAGGCATGAGAGCGAATGAGTATCTGGAGGTTTGCGTGGTTAATTGGTGATGCATCAGAAGTAGGACGAGCCATGCTCGACGTCGTTGTGATGAAGTAAGGTGGTGTCTACTCTTCAACTTTGACAAAGGTGGGTCAAGCTCGAGCGGGACTCAAAGCCAGGAACCCGACAGGTATCCCAGAGGACTACGCACTCTCGTATCTGCGAGTTGGCCCAACGCTGACATACAGACAACGCAGGTACAACACAATTGATTCGGTACAACTTATAAACCCTACCATCTTGGAACATGGCTATCTCAACACTCGCTTCTTCCGGATCCTGGACTGCCGATCATGACTCAGATAGGACGGTAAAGCCCTGAACATCAGAGGGACTACATTGCTTGGTGCCTTTTGTTCGTAGGGGCTTCGTCCGATGGGCTATACATCTTGTTTGACGACATACTTGCTACCTTTGACGATTCTGCGAGTTGCATAGCGGGTAATGTCTGTTACTTGACTTGCGCCTTTGTGGAAACATCTATGCGCTTTTCCCGCCTCCCATGCTGCGAAGTGGATATGGAAAATTCAAATGCTGCTGACCATAGCACTATGCTATTCCATTAACTCCCAGCTCGAGCTACTTACAACGACTGAGAAATCCATCAAACTTGACAGCTACACCGCTCCGATTGCAAAGGCGAAGCAGCAATCTCACTACACGACACGTCTAACAGCCGTAAAGCGTAAGAATGAGCCCTTCATCGAATCCGGCGTCATTTATGTTTATAGCTCTCACTCCCCACCTATACCTATTGGTAGGCGGTAATGCATTCATTCTTCTGTCAAAGGATGATGTGGCGTGCGGCGATCTGACGCCGGCTTGTGCGCGGCAGGAGCGGGCCGAACCTAGTCTACCAAGTCTTCGTCATTCTATTGGTGCTGCGGAGCCATCGGCACAAAGCGGCGAGAAACGTGAGATCAGCATCATCCTCGGCCTTGTTCGGAGACTGCGCTTTTCCTAACGCCGCAGGGCTTGCTCGCTCAATTATTGGACAAACCCGACGACAACGAACACTTTTCTGACTTGTGGCCCTCCAGAAGAGGAATACAGATCTACTTAATTTCTCGCCGGTCCCCAAGCTTATGAAAAATTTGTTTCGTGCCCGCTTTCGTTTCACGAGACCTGTGTTAATATAAGCCTGCCACTCAAGACGAGGGAATCCGGCTCTGCTCAAGGTTGAGTGAACCATCGAGGGTACGATTTTCTTTTCACACGAGGTTCTCTTCGACACTTGACCGGACCTTCTTAAGGGACGCTCATTGCCCTCTTCCGCAGGGCGGTTTCTGGGCAGATCTGGGCCCGTACCGAACAAGAAAATGTCGACGAACGGCGGTGACTCGACATCGGTATCGGCATCGCCAACCAAGGATCAATGGGAAGAATTGTGCAAGGATGTGAAGGAGTTGCTGCTGGAAGAGACGGGCGTGGAGAGCTGGTACATCATCATCGTGAGTTCAACTTGTCGTCTCGCTGCCGGTCCTGGCTCTTTCCCCTATTTCGATGGCTTTTTACAGAATATATTGCTGGGTCTATAGCGTTGGGGTAGCGAGACTCGGCGGATTTCTTTGCGTTCTGCTGAATTATGGAGATGGAGACAATTTGCATGGAATAGCAAATGGGTCGAGCTCGTTGCAACTCCAAGGAGGAGGTGCCCGGACGAGCATTCTCATCGCCCGTGGAGAGATCAGGGCTTCTCAGAGTCCACTTGGGATGCAAAGAAAGCATAAATATTCCCCCGTCTCGGAATTTCTCTTTGGGTTGAAGAGAGGCATATATCTCCTGTCATGGTTTCTTCTAACAGTCTCCCCTCGCACCTAGGCCACTGTCATCTCGGGCTCCCCACAACCGCAGCTTCTCGCAGACTTCTGGACCTACATCACTGCGCACGATGCGTCCTTCTCGACGCCCGAAGCCAGATCCCGACTCTCGGACCGGCTCCGTGACATTCTCCTGAAGCAGATCGTCTTGATCGGTGCGCCGCAAGTCCTCTCCGGGTTGATCCCCCTCGCAAAGAGGCAGACCGAGGGGAAAGGGGAGCAGGGGCGCGGCGAGTTGGACCTGCGGCAGTGGTGCGTAGAATTGATTGTTCATTTCGTCCCCATGACATCTCATCCACCCATGCCTCCATAGCTCCAAACCTGGTCGACGGCCCCGGTTCTTGTATATGCCCTAAGATCAGATTGGCTAACCAACAAGCGTACGCTTCCTCTTTGTAGGTCCAACATCACGCTTCCGTCCCTGCACGCTCGCGGCATCGAAACCATCACATCCATCTACGGCACGCTGTGGCCGCGGATCTTCGAGACATTCGGCCCGCACCGAGCGCAGATGGGCGTGCACGAACTCGCGATCGTCTACGGCCTGTATCTCAGCGACTTCGCGACCTTGACGGCGCTAGAGACGGAGCTCGTGGCCTTCACGAGCATCACGTGCCAGGGCCTGCGCGGGCCGAGTCTCTGGCACGTGCGCGGCCTGGGGAGGGTGTTGGGCGCGCGGGGCACAGACGACGAGAATCCCAAGATGAGGCGCATCAAGGACGTGCTGCGTGGCGTCAAGGTTGCTGTTGCGCGGTGCGTCGAGTTCTGTGGCGCCGACATGGTCAGCAGGAGTGGCTTGGACGCGAGCAATGGAGGGCTCGGATGGCCGAATGTCGGGGATGTGGGGAGAGAGTTGGGCGGATGGGGCGATGATGATTGAGAGTGTCCATAGAGGCAGGCGGATAGACTGGCAGACGAACCAACAAAAACCAAAACCAAAACCAAAACCAAACCAAACCAAACCAAAGGGAGAGGATGAAAGCCACGAAAACTGCAAAGAGCGCAAGGGGAAATCGCCCAATTAGATAGTAAATACGGGGGTCGAAGCATGGAGGCGGAAGACACCCAGTTTCTTGAATCGTGGCATCAAAACACATATCATATGACCCATCTTGATATAGTACAGCTTGACTTGGCAAGAATAATGATTCCAGATCCTCACGGTCGGGATGCCGAGCAGATCGATTAGACAGGGAGGGTTTGAGGCGGTTCGTGCATCGAGTGAGATTGACAGATAATCATCTTGTCTCAAGACCCGTCCTTTCTACCCTAGTGCTGAGGGCGGGGCACCGCTTCGACAAACCTCCTCTGATATTGGCCCTGATGCCGTTATCGTGCACTGATGCTTTCCATGATCCAAGGATTGACGCATGAAGGATGATTGGTACCCTCCTGCAATGATGATCTGGTAGACGGCTGTGCGGAAACGACCTGAAGCTTTCCATCTGTGGGCTTAGAGGATCCCAGGGCGGCGGCTGAGATGGGCGCTTCTTCTGCGTCTGTTCATCCCTTTCCGTCTAGGGCTAGGCCGCAAGACCTCTCTTCTCGGACTCTGAGAAGAAAATGAGCATGCGCCAGAGTTTGCGGACGAGGACTTCGGCTTCTTCGTCCAGCGCCTAGAGAAGTTGGAACATGTTAGTCTTCTGCACATTCGGACATCAGATTCAGGGAAAGACACGGAACACTCACCCCTTCGAGCTCTCCTACCAAGTCCTGCGGTTTGCCCCTGGATCTCAGAGCATTGACAACCACATCCACCAGCATCTGCTCCTGCACACCGAGATATTCGACAATCTTCTTTTCCACGAAGGGCTTCAATCGCTCTTCAATAATACTCTCATCCACAAACTCCCACTTGACATCCCACGCCCAGAGTCCTTCTCTGTCGTTGGGAATATCCGCGGCGAGCTGGCGAGCCGCTCGGGCGCGCTCTTCTTCCGACATGCCAGCTGTTGTCGAGGCGTCGTATTCAATAGGTATGAGCGTTCTGCGTGTGCCGGCTTTGGATTCTTCCTCTTCGTCCTCAAGTAGACCCTCCACGTCTGCGACGGTGCGTTTTACTGTCTGAGAGGCACTTTGCGCTGCAGCTTTCTGTGCTGCTGCCCCTAAGGATAGCTTGAAGCGGGCAGGTTCACGGCGCGAGGCTTGTGCGCGCTCTTCCTCTTCCCGATCTTGTTCTCGGCCGAGGAGTTCTTGTTCTTGCCGACTGAGGAAATCGTCTGCCATGGCATCCACCCGTTCACGTTGATGTAGTTCTCGAGCTCGCTCGCGCTGCTCGGCCGCACGATCCGCATCGTCGTTTACTATTTCACGCTGGCGAAAGCCCGCTCTGTTACGGATCCACATGCTCCGATCAGCGTAGTATTCCTCGGTCTTGCGGGAAGCCTCGGTGTCGTCATTCCAGTCATGCAATCGTCGGCGCATTGCTTCCTTCTCCTCCTCTATGCGGCCGCCTTCGTCTTTTTCGCGCTTCTTTACGCGTTCAACGGCTTCTGTCCGTGACCTCTCCCGATTCAGCCATCGACGTTCCTGATCCAAGAGTTGTTTTTCAAGCTCTGCATCTCTTTTCTCCTTGCGTCGCCGTTCAAGTTCCTCGTCGCTTGCGTCGGTGTCTTCGTCTTCGAATGCAGAGGCTCCACTGACTGCCGTTCCATTTACCAATACAACGCCTTTCTGGTACTCTCTAGGTATTTGCACTCCAAAGCCTTTTGGTCCGGCAGGCGCTCCTCTTGGACCAACTGGTATGCCATTCGTGCCGGCAGGTCCAGCAGGTGCTGAAGGAGGCGGCGAAGCAAGACGACTAAAGCGGTCACCATTCATCATGCGATTCCGTTCTTGTTGTTCTATTTCTTCTTCCCGTTTGAGGCGCTCCAAATCGCGACGATTGCTCCGATCCCGGAATGCCGCGATTTCCTTTGCGACAGTCTCACGCATGTCTGCTGGGATGTCGGATAATTCATCGTCTATGGCGATGGGAATCGTGACCACTTCTCCAGTGGCACCATCTGCTTGTGCCCCGTCTGCCATGCTGACATCACCTTCTCGGTCAATGTTTGACATTTCGTCTTTCTGTGCTGGGACTGTGGGATTGCGAAGGTCTTCGAGGACAGCATCCAACGCACTTCGGGCATGATCAAGTCGCATTTGTACTTGATCCACATCCCTCCCACCCTGTGATTCTTGCCATTGTTCGATGTAACTTAGTGAATTGTCATCAGCGACAACCTGCACCCATGTCAGTATAACAAGGTCCGGCGTTGCTTCAATTCGACTCACCACTAATTTTGACATTTCGATCTCGGCGTCCTCGGTGGCCTCCACTTCAGCTGCAGTCTGCCGCTTGACAGGAACCTCAATATACCTTAGTACTTCTATGGCAGTACTGAGGCTTTCGGGGTCTTCGTACTCTGCAAAACCAAACTTGCAAGGCTTGCCATCGGCGTCCGTGGCACGGACCCATCTCCGTAGACTTCCTGCGGCGTTCAATATCCTTTCGATACCCTCATCTCCTCCGGCGCCCTCGGTAATGCCACCAACGTAGAGGGTTTTTATGATTTCTTCCTTGGTCGGTGGCTGGACTTGGGTTATCCGGTCTCTTTCGCCACGAAAATCTGAACCCGTCCCGGCGCCTAGCCCAGGCCTTCGTCCGCCTCTTTCTCGATCATCTCGACCTCCGGGGCCGTCGGGTTTGGAGGGTCCAGAGGTTCCTAGGCGAATGACAGGTGCAGAGAAATTGATATTTGGCATGTTGGGGGGTGGCTGGAAATTGGGAGGAAAAGAGCCAGGTCTGACTGGTTGGTGAGCCTCTTGCTGCTGCATTCCAGGGGGAGCGCCCATGCCTGGAGCTGCCATACCAGGAGGAGGACCTGGCCAAAAACCCGTCAGTATCGTCAATTTTAATTGTTCTTGGGACTTGAGGGCGATCTACCCATTCCAGGTGGTGCGCCAGGAAAGTTCCCATAGTCTCCCGGCACGCCATACTGCCCCGGTGCTGTTCAGATGTCAGTTTTTGTCTAGTGTGGGAGTAACTGTGCAGACCAACCTTGGTAAGGCGGGTTGTACATTTTCTGTATAAGATCAAGGCTTCCTCGAACAGTTGAGATGTGCTTGCGCTTTATTCAGTTAACCCTCGGGGTAGGTGAAGTCCATGTAGAATACTTGCATCGGAATGCCTGAGAGCGCAAAGCAGAACTCTATAGACCGAGTGATTCTAGGACGAGTTGTTTATATGTTCACGTCCTGTGATTCAAAGCCTGCGACAAAATGTTTTCGGAGTTCGGAAATACTGTTGATCCGGCAGAATTTAAGCACCACCCACCACTGCACCCAACTGCACCCCTTGTGCACCTTGTGCACCCTAAAGCTAGCTGGCCAGCTGCGGCGGTCATTTCAAAAACGCGAGGACCAGCCGCCACCTTCACAGCCTTCGCTTCCTGCCGAAGTGAGCCACGCCGATAACCGCGCATGGCTGTCTCCTGGCGGCCTCTTGCGGCCAACGTTCAATCACATTCTGTACAGGTATGTAAACGTGATGGCAGGCTCGTTTTATACCAATTGTTTGCCCAGAACCCTTCTCCAGGGATTTGGCGGATGCTTACCCGTCGCTGGATGATAGCATCCTTTGCTGGGAACATGAAGGGATCACCATACATATCTTTGGCCCCTCAAACGAGTATGACATTGCTGACGATCCTTCTCCCGCTCTTGACTGCAAGATCCGTCGATTTTCAAATTTAACGGTGTGGTCAAAACGTGGGGTTCTCTCGGCCAAAGTGATCCCATCGATACCATGCCATATGCTATCCCTCATTCTCAGTACATTCCTACTGGGAAACTAGAACTGTGGGCCCGAGAACTTTTGAAATGGGACCTACATCGCAATTTCGAACCATTGGGGGAGTCGTTCGACTCCACGACGGTAGACATCGTCAGTCATGTTGAGAAATGTGAGTTGTCCAGCTTGATCCCTAGGCAACTCTTATTTGTTTCAGCTTGTCACTGACCGCACCATCATCATAGAATCAGCTGCTGAGGACATGTTTCACCTTTGCTGCGCTGACATGGGTTTCTCATCGCTCGTTGCAGGCTGTAGCAAGTACCCTACACGCTATGAGTCCTGATTCTGGTGTGCGAGCTGTTGTTGATGAGCCAACAACTACCCATCTGCCCATGTTGGCAAACGATGCTGTTGCAGGAGTATCTACCTGCCCCGCGATGGCGCAGTCTCAAATTCAATTGCTATGTTGGGAAAGAAGCAGAGAGCTCGACTCGAACACGACGTCCTTCTCGGTCTAGAGCACACCTTGTCCCTAGCCTACAAAGGCCACCCCACGGAGCAATTCTTAACGTCATTTCTTTGCGTAGCTGTTTTACTCTTCGCGTATGAATCCCATCTGGCTTATGAGGCAGTGCAGCGTCGAGTAAGTGATTCGTCGCAACGCTCAACGAACTTGATTGATTACCTTCCTCCATCGACAGAGCCAAGGATCAAATTTCGAGATCATGGTATCTCCCTCGCCGACACCCTCGTCTCAGCACTCTGCTCTCTCCTAAGAGGGGCGACCATCCCTCAATTCTTCCACCAAACAATCACGTCAGAGGTTGGAGAGAATCAGTTAAATATAGTTAAGTTGGCGCTGCGGTCGATCGAAAATGAAGCCCATCGTGCGTGAGAATCTTCTTGGTTGGTGGCGCCAGCCTTCGGCGTTTTTGATCCGCAAAGCTATGTAATATGTACATATTGTGATTAGGGAAATACTTCGGTCAACATACCGTGGCCAATGCGAGGAACAGCAACTTCGACCCCGGGAGTATCGAGGGTGTCTTTGCTTCGTTACTGCTTGGATTTAACAAAGCATGACTCCCCGCCTCTCTGATACTTTTGGCCATCAAGAGATTAATCCCTGCAGTCGCCAGATATATCCAACAGCTACTTGATTTGGATTCAACAAGTCCAACAAGAGATCTCTCACACAGGATGGAACAACAACAACAGCGCATGATCGTTGTTAGGGAGACTACCATTCCAGAATTCGGCCTCTCCAGGCTCGACTACCTTCATTCGGACCTCTCTCTTCGCGACAGGGACATTAGGATGTCCTCGAGCTGGAAACGTCTGATCGCCTGATGGCCTCCGGTGCGAACAAGCAATTGCGTCCCAACGAGAGGCGGGAACATGACAACAAACTCGGCCCAGCACTCTAAGCTGGTACACCGCTCTGTCCAACCTCCTTTCAATTGTGACGAGACAACACATTTTGGCAGTACGAGGGCAGGGTCGTTTTCCCCAGAGTCTCCTCGAGGTGGTCTGCCCCTCCTCTCCAGCCATCAAAAGGCCTCCGTTATTTGGATAGACGCCCTGGTATTGACAGAACAAACTACGTGCTTTGTTTCCTCCGTCTCAGCCGCCAAGCTTGGAGTACCTTCATCCATCATTTCGAACTGGGTGTTCAGTGTGCAAAAAAAAAATCTCCTTTGCATGGGGCAGTGTGCTTCCTGGACGGCGGCATTGGCACTCGGGCTCGCCATATGGGATCTTGGTAGCTTGATGGCCAGGAGGCTTTTTCACTGTGCCAACTTCCCTAACGAAGGGGATCCGACGCAGAGTCCATCCTTGTTTTCCCAACTTTCGAAGCGAGATGTGACCGCCAGCGCCCTCAATCAAAGCCTTCTTTAGCGAGACAAGTAACGGCATGGAGCAGCAGCAGCAAGTTACAAGTTACAAGTTACAAGTTACTCGAGCAGAGTCGACTGGAGGCGAAGTCCTTGAAGACAAGATCTATGGAAATCTAGGGATTGCGGACCTTGTGACTTCTGCTGGAAGCCCGATGCTTGCCACGTGCTGCTTGTCCACCTCGAGGATGAAATTGGCTGAAATCAGAGATGTCAAAATAGGGTGAGATATCCAGCCTGCTCGTATACCCATTCCCACCTACCTAAAGTTCCTACGGTTACGGCTACGGCTACGGCTACACGAGAACACGAGCATGCCACGCGAGGGAGCATTGTTGGGGCAGCGGAAACGTTATAGGAACTGAAGGATCGCTGATCAAACGGCTGTGATCGAGTTTGAGTCGAATGTGGCTTTTCATCAACCAAAAGAAGCAACCAATCCAGAGCACCATTGCATCTACATTGAGTGGCTGAGCACAATTCAACCCAGGACAACCATATGGACCGGCCCGATCTCTGGCATGTGGACGTTGCTTTTTGATGCAAGGAGGAAAGTTCCTTCAGATGGTAGTTGTCTGGCTGCTTGCAGGTGAAAATTGGAGTTTCGGTAAGTTCCATGCAGTGGGGAGCGATATCCGGATGAGTCAAGGCCAATGAAGCCGCTGTCAAGACCGTCATCTTCAGGTCTGTGCTACTGGAGGGCTGCATCTTCTGAAGACAGCGAGGCTGGGCTGATGTACCTCGTAGAAAATTGGGGGCTTCAATGGGCGCTAATGTCGAGGGCTCCTATCTTTTGCCGGGCCCATTTGCTAACACTGACGTTAGCAAAATGCTAAGGCTTACTCGGATATCCCGTCAGAGTCATTGCAAAGTGACGATCACTCGTACCATGAGCTTCCAACTGCCGCCATTGGGGGAGTCTATCAGGTCGGTCAAGACTCTTGGATCGTCTTGTCGGAAGGCACTTTTGCGTGGTAACCAACCAGGAGAAGCTCGCCACTAACCCGAAAGGCTTACCGCACCAGGCGCTGAAGCAGGAATTGCCTTTGCACAGACCTGCCTCTCGCGCACCGTGAGTGGAAGGAAGATGCCAGAACCGAAGTCTTTGAAAACTGACTGGAGTCCCACCCTAGGGTAGTATTGGCAGTCTCATTCCCAATTCTCCCATGCTTTGGCCAGCGTGATGGATGGATGTGGCTATTATGTGACCTGTCGCCGTGGCTCTTTTGCCCTTTTCCGGGGCGATTGTTCCCCCTGGAAATCGCTGTAAACAATAGTCGGTACTCCATCCTCCGTACTTTGAACCTGTTTCGCCTTGGGCCCATCTGTCTCGTTGTGGCATTGTGCATAACGGAATCCATTTGCCATGGACCAGGGGTGCCTTTTTCATCTTTTCCCTGGGGCCAGTTGACGCCTTGTCACATGCCAGGCCAAACATCAACCGTGCAGTGGCCGTGGTGATGCTGGTGCTTCTCTGGTTCTGGAATAGGCAGTCCGGCGGGGGACAAGGGTGAGGCAGCCTACTTAGCTTAGGCTTTTAGGGGGAGGCAAGTGAGACCAGGGAGACTCATTTTGTACAGGACACCAACTGGGCACCCCTAGGCCAAGGGTACCCGAGACCCTCCCCCACAACTCGGCAACTCCCTTGAGCTAGTTGCTGGGACTCGTATGGAATACATAATGACCTGCAATGTCAGCCTGTTGTTTTTGTTGCCCGCTGTCGACGGTCAGGTGATGACGCCTGAAGGAGGGTAGGAGGTAGGTGATCGGTAACTGGATGGTCCTACAAGCAATCTTTCAAAGGCCAGTCAAAGTCTTCAGCCAGCAGGGACTAGGTAATCACCCACCGTCTTGTCGTACCCAGTATACTTACCACTTCCCTGCGGGGAATTGACGAAGCAGATTAATTATGGGGACGGCTACCGAGACATGGGCAATGGCCATGGCAGTGTTAACTTCTGACAAGTTGGGCGGATGGGCCGGTGGGTGCTGGTGGAGGTGCTGGAGAATCGAGATGCTGGGGCCGTGGACTCTGGAGGCGTCGTGGGCGTCGAAGGCTGAACAGGCTCGTGTTCCGGCCATTAGTCGCCCAGCTAAGTGAGCTAAGCCAGCTAAGCCAGCTAAGCCAGCTACTGTAAGTAAGTAAGCCAGCTAACGGCAGCAGCGGACCAGAAAACCAGTGCAAATTATCATCAGGGTTGATGATTATTGCTGGTCACTAGACCGCAACAAGCTGGCCAGGCACCACCGGCTCCCACCAGCAGCACTTGCAGCACCTCTTGAGCACCTGCAGCACCCGCCAGAGCCGTCAGAGCCATCAGTGCCCGCCAGAAGCAGCAGAGTCAACTGGGCCAGCAACAGAAATTGCAGCGCTTAGACGCGCCCAAGGCAGCCGGAAACCAACAACCCTGGCGACCCTCTCCGAGCCTGCGCTCATGTGCATCCACCCTTCACCCTTCTTCTCGAGTCTCAGGCTCCCTCGCCGCCCCCGCTCTCAGCCTTCGGCCATCCTCTTTCCCATCCTCCATCCCTTCAATCCCTGTCCACCGTCACACAGCCCAACAGCACACGTCCTCATCGAGAAATCCCGCCCTGTTCTGAGACCCCCGGAGCGTCCCATCATCCATAATTCCAAGAGTTAGTGGCGGTCTGAAGGGAATTGCGCCCTCCCATTCGCCCTGTGCCCCCTTCCCCAGGTTGCACCGTATCCACCGACAACGCAACAGTTCGCATCCTTGCGTCTGCTGAGCAGTGGTGCCCGCCGTGCCCATCGCGCCGTGGGCTGCTGGTGGAGAAAGAGTTGGTCTGGCCTTGGTCCCGATCTGTGCGACTCCGCTTCTTGCGATGCGACAACTGAACCTCGCAGGTTAATTCTTTCTCCATCCTGCACCGCCGACGACACCAGAGCATGTTCCTTCCTCTCCATCGTCGTCACCGTCCTCGCCATCATCGACAATGGCTACGGTCGCCTCCGACCGAGCAGTCCATGCTGCTGGGTCAACTGCTGCTGCTGGCTATTCGAAAACGTCACGCCGACAGTATCAAGCCTGTGACCAGTGCCGGAAGAGCAGACGGGCATGCGACGCGGGCGCCCTGAGGGTGGTCAACTTCCCATTCCGTGAGAGCGACCGACCCGACTCGTCTGCCTCGACGTGTGAAGCCTGCTCCAATTGTGCGAGGACGAGCAAGACCTGTACGTTCGACTGGCTTCGCACGCTGCCTCTGCAAGGCTTGCCGAAGGGCGTAAAGAGGAAGTTGGAATCGACCGGTTTACCCGAATGCGTCACCAACCCTGCAACAGCCCCCGAGACGAGCCTTCAGCCTCCATATTCTAACAGTTGTGCATCATTTTCAGATCCAATTAGTTATGCTCAATTCGCGTCCACCTCCCAGAGCTTCCATTCTAACACGGTCCTGGAAACTGGAGAAAATGGGACCACAGAGTCCTCCGAGTCAAACTATGTCAAAACCGGCCCCTTCGCCACTCGCCCGTCTGCTTCTGACGGGCATTACCGTCGAGATGTGAACAGCAGCCAGACTGCCCCTTCGACTGCATCAATGCCGAAGGGTGCAGCTGCTCCTGTTCGCACTGTCGTCGGCGATGTCGTCGTCTCAAATCATTCGCTCTCCGGAGAAAGTGCATTCCACAATCGATGGAATGGTCCTCCCCTCGTCCATCGGGATTCGTCTTCTACTTCTCCGGTCTCCCACTCCAATTCCAATGACTCCAGCAATACAACGTCCAAGACCGGGTCGTCACCGAGTCTGACTTCGGTCGGTTCCGAATCTAGCGGCGAAGACGACGCCACCAATACTTATTCAACAACAGCACGCATCAAACGTGCGAGAAATCCGCATGGCTATCACGACTCGGCCTCCACTGATCGAGGATCACCCGAGAGCACACGATCGAAGGTGCCCTCAACCAGTTCGGCCCTCTCGTCAAATGGGAGACGCCAGAACTCGGCTCCTCTCTCGACTGGCCAGCTTCGTTTCGCCGACACAGCAATGAAGGCCATGATTGCAAGTGGCCTGCTACGCATCTACCACGATAGCTTTGAGAACTCCTTGTCATGTTGGGTGACGGAAAGGAATTGTCCGTACGAGACCGAGCTTCGAGACCTCATTCCGCACGCAAGTCCGGCATCAACGGCGGAGGAAGCTGCGCTTCGTCTGGGCGACAATCGAATCTTCTCCCGCGTCTGCCGCTTGGACTCGGCATTCTCTCTCTTGAGGGGACGCGAATTGTCTCCCATGGAAAATCGTGCTGCTACGAAGGCCCTGAATGCGGCGATCATGGCATTTGCCAGTCAATGGTCGCACGGCTCTCACAACTCATTCTGGAAGAGCAAGGAAGGCATGTCACAAATGAAGGCCTTCCAGACGCACACGGGGGGCTTATTTGCCCGATCAGGGCGACCCAACGATCCCATGCTGACCAGCGAATGCGAACGGATGATTCAAAAAACCCTTTGGCACGATGCAAAGACAGCCATCCAGTCCAGCTCCGAGATCGACTCTTTCAAGGTCATTCTTGCATACATGATCTTCGCCCTTACACAGAGACCTATCGATGGCAAAGCCAAATCGACACCAGATGCACAGACTTCGCCGGCGGACTCTTCGACGAACAGCTGTCGAGGCTCTGACAACTCCTCTATATATGAACCTTTCTCGCAAGGCGCCGACCCCGCCATGGACAGCATAGTCAACGAAGAATGGAACCCCTTTTACGCGAGCGATCTCGAGGCCTTGGCGTCACCACCTATCTACCTCGAGACCGCAGTCCGAAACTTGTTTTCGTGGAGACGCAAGATTGAGCGCTATCGGCGGCTGCGATCGAAAGCCAACAGCATCTACGGCCACGGGTCGATGGGCGCTCTTGCGCTCAAGGACCATCAGACATTCAACCTTCTGTTCTGGCTTGGTGTCATGTGCGATACAACTTCGTCGGCCATCAGCAAGCGTCCACTCGTTATTGGGGACGAGGATTGCGCTATGATTCGAGAAGATGTGGGCGATTCCGATGGGATTGGCCTGGGCGATCATGACCCGTATTTGCCATTCAACGAAAATCAGGACTATGACCACGACAAGCGCGGGCTCTGGGGAGACTATTTATTGAGCTTCAAATGGGCAGGGCCTCGGAAAACACAGCCCCGGTGGCCCTGCACATTCGACGAAGCGGCCTTAGTACTTCAAGAAGCGATTCCGGTCAAAGTGCTCATGTTCCGCAAAGTGGCACAACTGCAGACGCTGGCGTTTCGCAGAACCCGGCCGCAGGAGCTCGAGAAGTGCATCCAAGACGCGCTCAAGGTCTATGAACAGTGGAATGAGACATACCGACCGTTCATGAACGACTGCGTAAGTCAGCACAACTTCCTCGACCCCCACGTGCAGTCATGGTACGTCATCCTCGATGGCCACTGGCACTACGGATGCCTACTGCTGGCAGACACGATCGCGCAGATCGACTGCGAGGAGAAGACAATGGAGCCGCAACGCATGCTGCGTGCCAAGTGCCACCTCATTAAAGAGCTGCGCCACGACAACGCAGTAGCGATCGCCAAAATCGCACAGGCGTCGCTGTCCGAACACAAACCGTCCGTGCCAGATAACCCGGATTTCCACTTCGTCTGCAACGGCAGCGCCATCCTCACCGAGCCCTGGACCGACATCCTCGTCCGCGCAATGGGAAGTGCATGTAAGGTCTTCCTCACCTGGCTGTCGAGCTGGGACAACCCTACCAATCCGAGCCACGGATGGGTCCATGCGCATACTGACTACCAAGACCTATATAACCAAGCAGAAGCTTGCATCCAAGGAATGTCGCTGTTAGGCCGGAAGTCTGACGCGGCAAACTATACGGCGGAAGTGTTCTGGACGAGATTCAGCCAGGTATGCTCGAGCAGGCGGTCTTCGGTGGAGGTGTTTCAAGATGAATGAAAGATAAGGCCCGCCTTTTCGGACCGAGTCAGCTAAATGAAGGAAGCTCGGGGAATATACTACTCCCCATTGCACAAGGCTTCTGTATAACTGAAACTATGTTTGACGGCCGTCTTATACCATTGTATGTGTACGTTTAGGAGAGAGGAATTGGGGAGAAATTGCATACGAGCGGGATTAATCTACTTAAGGGCTAATGGGCCGAAAAGTGAAGACTCAAACGTGTGAGTTGTGCCATGGTTCTTGCAGCATGCCTCCCAGACCAAGGCAAGTCAGCCAGCCTTCACCTCAAAATCAAGAACGGCGACAAGAAAAACGGATATATCACGAGACAGAAATTGCGTTTTGTTGAAATGTGTGCTTGCTCGCTCGCTTGCTTGTCAAATCGACAGACAAGTTGGAGGCCGGCACGCAGATTGAGCAGCGCAGAGCGGACCGAAAATGGGGCAAGAGATGGGTACCTTGGGACGACGAGGAGGCAGGAAAAATGTGGTATGAGGTCTACTGACCGGGGGGGGGGGGGGGGTTGGTAAAGCTGTGTGAAGCACCAACGGTCTTTGTGGGGAGCGCAGATTGATACGGACGCAGGCAAGCAAGTAGGTTGAATGGAAAGCATTAGGATGGGTCACTCAATGGAGAAGGGAAAAGGAACCAAAACAGGGACAAGGAAAAACGCACAGGGAAGGTCACAGGGAAAGGAAACAGGATAAGCATAGCGACAAGGACACGGAAAAGCAGAGTGGGAATGAATGGGGGGATTGGGGAATTGGGAAATAGGAAAGGAAAGGAATGGGCAGCAGGCGAGGGAAAAGTTTGGATACCCGGATATGGGCCATTATTGTCACTCCTAGCGAGGGCTCTCTCCATGCGCGTCACGATATGATGAACTTATTAGTTAGTTATTAGGTACCGTCACAGTACCTCTAGTTAGTCATTCCTATTTCTTTCTTTTGGCTTCCCTTCTCTCCTCGTCCTCACCCTGATCCTTATCCGGGTCGTAGCAACAGCAACTGCATTGTCGTCATCCGTCATAGGAACTGCCACGACAACATGCCCTCTGTATGGAGTACTTGTACGTCACCTCAACCACTTCGCATAGGCCCATTCGATTCGTCTGACGACCTGTACCTGGCGATTCACGCCCTGCTTGACGTCGAGCAGATCGCCCAGATCCTCAAGGAACTCCCTCCACACACTCCGTGGCAGCACCTGGGCGGCGCGCTGGCGAAGCAGGTGCGTCTGGCAGAGGAGGAAGCCGTGGTTTTCTTCCGAGATAATGCCTCCTTGGTCCATCAGGTCTAGGTCCGAGGAGGTCAATGTGCGGTCGATGTTTCTGTTCAGGATAGATTTCTCAGTTAGAGAGTGGGGCTCGTTTGCCTGCATGATTTGAAGAAAGGGGACGGGCTTTAGGGAGGGTAACAATCGAGCGGGAGGATGTAAATAAGGTACCTGATGAGACGAATTGTGTCGCCCTTTTTCTTGCCCTGGCGTAACCCTTTGCGACCGCCGAGCATGCTCCTCAGCCATTGAAACAAGAAATAGGAGATCAAGACCCCAGGAGCGATTCCGACAAAGCCAAACAGTAATTCTTGGCTCTTGAGCAGAGAATCTATTCCGCCGATGGCGACCTCGACGTCAACTTTCGTCTTCTGGACTTGGATGAGTAAGGTGCGGACCAGATCACCCATGATGGCGTTCTTGATGGGACTCTGCATCTCGCGTTCATACGCCCTCAAGACCGGGGTGAGGTCTCCTTCCTTCACCTTCCGCCTGATTTCTGCAATCTGTGCTTCCGTGAAGTTGGTGCCCGTCTTTTCTGGATGCTGAATGGCAAAATCAACCACCATCCGCTCCAGGCTTTCACGGTCGGCTCGAAGACTATCGCGGCTCTGGATCGCGATTTCGCTTTGTTCGTCGTGGCGGATCGTGCCAATCAGTTTTTTCGTCGGCTCAATGACCCAGTTTGTCCAGAAGTCGACGGTCGTTTGGCCTAGATCTCGGAACCACTGGACAATTTCGGCTTTCCGATTGACAAGTATTCGAAGCAGAGTACTTCCTGAGAGGAGGAGGCCCACGGCGGGAATCCAGTAGCGGACCAATCTCGACGGTTTCCCGTACTGTAATCGCAGGCTGTGGGCCTCTCTCTCTTGTTTTGGAAGGCGGTCATCGAGAATCTTGACCAAGAGATTGGCAACTTCTGTTGAGGAGGCTGTTTGCGGGTCGAAACTGAACTCTTCAACATCATCTTGAGCCCTTGTAGCAATGTCTAGTAGATAGGCCGCTCGAGCTATTGTAGTCTGCCAGTCATCTTCATCCGCTTCCAGCACTTGGAGTAAGGCCCCTTGTTTGCGTTCTTCTGGGGCTCCACCAAAGACAAGACACTCTCTTACAAGTCTACCAATTGCTCCGGCACTGGACTTTCTGAGATATTGAATGCGCTCTAGATTCCTCCGTACTTCCATGCGGGCTATCGAAAACGGCGACAGGATTTTTGTTTGAGCTTGGGCAAGAGAACGCTCTCGTATGCTGTTTTGCACCAGGCCATAAAACTCGCGCCAACCCTCCGTCACGGTCCTCGTGGCCCGTCTCGCGGAGGCCGTGAGATCATGGCCTCGCGCGAACTTCTGTCGTGCATCAGCGTAGACCTCTTGAGCCTGATGCCAGAATCTTATGGGCGAGGTCTGAATTGTATAGAGGACAATATTTCCGTAAGATCCCAGGATATCGTCCCAGTACCAGATGGACTCGCTTAACGGAATTGTTCGGTCCAAGAGGGAATTGAGGATCAACCCATAGACTTGAGCAGTAGCCTTGCCGGTTGCAATCCATTCAAGATTTGAGATGTCTGGTGTAATCGTCTCAGCGACCACCTGGTCCCCCTCTTTTCTGGCAAGTTGACCAAGCAAGCTGCGCAACCTGGATCGACGTAGGAGCGGCCTGGAGCCTGAGGTTGTCGATAATGCTCTAACTACTGCTTTGAGCTCGGAAGTTCGAGCATCCTCGATGGATGGAGCGGTGACTCTCTCTCCCTCGGTGGTCGCGGCGGACACTCTTTCCTCCGCCTCCTTCAGCTGGAATCTGTCCAAGGCAGCATCGATTCGTCGCAGGTCACTTGTGAGAAGTCAGACAAGGCAATCCAAGCATAGGGTCTAGAAGTGCTCACTCGTCGATGAACGTCATGTTTACAGACAGTTTTCGGCCTGATCTTCGTCTGAAATCACAATAGCATGATCAGTCTGCAAAGATAGTAGACGCCGCTGCAATCATACTGAGCGCTCCAATGGGTGGAGGATAGTACTCAGCGTGATGATGTTGAGTGCCTCGGAAAAAACTGCGATTGATTTCAGTGTCAAAACAAGGATGCCACACTGCGCAGCTGTCATGGAGCAGCTATGTTCACACCGGAGCAATCACTGATGGGCTGGAAACAAAAAGTCAAGCCTCGCTTGAAATGACGTCATGTCAAAAACATCCTGCCCTCTTCAATATGTGGGACAAGGCTGAGAAAGGCTGAGCTGGCAATGTACCCAGTACGAGGTAATTCCTAGGGAGCCTTGCCATCCAATCTCGCCATGTGTCTTTTGGTTGAGAAATGCGTATCACTGTTCAAGTCCTGCAACGAGTCTTTTTAGTCTTCGAGAATGTAGAAGGATCTTTGCCACAGGTCAGGTCATTGTAGCCGCTGTAGCGTGCTGTCTATGTGTTTCTGGACCTCGTCCGTCCTATGCATAGATTCTAGGTACAAATCTGTCATGGCTATGAATGTGCGTAATAGGAGTCTGGTTGTTAGCAGAGCACTTGTGGTGGTATTATGGGGTGTCCCTGCAAAAGAAGAGGGTTCGACGTCTTACTAAGACTTGGGTGAGGACTGTGTTGGGTAGAGGGTTTTTGGGGCACGGAAAGAAACTCGAGGGCTTAGTGGCCTCAAGAGGCGTTGTAGTTAGGCGGTCTTTCCCTTAAGCTACTGGCCCTAGGCACCATGGAGACGGCCTGGCGAGCCTCGTTTCCCTCGCCTCCAGCCATGTCGCCGGGATCCCGCGCATCTTCGGGCTGGAAGTCTTGGACCTTCTGACTATTCTGCGGCCTAGCAAATTGTCATTGCCTGGGTTTCCCCCCCAAAGGTCGCTCCCGACATCCAACATCCAACATCCGCATCCGAGCGACATTATCTGTCGCATCTTTCCACTTCCACACCCATTCCTCCTGACGCTTGACAGGCTATATCGCCTTCTAGAGCTGCTTAATCACCGGTATTCTGGTTTCCTTCCTCACGGCCATCCCTTAACTCCCCTTACCGCCCGGTCGATTTCTTCACGCTGTTGTCGTGAATTAGGCGCACTGATTTTTGGCGGGACACCTGGTCAACAGAACCGCCACCTGTAACGGCGACTCACTGGTCTCTCCCGGTCACATACGAAACTCATACCAAATCAACTCTTCAACCCCTACATTCAGTCCTCACCCCTCCGCAATGGCGGGTCAACGGAATTACGACTTCCTAGTACGTCCCATGAGCCTCGAGGACTGGGTCTTTGCCTGGTCCGTCACCGCTCTGCAGCTCGCTGCTAACCACGTCCTCCCTCTAGATAAAACTCCTCTTGATCGGCGACTCTGGCGTTGGCAAATCGTGCTGCCTGCTACGCTTCAGCGAAGACAGCTTCACTCCTAGCTTCATCACAACCATCGGCATCGATTTCAAGATCCGGACTATTGATTTAGACGGCAAGAGGGTGAAACTGCAAATATGGGACACAGCAGGTCAAGAGCGTTTCAGAACAATCACCACTGCATACTACCGAGGCGCAATGGGTATCCTGTTGGTGTACGATGTGACGGACGAAAAGAGCTTCAACAGTATGAACCACAACCCATCTAGCATGAGCCGTATGGTGTGTCTAACCCCCCCTTGACAACAGATATAAGGACTTGGTTCTCAAATGTCGAACAACACGCCAGCGAAGGTGTTAACAAGATCCTGATCGGCAACAAGTGTGATTGGGAAGAAAAACGGGCGGTCTCCACGGAACAAGGCCAAGCACTCGCCAACGAATTGGGCATCCCGTTCCTGGAAGTCAGCGCCAAATCGAACATCAACATCGAAAAGGCTTTTTACTCGTTAGCCTCGGACATCAAGAAGCGGTTGATTGACAGTTCGAAAGAGTCGGGTGGCCCTGGAGCTGGCGCACAAGGTGTTGGCGGAGGCGTTAATGTCGCCCAGAATCAGAATGGCGGTATGGGTGGAAAATGTTGTTAGAGGAAATAGCGAGAGAAAGAGCACCGAGAGGTCATTCGCTCGGACAGGGCTACGATACCACGTGGGAGACGAGTCAGCAGGAAGGCGTCGCGGGGCACTAATACATGGCCGAAGCCATCGAGGCCTGCCTCCGACTTGACGGAAGCGATCTGCTCACGACCGTCTATTTTTCACCATGCAGGCGGTTCTGGGCCCCCAACAACATCCCGCTGTCCAACCTATTGCATGTCGTCCCGCGTGCACGTATGAGAAGAGCCGTGATCGTCCAGAATATTCGGGACAATACTTCCGTCCGGATTTTTGCACTTAATCGGCGGCCCTATTGTCCTTGTCGAGCGACGGGTGCCATGTGTTCCACCTCGCCATGGGGCAGGTTCAGTTGACTGCGGCGTTTGGAAAGAAATCTTGGGATTGAGGGTAAAAGGAGTTTTGTCTCGAGGGAAGGAATCAGGACGGAACGTTTATACAGTCCTTGGCTCATTACAAACCACGTAGAGAGCTGTGCCATTCAAATCAGACTTTGTTTTTGGTTCGCAGAGCAACTGATGGTCTACTGCCGCATCCCACTCATCCGGTGCTGTCTCTAATAGATGACTGGGCTCGGTGACCCCGAAGAGAAGGGACGTCGCGAGGAAGGAGGATAGGGCTGAAAACTAGCAGAAAAGAATATCAAGGAATAATATTTCAATACTCCATGTTATGCTCTTGAAGTGCGTGTGCCCCCGGTTGAAGACTCATTCATCATTGACCGACCGATTCCAGGTCGGTCCATCCTTGTATTCGTATCCGTCATCTTGCCGCGCGCCTCTCCAGGCTGGCCACCACCTGTCGGCATGTAGTAGGAGGGAGTGAGAGAGTATGGTGGAACTGTACGGTGTGATTTTCTGGCTCGCCTCAATATTTCTTTTTGAGCCTTCAATAACCCACGCTGACCAGATAGGCGCCGAGTTTCTCGACCGTGTTGGCCGCCGTGCCGGGCTGTATCGTCTCCGGGTAGTGTGTGATAAGCAGTGCTTGCTTTGTCTTGACAATGACGACGCCTTCTCGACCCTGTGCACCGCCGATTCAATAACGATTAGCCCACGCTCAACCCTCCCGTATACCCCTCTCCCGCATCCTTTTGCCTGGCCCCGTCGCTCAATTGACGTCGGATTCACCATGGTGGAAAGGAAAGCCAGAACCCACCTTCTTTCCATACAAACTCGACTCTTCCGCCTTAATGACAATGTACTTTTGACCTGCAATGTGCAGTCCCGTAGATTGCACCTTTTTGGGCACTGAGGTATCCTTGTACGCGCCGACAACCTCCTGCATTTCTTGCGGGCTCACGGTGAAGTTTGGTGAAGAAGCCCATACGGAGTTGCCCTCGGCGTTGAAGATTGCGGCTTTGTCAACGTGGCCGGTGCCGACGAGACTGTGAATCAGATAAACACGTGTTAGTTGGGTACAGGCGGGATTGACTCGAGATGGGGAGAATGCGTGCTTCCGGGTTGAGTCTACCTTGAATCAACGTAGGCTGTGACATTGATTTATTCTGGTCAGCAAACACTCCAATGTGCTTAAACGCAGCATGGCCCTTCAATTCAGCTCACCTTGCCAAGACATTGCCGTGAATGGTGTTGTGATAGACGGGGGGTGGCAGGAGAAACGGAAGAGAAGTCGGCAGAGAAGTCAATGAAGGATGGGCAATGGTAGGCTGGAGCAGGGGCCCGTTCCGAGGTGTGCGTTGCAGGAGCAGATAAAATATAGGACGAGGACCTAGGATGAGATAAATTGGCCTGCGGTGATGAGGACCGAGCAAGTTGGGGTGCAGTGAAGAGGTAAGGAGAGGATAATGCGTGAGGCAGTCAACAGTGAGTCTGATGGTGCAGGCGGTTTGGTGGGGTTGAATCTCGCAATTTCAAATGACAATGATCAGGAAACACTCGCTGCCTGACGCTTGTCATCTGCCCCTCCTTTGCCAACCATCTGTTGCCATCTGCCACGCCGCAGCCTGCGCTGTCATTTCACCCACTGTACCCATCCAGCGGCCTCCATGTTTAACGCCCAACTCCTTTGTTGTACCCTCGGCATCCATCTCTCAAGACCCATTTGCACACTTCATGATTCGAGAGGGCCGTAGAAGCCCTACGCTGAAACGAGTCCCCGATGCTCGGACAGCCTCAGCTGAATCTGAGACCCGCCTCCCATGGAGTCATGTTCTCGAGAGGTTTTGGTGCCTCTGGTGGAGTCCATATCGTGAAAAAAAAAAAAAAACCAAAGTGCGGTGAAGGCAAGTCTGAGCACTAACGGCATCAACACATCAACCTGCAGCATTTTGTCCCGACCTCTGCTGCTGCTGTGTTGTCTCAGCCAACATCTCATTAAGCCAAACGAGAGAAGATCAGCGACCAAAAACGGCAACATCTTGTAGCGCATGCCCAGCAAGCTAGAGACCTGGTTGATCAAGGCCAAGAGACCGAAGGAGTTGACAAAGAAGCCGTTCCCGCCGAACTGACACAGAGCGACACAGAGCAACGCAGAGGCAATGCAGATACTTCAAGCTTGACATTGACGGTTTCCAGTGGTTTATACTGAGAAAGCTCATAACGGGTTCCGATCGACGTTGAGCTATCATGGATCGTCCGGACGCCTCCGCAAACGGCTTTGGCTGCGAGGCCTTTCTTCTGCTTGTTGCAAATATGGTATGGGAAGTTTCCCTTTTAACCTGGAGCCTGCCATCTGCCTCCAAGAGATGATCTATGCGCAGCTCTACGTTGACTAGACGAATCATTATTCAAGTCACAATACCAATAGTGTCCGCGGGCGAGACATATCAAACGAACAATACCCGATAGATTCTACAATTTCCATTCACGGATGATCATTAAAGCTAGACTGAGTCAAGAATTATACCCCGTGCAAGGAATAATAGCGGCGAGAATGGCACAAATACTCCTTGATGGCAGATTCGATCCCGGAACGCAAAGCAGGATGTACTTCTAAATCCGGCCAGGTTTGGTATATTGATGGTCAATCAATCCATATCCCAGAATTCCGGGTACCATCTTTTTGGAAATGCTATCTTGGGTCGACTTTTCACGATCCAACATTTCTGGAGATTGATACCTCGCAACCTCGGCCCGTCTCTGGCTCACCGGGCCGTTCCCTTCCGGCCTAAAGGGCAAGTGTAGGCCGTTCAAGATCTTATCGCCGACATGTCGTTCACGTTCACCGTGAGCGGACGCCATGTAGAACGACTTTTATCTTCTGATCAACGATTGGATTTGATGGAGGAACAACTTGCACGACTACTTCTAGCATTGTCTATATTTGAGCAGCCATCTAAAATGCAAACACGGCACATGTTTGCTTTCTCTCTATGGGGCGTGTGTGGAGTGCCTGACCCGACTCTAGACCACCTCAATCCGATCGTTGGGCGATTTGCTTTCGCTACTCTCAACCTCGACAGAGATCACTTCTTGAACACCTTTAGCAACCTCACGGTCCAAGGCCATCTTCTCCTCTGTACTGAGCTGGTTAATATCCAAGGCGACCTCATCACCAAAGAGTCTGGATATCTCCTCGAGAGTCAGGAGCTTCGTCTCCGGGAAGAACTTCCACATCAGTGCCGCGCCAAGCAGAGGCAGGATGATGAACACGATGTAGAACTTCCACCCGACCTGCGCAAACGCGACTGGCGCGGTTTGTGTGTAAATCAGGGTGGCAGTGAATAGGCCGGCGACACTGAACCCCGTGCCCTGCGCACGGAGTGGAGTCGGAAAGATCTCACTGCAATACACGTAGGAGGTGGCGTCCATGGTCCCGCCGTAGAAGAACACAAAAAGGAACAAGAAGAACACTCCGAAGCCGTTCCCGACCCGGTTCGATGTGCCCCCGAACGTCGCGACCATGGCCGTGAAACATATCAACGAACAAGCGCAGCCGATCAGTCCGATAAGCATAATCCGGATCCGGCCAAGTCGATCCAGGAACAACGAATTGACAAAGTTCATGAGTGCGGCTAGACCATTGTACAGGGCATTTAATAACAGAGGCAGCGACCCGGTGATACCCAGAGACTTGTACAGCAAGATCTGATAGCTGTACGAGGGTGTCAGCACATGTTTTTCACAGCCGGAATCTATACACAGCAGATTTTGGCTCTGACGGGTATTTTGGCGGAGGGTATGCAACCTACTTGTTGACGACCAAGACACCGGTGCTCTGAGCAATGAACTGTGTGCCAAATCCCAAGATCAATCTCTTCCGCAGGCTGGGCTTCTTGAACAGAGCGTCCCAGCTCTTGCTCAACTTGTCCGCGCGCTCGAGCTCGATTTGTCTGCGGATCTGGAGGAATTCTTCTCGCGCCACGATCTCGTCCGGGTCTTCGGGCCGCGTGTGCAAGCTGCGGAGGACCTGGAAGCCGTCTTCCAGCCTGTCGTGGTCGATGAGCCACCTCGGGGATTCCGGAAGCCAGGGAGAACCCAGGAACAGCAGCAGCGGCGCCACGATCTGCAGACTCAGACACAGTCTCCAGCTGACGGTGGGAGTGGCGAAGTACGTGCCAAACCCGGCGAAACCGGCGCAGCTGTATCCGATCACGATCAGCACGCCGTGGGCGCCAACCATGCGTCCGCGTTGGCGAGCCGGAGAGATCTCGGACTGGAAGACGGGGATGGACGTGTCCAGCATGCCGACCGCCCACCCGTTGAGGAAACGGGCGATCAGGAACATGGCGATGTGGACGCTGCCTCCTTGCAGTGCTGCTGAGACAATTGCGAGAGCCGCTGCAACCTGGATGGTTCGGCGACGACCGAGGCGGTCGAGAAGCCATGGCACGAAGATACAACCCAGGATGCCTCCCCCCGAGTAGAGTCCATTGGTAGCACCCGTGATCTGGTTGCCCTGAGTGTCGTCGAGGTTGATGTTGAAGTATTGGAAGAACGCCGGCAGGCCAATGACAAGGCCCATAATGGCACTGTTGAAGCCATACGTGAAGCTGCCCAGAGCAACAAAGAAAACGATGAGAAAATTGTATTTTGTTCCCTGGGCCATTTTAGTGGCGTCCGATCTAAAGGTCTTGTAAGCTAAGGAATAACAGTCTATAGGAGAATTCGAGAGGGAAATGCCCTATCCCAAAGAAAGCGATACGAGATTCAAGCTTCTCGAAGGGACATCCCGTCGTTCGACACGAGAGTCTTAATCGTATTCTCGGAAGTTGGAGACTTGCAATATCCGCCGGATCTGCATTTTCGAGATTGTGGACCAGTCACCAGCATGGAGCTCACGGGCCCCGGGCTGCCCCAAATTCCCCAATTATGAGAGGTTTGCAGAGAGTGTAAATAATGTGATCGAAGAGAACGGCAGCCCTGAACAGCACGGACTTTCGCCGTAGAGGAATGCACGTGGCTTGGTGGATATCACTGGTGACACCGCGGGAATAGAATCGCGATGCTTTGTCCTCGGGCCTCCAACTTTCTTGCTAGCCTTGTCGTCGCAATGGAGCCAATCAGCGCCCTCCAAACACATCTTCTCCGCATGTGCATCAGCCTCGGGCAACAATTCAAGCACCAGCACCAGATACCAAGGGTACGTACCACGTACCCCTCAAACCGGCAAAGCCTTTGCAGCAAAAACCCAAAATCGACATCATAAAGCTTCTCGGCATAAGGACTCCGTGACTTGTCGTGATCGTCCCCAAAAATTTGGAGATATCGGGTTTGGAGACGCACTTGGTGCAGAACTCTCAACAAACGACTTTCGGCCCTCCCGTGTTTGAGGACTGAAACTGGCCTCACAGACGAAACCATTATTCAAAGATGTCGCAAAAGTTGAAGGGCAAAGTGTGCATTGTTACAGGCGGCGGCCATGGCTTTGGAGAGGCCATGGCCAGGCGCTTCGCCGAAGAGGGGGCTCAAGTGGTCATCGCGGACATCAATCCCACGACCGGATCCAAAGTTGCGCTGGAGATAAACGGCTTGCATGGAGAGAAAACAGCGCTGTTCCAGGAGGCAAATGTCACCAGTCAAGCCTCGTGGGCAAAGTTGCTGGAGGCCTCGCTGAAGGAGTTTGGTAAGGTCGATGTCGTGGTGAATAATGCCGGAACAACGTACCCCAAAAAGGCCTCGCATACGGTCACCGAGGAGGAGTACGATAAAGTCATTGGTGTCAACATGAAGTCCATATTTCTCAGTGTGGCCGTGGTTGTGCCATATTTTCTGGAACAGAAGGCTGGCACCATCCTGAACATTAGCTCGGTCGGAGGAATCCGAGTCAAGAACGGGCTGGTTAGTACCTGCTACCTAGTCGCACTACCTCCTCTCCGAATCCTGACGAAGACATGTAGGTATGGTACGGTGGAACCAAAGCATTTGTCAATAAGGTATCGACCGAACGACTGTTGAGATAACGTCTATTGTCGCTGACACGGTCCCAGATCACAGAGGGACTTGCCTCGGAGTACGGCCATTCTGGAATCCGGGTGAACGCGGTCTGTCCAATCCTGGGATATACCGACCTGTCAGCTAAGCCCTTACGAGCATCCCTGGTCGATGCGACTGACTGATCCATAACATAGAGCACAATCCTTTATGGGGGTCGACGATACACCAGAGAATCGCACGAAATTCGAGGCTTCTTTCCCTCGAGGCGAAGCTTTGAAGCTGAACACCTCGACCGGATATGTCGCCAATGCTGCGGTATATCTTTGTTCCGACGACGCAGCGTTTGTGAGCGGCATATGTCTGCCTGTTGATGGAGCGGCAACGGTATATGCTGCTGGAGGTATGTGCAACATAGGTTTTTGGTGACTCGGCCCAACTAACATCCACGCACAGTTGGTAAATAGTCCGAAAGTCGTCGCTGGCACTTGGACCTCGAGTAGTCGTATATCAGGAAGAGCGTCCCATGTCCCGATCGTGGCAGCCTGCTTAAATGCAGCAGGAACTACTCCTGACGAATAGCCTTCATGGAATTCCTCAGGCTCACGACCAAGGCCTGAAACTTGTCCACCGATATGGTGGAAAGCTAAAGGATCGATTATTCGAAGCACTGCATGGGAGCGGCCATATAAAGCATCCAAGGCCCAGTACTTAGCTAGCATATGACAAATTAGCTTTATGCCCTCCAAGGCTTTCAGCGGTCTTTCTGGCTTTACCTTAACGTGTGTTAGATCTAGGCATCGGTACGTCTTGCAGGAAGTTTCAACAAGAGGTTGTGACCACTGCGGTATACTCATCGATTCTTTAATGTCCAGATCGTTGTATAGCATCCACAATACTTTGCAGGTTGGTGGCCTCAAGACCAATCGGTAGGCAGCTCGACGAAAGATGGGAAGTCCTGAGCGGCGGTGTCCTTGCTGGGCGAGTCTCAAGCCGATGAAGTGCCGAGAATAAGAGATGTCTCGGCCAATCAGGCTGAGTAGCTGGCGAAAGCCGGAGACGAGGAGCGTGGCTGCGAGAATCGAATATAGCGAGGCGTTTGGCACTACTGGGTATTCTGATAAGTCCCCCTTCGTTGACGAGGATGAAAGACGTTGCACCTGGACCAGAAATGCCCCTCTTCAGATGATCGCGAGTCTGAAGACTGTATATATTTCATCCCGACAAAATCTTTCGCAATCGACCACAGGATATGGAAAGCAGGGCTTCCCGTCCGCTCAGCCGTACTTAAGCCATATGCCGGTCAGCTAGTACCAACGTGGGTGACCAGTTGGGAATCCTGACTGTTGATTGTTTTTGTTTGCTTTTTTTTTTTTTTTTTCTCAATACTCGTATCTTTTGCAAGGCTGTCGTTATTATTTCTTCTTCCCGGGAGGAATGGACCTTCAAGAGGACCGTAGAAGGACAAGTACGAAGTATCAAGGTATAAAAATGCCAAGGCGCCAAGGCCTTATCGCAGATTGACCTACCTAGTACTGGGTATGTACACTGACTAAATTGACCTAAGGCGGCCGAGTACGAACTAGCAGCCGAGGCTGCGCTAGTGTCCTGGCTAAAGGGGCTACGCTAATGCATTCCGCTGACATTGTGGGTATGATCTCTTTCAACCCCATAAGTAAAAACAGAGCAACCCCTGCAATTGTTGATACATTGCTAGTTTGACATTGTCAAGGTGTGAAATCATGCAGCGGAATGGAGTGACTGCTCTTTAAGATGTTTATCTCCGCTGGGTGCTTGACCTTTTGCCCACAGAGCCTCCAGCCTTCTGCGGCTCAAGTTCACCTTCGTTCATGCAATATCGGTGATATAGACGACTCAGTCATTGCGACTGCACGGAACAAGAGCTCGTTGGCTTACGCCTGCAAAGCCGGCGGAGACAACGTCCCTGTAGAAAGCCTCGACGTCACGAACTACGACCAAACCATGGATGTAGCCAAGGCTGCACATCAGAGATTCGGGCGCATCGATATCCTTGTCAACAACGCAGGCTATGCCGATACTGCTTCGGTTGGAGATACCTCGATCGAGGATTTCCGCAAACAGGTCGACACCCACCTCATGGGCGTGGTTCATATGACCAAAGCCATCCTCCCTATTATGCGTGAACAAGGATCCGGCTACATCGTCCAGATCTCCTCCGTTGGGGCCCGCCTGGGCAGTCCCGGTCTGTCGGCGTACCAAAGTGCCAAATGGGGGGTGTCCGGTTTCTCGATGTGCCTCCAGGCAGAGGTCAAGCCAACGGGCATCAGAGTAACGTCCCTCGAGCCTGGAGGGATCCGCACCGACTGGGCCGGTTCGTCCATGAACATTCCCACAACCAGCAAGCCGTACCAGCAGACCGTCGGAGCCTTTGCCAAGTAGTTGAGGGACCACACCGGAAAGCAAAAGTCTTTACCCGAGAAGTTTGGCCCCATCATCGACAAACTCTACGAACTACTAGAGCCGCCCGTTCGCATGCCCGTCGGCCCCGACGCCGTTGGATTTGCTCCCCAGCTTCTAGAAGCTCAAATGAAATCTGACGAGCAGTGGGCGGAGCTGGGCAAGTCTTCGGCCGCCTAAGTATTGGCACCGAGAAGCTTGACGCGGCCTAGAGGGCATTTTCAACGCTATCATGTAGATCATGAAGCACCTGGCGTGTTGTGGATAGTCGGGTTGATAGCCACGATTTGACTCTGCTCCATTAGAAGACCAATTCGTCTTAGGTCACCTAACATTCTTAAACTACATGTCCTCCTATTTGCTAGAATATGAAAATGGCAGTCCAATGGAGCCGGGCGTCACCAGAATCTTTGCTCCATCTCATAAGCTGATCACAATTAGCCCCATTCGCATGGTTCCTATAGCCCTGGAGGTGAGATCAGAGTGGAGCATCAGCTGGGTTACGCCCAGAGATAGAACCAGTTATGCTCAATAGATGGAGTGCGAGAGAGGGTACACGCTGGATAGATGCCAACTCCATACTTCCCTGTTGGATCTCCTCACACTTCGGATACACCAGGGTATGCACTCTAGGCCACATGTGAGCTCTTTATGGACAACTGGCTAAATGGAACCCGAGGGAGCAGCCAGAACACTTGAGCGACGCCCCCTCAGTGCCCCTGGCTGGAAATAATGCGCATGACCCGCGCATGGGACCGACAGACGTCGGTTTTCTTTTTCCCAGGACGGAAGCGAGGTCAGGCTTTCACTATTACTAGATCCTTGCACTTTTGGCCATAAGAGAAGGTAATTATTCCGCCACTCTTCCGCCCATGTTGAAGGCGCTGAGTTGGTTTCGTCGATAAAAGCCAATCAGGTAGCTTCCGTATTCCGCAACGGAAGACAATATGACTGATTCATACTCGGGGCCTCGGCCTGAATGATCCTCGATGGTTGATGCTTTTCGCGGCACGAATGGGCCACGGTTTGCGCTGTACAGGACGTGCTACCGTAAGTGATTTTCTGCTGTGTTGGTAGTAGGCAAGACTCATCCAAAGCTGCATTGTGTTTAGTACGTCAATGTAGTTCGGAAAATGCCTTTAGTCTCGGGTTCACAAATACAGGGGCTCTTTTTCTTCCCTCCTTAGGCGCCCTGTTCGTACGGTCTCGTACCTAAGTGTAATCAAGGGATAGTGTACACCTACTTATTAGCCGACACCTTACCTGCTCTCATGCACTCGATACCTTTGAGTATACCTTCTAGCTCTGGTCCTGTTGGGTTGACATTCGGAGGATGCACCTTGAGGTCTCCTCGCGCCAGGAGAGCTCTCGCGACGTCCCAGAACATCTTGCCGAACTCAAGGTCCTCCGGTTTGGCCGGAATACGATGGGGCCCATTGCTGAAATGCTCACCCACGATAGTATATGCGACCGTCATCTTGTTCGATACCTTATCATTAATACTCTTGACGAGTTCGTCCGCAATTGGCTGCAACGTCGCGAGCTGTCCCCCGGACTCGCTCATGGCGCTCACACAGATTCTTGCGCTGGGCTCCAGTGAGATGCAGTCCAGGGCATATCCGAGGTTATTTTGTGCTGCATTCTTGATGTCCTCCACAACGCTGGGCGAATTATAGTCCAGCACCACGTCGGCACCTACGCGCTTGACGTAGTCAAAGTTATGCGGTGAACACGTTGTGATGACGAATGCCCCTGACAGCTTCGCGAACTGAATGGCAATAGCACCTGTTGCAGTGCTGCCTCCATATATCAGGACGAGGAAGTTTGCTTTTCCCTTGGAGCCCGGGAGTGGAAGTTGTAAATTTTGGTACAACGCTTGTCCGGCAGTGGTGGCGCCAATTCCCAGGGTTGCGGCTTCTTCGAAGCTTAGATGGTCGGGTATCTTGATCTGGATATCGCCTTTGACTGTAATGTGCTCGCCAAAGGTCCCGTCTTCATGACACACAGCATTGGCACCATGACAGGGACCAGCCACACGATCACCCTTCTTGAGATCTTTCGTGACTCCTTTGCCCACCTCTTCAACTACCCCAGCATAGTCGCACCCCAGACGGGCGCCGGGGCTAGCCATGAAATCGATATGCTTCCAGTCGGCAGGGTTAAGGGCAACCGCCCTTGTCTTCACCAGTATGTAATCATCGCGTAGCTTTGGGATAGGGACTTGAGCAATCTGTGCTTCGCCCTGCGACTTGATGATGATATGATGGTTGACCATGGCGTTCAAGGGGCGTAGCGAGATTATCTGATGAACAAAGTGTGAATGCCTCAAATCTCGTGTGCCACGATTCCTGGCCAGAAACCTATATGTCTTAGCTGACCAAATTCGAGGACCGATATCACGAATCCTCTGTCCTAAGCATCCTTGGATCCATCCAAGCCGAAGTCTTCGCAAACCAGAAGCTGAGACTCAGGCCAACAAAAGATGGGCTCCATTTCCGAAACGGCTCATTACGACGCCATAGTGGTAGGCGGTGGTTTCGGCGGTATCTACAGCGTGCACAAGTTGAGAAAATTCAAATTTAGCTGTCACCTGTTTGAGCGCGGCAACGGCTTGGGAGGCGCCTGGCACTGGAATTGCTATCCAGGGGCTCGCGTCGACTCGAATGTGCCCATCTACCAGTTCACCGATGACGACACTTGGGATCAATGGGACTGGTCTCAACGGTACCCCGGTCAAAAAGAACTCAAGGCGTATTTTGGTCACGTCGATCACGTTTGGGACATCAGCAAAGACACAACCTATAACGCTGAGGTCCGCAAGGCGTCATGGGATCCGGTCATGAAGCAATGGAAGGTAGAATATGTTAGTACCATCGATGAAGAGACGACCGGGCGCGTCACTGGACGCTTCTTGCTTTACTGTACTGGCCTCAACGCCCAGCCGTGGATGCCAGATTTCAAGGGCTTGGACACCTACCAGGGCTTTCTCACCCATACCTCGCGCTGGCCTCAACAAGGTCTCGATGTCAAGGGCAAGAACGTGGGTATCATTGGAACAGGCGCGTCCGGAGTGCAAGCCATCCAAGAGATCGGACCTCAAGTCGGCAAATTGACTGTTTTTCAACGGACCCCAAACACGGCTCTGCCCATGGACCAACAGCATTACGACAAGAAGTTTAACGACAGCATGAAGGAGGAACTTCACCCCCTGTTCGCAAAGACGCGCACCACGTGGTCAGGATTTCTCTATCAGTGGAGGGACGAACTCACCAAGGACGTGACACCCGCGGAACGTGAGCGATTCTACGAGCAACAGTGGAAGAAAGGCGGTTTTGAGTTCTGGGTCGGAAACTTCAAGGACATTGCTATCGACCAAGAGGCCAACGACTACGCGTACGCCTTCTGGCGCCGCAAGGTGCATGAACGCGTCAAAGACCCGCGTAAGGCGGAGCTGCTGGCGCCCAAGACCCAAATACACCCGCTCGGCACTCGACGCCCGTGCCTGGAGACGACCTTCTATGAGGTCTTCAACCAAGACAACGTCGACATCGTCGACTTGCGGGCCAACAAGATCGCAGACATCACGGAAAAGGGCGTGAGACTCGTCGACGGATCGGAATACGATGTCGATATCCTCATCCTGGCGACGGGCTTCGACTCCAATACGGGTTGTATCACCAACGTGGACCACCGCGGCGTCGACAAGACGACCAACATCAAGGCCCGCTGGGCCCAGGGCGTCTGGACCAACCTTGGTATGGCAAGCTCAGGATACCCCAACTGTTTCTACATCTATGGCCCACAGTCGCCCGCCGCGTTCGTCAATGCGGCAACCCTCGTCGAGGTCCAGGTTGACTGGCTCGTCGACGTGCTCCGCCACATGCGACGCCAGGGTTTAACAATTATCGAGGCCACACCGGAGCAAGAGGCCAAGTGGAGGGAGGAAGTTCTGGCGGTCGGAAACGGTGCGCTCTTCCCAAAGGCCGACGGCTGGTACTATGGCGCCAACATCCCCGGCAAGGCGAGGGAGCCCCTAAACTACATGGCTGGCTTGCCCATTTACAGGGAAAGATTAGCGTTTGCATCTCCTGCCCAAGGCTACGGTGGTTTCCGCGTGGAGTAAATGGGTGATCAGGATTTCTGAGTTGGCGCTGTAAAGCCCAATAGCTCTTCTTCAAATTGAATGGCTCAGAGATTGCTCCATGTAAGATCAATCGCGACCATGTGTCATTCGGAGCCCATATAGGAGGAGTAATTGTTGCCCATATGTGGAAATACATAGCTTCAAGCTGTCCTGCAACATCCCAACCATACAGAGCTTGGGGAAGTCACGCCGAGCGCCTTGGATCGCACTCGGATTGGCAGACTTAGCACACCGAGGCTGCCAGGCTCTGACAACGTCAAAATCGTTCTCTTGGTAGACCAACTGACATGGATCTGCCAGGCGTCAACTCACCCCAGCCTTTCCGCTGTGTGGAGAAATTCATCGATCGCATATTATATGCGGGAGGTTTTCACCCTAACCCGGCCGCCGAGACGCTGGTCTCCGCAGGGCCTGGTAAGAGCTAAATGGGGTTGTCTGATCGCCGGGCTTCATTTTCCGCTCACGACCCGGACGCAACTTGAGGAACTCTCTACATAGCGTCTCGTTGACGTCGGGGAGACGCGTTTTATAGCAACACGAATTCTCCGGCGCCCCTTCCCTGCGGTTCCACCGGATGCTCGCCCGCAGATTGGTTGGCACAATGCGGTGTCCAGGTTGGTCTGTAGGGCACTTCAAATGGCACATGTGGCATGCGGTAACAAGGAGAAAGGACTCTAGGGGGAGCCAATACTTCCATTGGTCCATCCCAACTTGTTGCTTCTAGCCTTGTGATAATGCCAGAAAGTTATCGTGGTTCGTTGCCATAGCCAACACCCTCGAAACATGAAAATAACCGTAATGCATGATATCATTTAGCACAATCCAGGGTCGACACCATCAAAAAGATGGTTGTCCGAGAGCCAGGGGAGTTGGTTATCGTTGGTAGGATGGTCCTGACTTTGACCATCAAACAGAGCCGATGTATCTGAGAAATCCATTGGCCAGGAGAAGGTTGCAACATTCAATTCGGACAGATGAGGCGTGTGATCCGGTGGCTCGAAATTGTCGACTGGAAGCGTCACTGACAAAGGGCCATTAGCGACTCCAAACGAGACTGTTTCAGGTGGCATGAGGCTAATATGGGCAGGTTCTTCGGCCAACGTCATGTCGCGGAAAAGAAGACTCTGGTTAGGGCCCGGATTAGGAGGCCAAGCCCTAGGGGCTGTTGTGCTCTGACAATGTGCGTTCAACCGATGTCGTTTGACTGCAGGACCTGAGTCCGACAACTTACTGCTCGCTCTCTGCGCACGAGTCGTTGGTGATCTAGAGTCGAACAAATCAGGTATCTGCGGCGGCGTCAGCAATTCACTAAAATCGATCTGTAGCTCCCCCATCTCACGTTTAACGACGCTGCACATCACTCTCGCCGGGCTGAAGATTTCAGACATCTCTTGTAGTTGTCCCATGAGTACGTATAAGTGTCGTAGCACCAAACTGCGTTCTTCCGCGGTCCTGCTTGCTTTGATATTGCACATTAACGCAAGGAAGGCGGTTCCCCCTTGTTGTAGTGATAAGAAGCTAGTCTCGCATACGCCAAATCTTTTGCGGTAGGTCGCAAACCCTTGGGCGATTTTCATAGCTGCATTTATGGTGATTGCCCGAGCAAGCCGTCGCCATAGGCTTATGTTGCTGCATTCAGTACCCCTTCTCCTAAACACATGGGACTTATCCAGCTCAATTCCCACTAAATCCTCATAATGGCCATAAGGTCCATGGAGGATAATCTCTGAGACAAGATATTGTTGACTGATGAAGAGTCAGCCAGCTGGATGAGGGAGAAAAAGAAAGTCTTGAAAAGCAGGCAGCATAATCGAATAATATCTCTAGGCAATGTGAACCACTTACTGCATTATGAAGAATAAGCGCCGCGCGTTCTTGACATTGTCAGGCGTCCACCTGAGTCGAGAAGGTAACGTCGAATACCACGACTTCAGCTCCGTATCTAGCGCAGCAACGTCGGTCAACCGGTTCTCGTCAGCAATGGGGCCCGGACTCAGTCTAGGCTGTGCCACCTCTTGGATCCTGGAGCAAAGTTCCGAGAGATCGATTAAGGCATCGAGTATCTGTTCCTGGATATCCTCATCTGAGGACAACGCTTCGGAAGTAATGGGCTTATTCAGGCAGGAACTCGAAATGTCGCAGAGTTTTATGTAGGTAGGCCGTCCTAGATATAGCGCCCAAGCGCGGTCGTAGATGATACACGAACGAAGAAGCTTGTTCCGAAACTTCATGTCCCCCTCGGACAAACCAAGCTCGGAACAGTCCAAGTTAAGCCCGAAGTCGAAGGCGAGGCGACAAGATATACCAACATATATCGTGGCTAGGTCGTCTCTACCATAAGCGCACTCAACATCGCTTAGGACTAATATAGCTTGGATAGTAGTTAGACCTCGCGGCGACTCCAGCTCGTAGTCTAAAACGCACTTAGCCTCACGTTGAAAAAGGCTGCAGCCGTTGTTAAGAGTCATTTGCCTCATGTCTTGTCGGCTTTTGTTAGCAAATCGAAAACCCATAGCTAGGCAGACGAGATAAAGAAATGGCGAATAGTAGGTCGAGTCTCCATTTCCTCGATCGCGACTAAAGGCTTGCTGGTCGATGATGCGCAAAGCGTTATTATAGCGATTCCAGAAGACCTCGATAAGATATGTATCGAGATCCGCAGGAAAGTCTGCCAGGATCCTGTAGGAGCGTTTTGTCTAGATGCCAGGAATCAACACTCGAGTAGTTCCTTGCATAATTCTTATAGCACGTGGCTGGACTGAAATAGTCGACTCGGCCCTTTTCCTTGTCGTAGATAAGCAGATCTGGCCCATAGATTACTGTCCAGACGTTGCTTTTCGCGCAGCTTCCTTGTTGAAGTCCGGAAGCACTTCGTTGTCGGATTGAGTTATGATCATGTAGATCTGGGGTATTGGCCCTAAGGCGAGCCTCATCCTCCGGCTGTTGGATAAGGTCCAATGCCGCCCTTGCCGAGGTTGGCGCACAGTCTGCAGAATCGGGTCGTGTGCTGGTTTGCCATGGTTCTTTTGGCTCGGTGGCCTGTTGGAATTGGACGTGCTCTCTCATGGGGCAGGAGTTGCTTGCAGATACTCTATATTGTGGATGAGTCTTCTGCTGGTGGTTATGATTGGATTGGGTCTGGCCAGCTTCTCGCAGTCGTTGCTCGAGGAGTTGAATGTTTTCGAGGAGCGAAGTCACATATATCTTGGACCTTGGTCTGCTGGTGTTAATCACTCTGCACTACGATAACGTCAAGTGATGGTCTACCTCTTGCGTCCGTCCAGTCCCAGAAAGACGCATTTTTGGTTCCTACTTCGGCAAAACTACAGGATGTTTGTCCAGGGTCCGTGATGCACTGTGTCATGGCGTCAATGAGCTGAAAAATCTTCAGCGTTCAGGGAATAATACACCCACCTTTGTGCAGCGGCTGCGGCAAGTAGTGCAGGCAGCAGAGGCCCGTGATTGAGACCCAGTACCATGGTTAGCCATCGCCAAGTGCGGTGCAGGATACGTCTCGCTACTGACAGGCGGAAGGCAGATATCAATGGCTGTCTTTCTGTACGAGGAGCAATCAGTAGCTGGTGCATGCAGCCTGATGTGTGTGAAAGGAAGGTGAGAGTCGGTGGAAGACAAAATGACGAAGCAAATGAATTGTCCCAGTTGCTGGGGTAGTGGGGGACTTGGAGCTGGGGTAGCTGCCAGGGTTCATAGTTGGATTGCCCGCTAATGCAACCTGATGCGAAGGTCAGCAGGGCCTGCTGAGCCTTGAAGAAAGAACACAGTCCGCCACAAGCGTTCCCATCTTTGGCATGCCGCATGTCGTACCTGTCGGCCTGTTATGCTCTGGACGCGATGTTGGATACGGTTCACAGCACCAAATTTTATCCCCCGTAGGGAATGATCTCCAAATTCCCTCCACGCCCCAAGGGATGAACAAGGAGACTCCTGGGGGTCGGTCGGCGGCTTCATTTGTACATTCATGGAGCTCATCCAACGCGCAATACCCCCTGGATGGTTGTAGAAAGTCGTAAAGATTGAGCCATTTGCGCAGCGAGGCCTTCGATGGGAAAGTGCCGGGCATTGTGCTTTGGGGTATGCGCGCGACACCTAGATTGCCCTCGCGATCAGAGCGGCTATCTTTAGCCGGTATACTCGATACCGGGTCACCAACGGAATTTTCATCGCCAAAAAAAGCGCACGGGTCTCGCCATATGCATAGTTGATAGCCAGATCGAGAGCGCTAAGCACAAGGACATGTCAAGAAAGGCTGACTGTCAAAGTGTATGGATAAAACGATGATTATGAACGAGATCGTGTTGCCTCGTCGCGCATACGAGGAATACGACATGCACTATTCCACATTTGATCTAGTGCGCCAAGGATGATATGAATCGCCCGGCGTCGGAATATTATTCTTCCATTCCGATGATCCCTGCATGTCCTTCCTCTTGCATCACTCTGCTTCCGTACATATCACATAGGACCATGTAAGGCGCTCTGCATGCTGCTTCTCTTCAGTTGCACAATCTTCTATCAACTCGTTAACTTCTTCAATAATTCTACAAAGGGCTGAGATCGAGTTATTTGATCTTCGGGCTGATATTCGCTCCGTGCACATCGAGGCGCGGGTCCTTTCATCAGTCAAACTAACCTGAAAAAGTCACTGCTTGCGACCTCATCTCCTTGTGGTGGAGCTGTGAACAATCAGGAGAGCGAAATTGCAACGCTTCGTATTCCGGAACGCTCATCCAACCTCACTGACCTTTTGTCAGAAATTTCCATCCATTCCATCCACATCCGGTGTCCCACGCCAAGAAAGTCAGGCCGCCTCTATTCTCACAGCGCAAGCTCCAAGGTTCAAAAGCCGAAGAAGATAGGGTTGCCCTACTGAGCCGGCAGCATCTGCTATTGGCTTAGAGGTCTCTTCCCCCCCTGAGCTCGGCAACGACATCATTGTGGCTGGCGCCGCCTTGGTCATTGGCTCGCTAGTCCCCAGAAAATTGTTGCCTAATGCCGGCCATGTGTATATATTGGAGAAATAACAGGACAGGCTTGCGATAGGGCCTAGCAAGAGTATCCGCCTCCGCTAAATGTTGATCTACTGCTCTGCACCAAGTCGTTAACAATGGTCTATCACGGCCCGAGCGCAGGGTGCAAGGCTTGTCGAACCCGGCGAGTAAAAGTAAGTCTGTGGCGACCCCATGCCTTAATTCTTGCATCGATCGATCCTCAATACTCATAGTGCAGTGTGACCAAGGCAAACCATCGTGCAATAATTGCACTAGACGACGCCAGACTTGTCCCGGTTACGCAGATGTCTTTGATGGGGCACACAGAAGTCAAAACAAAGTTGTGATTCGGAGGGTGGAAAAGCAGAATGCTGCAAGGGAGACGGATTCCCGCTCTAGCACTCCCAGCAGTGAAGGATCGCTAGACACCACGCCTACATCCTCCAGCACAACCACTAGATCATCGATAAGGAAAACCCACACCCCGCTTCAATGGGTCATATATTCGGCGGCAGCAGAAGAGAACCCTGAGGACAATGGCGATTCACAGCATCTCGAGAAGGCGCGCCTCTCTGAAGTTTGCGAATTTCCAACGAGCGAGCTTCGGATCGCAATTGCTAACTCGATCAAGCAAGACCCTCAGAATGCTTCGATAAATTTCTTCTTTCGCTATTATACCGGAACCATTTATGATCCTCAACTTCACAATTCTTTTGCACTTCTTTGGCAACCAATGTACCTAAAATCCTCAGAGAATTCGCCATTGAGACTTGCAACAGCTGCGGTGACTGTCAATATTGCCATGATGTGGAACTTCAGAGGTTGCGACGCACGACCAGCGCGACAGCTTTTCACGAAAGCCCTTGAAGCAACGAGGATGGCAATCGGCAATCCGGCGCAGAGTAGCATGGACGAACTCTTAATGACAATATTGATCTTTGACCTCTACGATGCATTGGTCCTGCACTACGTACCTGGGCCTTCAACATATGGCAAGCACAAAAATGGAGCTGTGGCCTTACTCAAGCATAGGGGTCAGGACAACTATAATACCAAAGTCGGTCAGGGTCTTACCACTGCAACCAGACACACTCTTATTCAATACGCGTTATGCTGCCGCACCACTATGCCTTCGGAGTCGGCAGAAATTTTCTTGCACCCTTCAATCGCAGACCGCATGGCCGCGCAGCTTGATATATTAGGGACCCAGATCGCTAATATACAAGCCCGTCTCTGGGCTCTGAGACGGCAGAATGGCTCGTCGAGACTCCCCGGACAACGCCGCAAAGCCTTCGAAGAGATAATTGCCGATGCGATTCGAACCGATGACCTGCTTATGACTTGGAAACGAAACATCCCAAATCCAGACTGGTTGCCGCAACACGTCTCTCGTGACGATGTCGCGCCTTCAATCCTCGCTGCGGGTTTCTACGGCACCAAATGCGCGGTCTGGGCGGACCTGACTTTCGCAGAAGTGTTCAATCTGCATGTATCTCGCCGTGTCTATACGCTGCAAATGATCCGGCAATCACTGGCCGATGAGCCCACCCTACTCACCGATTCAAGATACCGTGCCATCCTGGCGAAGGCAAACTCTGCCATTCAGACCCTTGTTGACGCTATATTAGAAACCCTCCCCGTCCATCTCGGGGACACAGTTGTGCCGACGAACCCGATATACTGCTCTGGGGTCGCATTCCCTTATAAAATCATTCGAGACCCACTGACTGGCGAAGTGAGAAGCATTCCGGACCTGGAAGGGAGTGACTTCCGAATGAGGGCAGCAGCATCCGGTGGATGGATGATATTTCCTCACTTGCTCGAGATATACCGCTTTGCGGAGCCAGAGGATGACGCCGATCCGATTATCCTGAGACAAGGCCAGTTAGAGTGGATCAAAGCACAAATCAAACGGTTGCAAACGACCTTCTTGTTTTGTGATCCCGTCTGGTGAGTTCGGTCCTCTTGCATCCCGTTTCCACGGAGGGACAGACGCCATCACTCCCGTATCCCCTTGCAAGACCATTTGTAATTCTGACGCATGCTTCTCTGCGGAGCAGGTTCAAGCGAGATACACCACAGCGGACGACCACAATAACAAACTCTACTTCCGAGGCGAATTCGACAAGGATCAGCAACTTATGAACGATGTCATCAGCTGGCCTATAAGCAGCAAACGGCCGCGAGGGACACGGGGATCAGGCAACGCCCCTTTTCCTCTTTCTTCTTTCTTGTCTTCTGGCAACCCAGGGAACCTAAATCGAAACAAACCCGCAACTACCTATATTGTGTCACGCGTCATAGAGACTGCCGATGAAGCAGGGAATCAACAAGTGTCACGAACGATATCATTTCATTGCATCTAAACTACGGCTGGGCGAAGGGGCTTGGACGGCCTTTCGAAGGAACGAAAACGATGTATCTATGTACCATCAGTGGCCAAGAAAGAGGAAGACAGCGGCTTAAAGGACTGCACGGCTCGATGGAAAGTAAATGAAGAATGAAGAGGGAGGGAAGGAGCCTGATCAACTCGAAGTTGTGATGTGGCTGATCTTTTCTAATTTGTCGGTGACACGGGTTTGCATCGTAGCCACCTACGAAGTCCTCCTCGATTGCAAAAGTACATATCACACATCTTTTTTTATATTTGTTTCTTTATCTCGCACTCCTCAAAAACTCGACAACGCCCCTGGTATATCCGACCAACTCACTTAACCTCGTCTCCTCCTCGACCATGACCTTTCTCCACTCGACCACCTTTTCCCTCACGTCATCGACCTCGCTGACAAAGTCGCCGTGTACTTTCAAAAACACGCTCATCCAGGTATTCACCAGCTCAAAGGACTTCCTTTGGCGGAGTTGGCGGGTGAGGAAGTCGATAAAGGTCGCCATTTCGGGGAGGGTAAGGGAGCGGATCTCCAAGTCAGCAGCTGAAGGGGGCAAGGAGGAGAGGTGAATTGTCAAGGAAGAAGGGTCGTGAGAAGGGGAAGACGAGAAGGCCTCAAGGAGAGAAGAGAGTTGTGAAGACCTCTGGGAGATTTCCTGAGTGGTGGAAGCTAGGCGGGAGATGCGTGAGCGCTCGGACTCTCCAATAGCTTTGTCCGAGATGAGAGATGCATCATTGTCTGTCTTGAAACCGTTGGAGAGACTTGCCGACCCGAGGAAAAAAGGTGCCGCTTTGGGCTTCTCTGGCGGTTGGATGGGTTTGTTTCTGGCGCGGATGCTGTCGAGGTTCAGCAACGTTTGCCACCGCGATTGAGGTTGGAGCGACAATGTTAGCAGCCGCTTGTCCAGTTGCTCCAATGCTGAAGAATCATCAAACCCATCGACAACAGCTTCCTCCTCCGGCGCTGCATCTTCGATGGCAAGTTGAGTTGCTGCATTGAACGCGATCGCGGTCTGGCTTAGATCAATAATTCCGCGAACATCGTCAATCTGCCGAGTGGATACATGACTGAACAGAGTTTTATTCGTCCAGACAAATATTCCTGGACTTCCAGCATGCGTAGTGGCCAGAAACTCTCCTGTGCTGGAGAACGCCATATTGGTACATGTTGCAGCTGTCTTGAATGCGTCGAGCAAGTGTCCAGTAGCAAGGTCAAAGACACGAATGACCGAGTCCATAGAGCAAGCGACAATCCACCGCCCATCGTTTGAGAAGCAGTAGTCATATATTTGACCAATGCAGCCCCATAACTCGCGTACAACTCTGCGTGTTTCGATGTCGAGGATGCGTATGCACAGGTCATCGCAGGATAAAGCCAGAAGGCCCGAGACAGGGTTGTATCGGATAGCAGTTGGCACCGCAGAATCAAGGGATTTTCGTTCGAGTACCTTGCCGGACGAAAAGTCCCAAAAGATGACTGACCCGTCCAAGCTACTGGTAACCATGGTTTGATTAAGATTGTCAACCACAATGCCCGTGATCGCGTCCCGATGACCGCGAGGAACGGTGATAACCTGGCCTGAGTCTGCTTGTTGTATTTTCAATTGTTTCGCCTGTGCAGGGGTGAGTCGAGGCGGGTACCGTTGGCGATGGGCGCCAGATTGCAGGTTGTACATGTCGAGGCTGCCTCCCGCTGACCCAACAATTGCAAATGTCCCGCAAGCAGTAATAGCAACGCTGGTCACGGCTTTGTGGTCGCCCGTTTCGAAGGCCCATCTACCTGCTTTCTTTCTGCCCCATGACCACGTTCTTGCAAATTTGTCATCAGCATGGGCCGTGATAACACTCTCCCAACCAGTCGTGCTAATTTCTTCTGCATTGACTGTTTTCGTGTTTGACCAAATTGGGCCGCTGACCGAGCCCATTCCACCGTCTCGGTTTAGTGAGCAGGCCATGTCAATGATCGGGGGTGCTTTAAAATCCTCAACCGTGGAAGCGTCGTCGGTGAGGAGACCTGATTTTCGAGCCTTGTGCCTCACAGCGCCTTGACTGAGCTCTGTACTTTGGCCATCTTTGCGCAGACTGAAACCCCACAGGCTGCGATCTTGAGCCGCGGACATGAGCCATTTCCCAGTGGCGTCTGATCCATCTGAAGCTGCCGGGAGAAACATGAGTCTAGTGATGGATGCAGCATGCCCACTCCTAGAGTGGAGAAGCCGTGGAATGGGCGAGAAAGGATTCTGGTCAAAGACCCATGATTTTAGAGCGTTATCCAACCCAGAAGAGACCAAGACTGGTTGGCCCGGCAGGAATTCGACTTTGTTCACACCGGTACCGTGGCCCAGACTAGAAGTTTCATGAGCGCCTCGGACCATGCCGACGACCTTTCCGCCGCGATTGAGATCCCACAGAGTGATGTCGCCGCTTTCAATGCTAGATGTAGCCATGATACCCTCCTTGCGGCCGTCATCACCGGCGCCCATACTGTCAGTCCGAAACGTAATTGAGGTTATTGGCTTCTTGTTGTTTCCCTGGCGCAGTTCGAGAACTTGTTCATCGGCCTCGATATCCGTGATATTCAGAGAGCCGTCAGCATATGCGACTGCTAACAAGCAGACAGCAGGAGCTGGGGCAAGTGCCGTGACAGGGCCAGAGCGTGCCGAGGGGGCTAGGATGGTATGGACTAGTCTCCCTGTACTGACATTGTAGACCTCCACCGAGCCATGCTTTGTGCCTGCAAACACCTTGTTCAACAGGGTAGGCAAAGTACAGATTTGACCTGTAAATGACCCTCGAGACCGGTTACTGGTTGACGACGAAGAGGAGTGGATGGAAGTATAGTGTTCGTATGAATCGGCCTTCCAGACTTCGATGCTTTCTGTCCCGCAACCAACGACCCATGATCCAAAAACGAGGAGTTGATGGATCTCTTGAGCAAAGGTTTCATCAATGTCAAGTTCTCCGATCAACTGCCCTCTCTTGAAAACCCAGACTCCTCGAGGCTCGTTAACCTGTGATCCGCCCCAAGCTACAAATACTCGATCTCGGTAGGCATACGTGGCAGTAACCGTGCCAGGACACTGTGGGCGCGTGAGGAAAACGAGATTGAGGCCTCGTCGCAGGTCATATGTTTGCAAAGTATCGCCGATGGAGGTGGTGATTTGGAACGTTGTTTTGCCCAGCGGAACAGAAGTGAATGGGATAGTGGTGGGAGATACGAGCCCAAGAGTCTGTCAAAATGGTGAGCAAACGGGAGCAAGTCGTAAGGTCTAACATACTCTGAAGGGTGCAAAGAGCCTGGAACTGGTGGGAGGCTTTTCCTTGGTGGTGGTGGTGGTGGTGGTGACCAGCTCACGCCGCTGCCTTTTGGCGAGGGGCAGCTCAATTGCTTCGTCCATGGGTATTCTTGACCTCGCTCACCTGCGGCTGCTTCTTGCTTGTCGTGCGTACTTTAACATAGGACCCCAACAGCACTCCCATGCCTAGGTCAGTGAGGTTGATGGTTGATGGTCAATAATTTTTTTTCCTCTTGGGATTCACCGCCTGGCAGAAACTGCGCCTGACGTGCGCCATGTGTGTTGGCGGCTTGGGGATTCGCCCACCCTTGCCCACTCCTCCAGGTCCTCCAGGCGGTGCAGTACCCCCGATGGGTCTCCTGGGCGCCCCTTGGGCCTTTTTAGTTAAGCTGGGTCCTTGGTGTTCGGTGCCGCCACCACCCAACTCGCCTGCTGCTGGGTGGCTGCTGGGTGGCTGCTCGGCAACCCCCACTTACTCATCCTTTCGCACACACAATTTTGCCATCTTTGAGGCTTCCATCCAACCACCATCGTCAGCATCAATGGTGGCACTTTCTTGGAGCAAGATGCCAAAGGTTACGAGATCTCATTTTTCACCAGGTCGAGATCGTCTTCTCTCCAGTTCAAAAACATGGATTAATCTAGGATCCCTTCTCCATCGTGGCTCTCGCCCTCCGCCGCCATCATATTTTTCCCATATTGTCACTCTTTGAACGCCACCCTTAGAGAACGACTCGGTTTCTGATCAAAGACCGTAGCTCGACTCAAAGCCCTTTCTTCCCCACAGCTTCAGCTTCAGCTCGGATAAGTCGGAGCATCTTTCCCATTCCATCTACCGTAAGAACTTCTCGGCTATTTGGATCTCCTACTACATCATCGATCATCATTGATCATGGAGATTTATTCTCCTCTCCGTCGAACTCCTACCAGCACCTCTGAAAACGACACTGATGATAATGCCACTCTCACTACCGTCTACTCGGCCAGTTCCTCTAATACTTCCACCAATCGTCCTCCAAAGTTGACTGGCCGAACTCCTTCAACCCATTCCTTGTTGGCCGCTCACAGGAATCCCGATGTGCGCAAAGGTGCCCATGCTGAGACTACCAGGGCTTCTGCCGGCCGCTCTAGTATAAGTATGCCGCCTCCGAACACCAAGTCTAACGCTGATAGACGCCTATCGGCTTCGGTCTCTTCAATCCGCTCCCTGAGGAAGTCCGAGGAATGCACCAGGAGCCCCCCTTCTTCCGTGAAGAGCATTGAAGGAGACCGGACACCCTACAGCAGCTCCCCTACAGCCCAGAACTCAACAACAGCCCACGATCCCACAGTGGTAACCACCACGTCTACTTCCATTGCTCCAGGTCTGCCAGTGCTTTCGCCTCCTGCCTTCAATCCAAGCATTCCTAATCGTTCGGATCTAGTGTCAAATATATCATCTCAACTCACATCTCCAACGACATGTGCTCCGAGAAGCGACATGTCTGTAACCTCTGCTCCTGCCGGCCAATCCTCGGGAATTACTGGGAAGTCTGATGGCGCGGAGACCGCGTTTCCCGCCCGTCCGCCTCGAATCCCTCAGCCTCGTTCATCTTCCGGCCGCCGCTTGAGTACCGCAGGATCATCCAGGAATGAGAGCATTAACTCGGAGAATAAAACACCAGTAGGCAGAATCGGCGTTTGTGCTCTCGATGTCAAAGCCAGAAGTCGACCCAGTCGCCAGATCTTGACTCGTCTTCAGGGGGATGGTGAATTTGAGGTCATTGTGTTTGGCGATAAAGCCATTCTCGACGAAGGTGAGCTTCTCCCGCTTCTCCTCTCCTTTACACGGGTGACTGACTTCTGCAGACGTCGAGAACTGGCCCATATGGTGAGTAGGATCTCTCCAGTCCCCAATTCCCTATACCTGAATATCATTCGTCTGACACATCAAAGCGACTATCTTATCTCATTTTTCTCAGATGGTTTCCCTCTTGACAAGGCAATTGCATATGTCAAGCTGCGGAAGCCTTTCGTCGTCAATGATTTGGCCATGCAAAAGGTGCTCTGGGACAGGCGCTTGTGTCTGAAGATCTTGGACCAAATGCAGATTCCCACCCCTAAGAGAATAGAAGTTAATCGTGATGGCGGCCCAAGGCTGGAGTCGCCGGAGCTTGCTCAGCACGTGAAAAATATGTCGGGCGTGGTTCTGGATGGTCCAGAGGATGGCACCGGAGGTGGCACCCCGACTACAAAACACGTTGAGCTGGCCGACGAGGGAGATACTTTGGTTGTGGATGGAAAACCCTTCAAGAAACCTTTCGTCGAGAAGCCTGTAAATGGAGAAGACCACAACGTCATCATCTATTTCCCCAAGAGCCAAGGCGGCGGCGCTCGACGACTTTTCCGGAAAATTGGGAATAAATCTTCCGAGTATGATCCTGACCTGACCGTTCCAAGGTGCATTACAGAACCAAACCGCAGTTATATATACGAGCAATTCCTGAAGACCGAAAACGCCGAAGATGTCAAAGCCTACACCGTTGGTCCGCATTACTGTCATGCTGAGACGAGGAAGTCCCCGGTAGTGGATGGACTGGTTCGACGCAATACACATGGCAAGGAGCTTAGATATGTCACGAAGCTTAGCGATGCGGAGAAAGAGATGGCTGCCAAAGTTTCGCGGGCTTTTGGGCAACGCATTTGCGGTTTCGACCTCTTACGAACCGGCACGGCGAGCTATATCATCGACGTAAATGGGTGGAGTTTTGTCAAAGACAACGAGGATTATTACAATGACTGTGCCAAGATTCTGAGAAACATCTTTCTCGCTGAGAAGTGGAAACGGGAAAATGCTCCTGTGGAGGAGGCGCAGCCCGAGAACGGGGGCGATGGTTCACAGAGTTTCAGAGGCACAAGCCATTCAGCCCGGTCGGCACTTAAGACAATTCTCAAGTCCCCGAGCATGACAAAATTATCTCAGCACCTACCGCATTCGTCGAGACACCACCACCCGAGCCTTGCTGGTTCCCCCAAAGCGTCTGCTCTGACTACACCTATAAGCTCGCCACCGAGTGTCGAGAAGAGCACTCACGTCCTAATCCCTCCGACAGCGACTGAAAAGGACAGCAGCCTTCCCCCACCACTTCTCGCGCCCCCAGATGCTGCCGATATTGTGACGAGCCCTACGGCGCCTGCAAAGGGAGAAGGTCCTGCAGCCCCTATGCCGAGTTCCAAGCATTCATGGAAGCTCAAAGGAGTCGTTTCGGTCATCAGGCACGCAGACCGGACTCCAAAGCAGAAGCTAAAATTCACTGCTCACTCGCAAGTGTTTGCCGACTTGCTGAAGGGCCATCATGAAGAGGTGCTTCTGAAGGGCGAAGCTGCATTGGCAAGCGTGCAGGCGGCAATCAAGGTTGCGCTTAGAGACAAGCTCGAGGATCCAGACAAGTTACGGAACTTGCAGAGCGCGCTGTCAAAGAAAATACATCAACCGGGTACTAAGGTGCAAATCAAACCAATGTTTCGGAAGAGAAAGCCGGAAGAGATGCCCTCGACTTCGGATGCTTTGCCTAGCCCGGAGGCGCTCTCGTCGATAGAAGCCGACCAGCATCTGCTTGAAGGTGTGAACAGCGGCGAGAGGAAGGGATCTGTGTCTAGCACAAGGGAGATACGCCGAGTGCAAACAAGGAGCGACTCCATATCTGGTGCCACGTTTTCGCGTTTCTCGGCGGCTGAGAACGATCTTGTCTTGGACAAGTTGCAATTGGTCATGAAATGGGGAGGGGAACCTACGCATTCGGCTAGATACCAGGCGCAGGATCTCGGTGCCAATATGAGGGACGACTTCAAGTTACTAAACAGGGAAGTGCTTGATGATGTCCGGATCTTCACAAGTTCCGAGAAGCGTGTAAAGACAAGTGCACAGATATGGGCTGCGGCATTTCTGGACCGACAAGACCTAGCTGACGATTTCATTCAGGTAAGGAAGGACCTCCTGGATGATTCCAATGCGGCCAAGGATGTGATGGACAAGGTCAAGAAGAAACTTAAGCATCTTCTTCGCGAAGGCACTGTCCCAGACTCGTTTGCTTGGCCAAAAGGCGCTGCAGAGCCATATATGGTCATGCAGACTGTGGTCGACCTGCTCAAGTTTCATCGGCGGGTTATGCGATACAACTTCAAAAAGCTTTCAACGGGCGCTGTGGCTTCACTCAGCGCACTCAATGGCTGCGGTGACGGCAAAGACGCCAACGGACAGAACAAAGAAACGATCAGCGTCGCCTCTATTCAGTCGCGATGGTGCACCGGCGAAGATGCTGAACTTTTCAGAGAAAGGTGGGAGAAGTTATTCTCAGAATTTTGCGACACCGAAAAGGCAGACCCAAGTAAGATCTCTGAGTTGTACGACACAATGAAATACGACGCCCTCCATAACAAACAATTTCTCGAATGGGTGTTCACGCCCAGCCAATCACTTTTGGATGAAATGGCCAAAGAAGAGGGTCTGTCGTCGAATGCATCTTCTGAAACTGAAAGGCCAGATGAGGTTTCCGCGTCAGCCAACGGCACGCATCAGGAGAGCGCAGTCTCGTTTAGCAGCGGTGTGTCTGAGGGCAGACACAGTCTTGCCCAGAAGATTGGACTGAGAAGACAATCAGTCCTCAGACAGCCCCTGCCAGCTGCTCCTTTGATGTCTTGGGAGCAAGGTGCTTCTTATTTCAAGTTATTCAGCGGATCCGGCGATGGTCGACCGAAGCAAGACCAAAAGCTGGGCCGCTTACGAGAGCTGTATCGATATAGCAAGATCCTGTTCGACTACATCGGCCCGCAAGAATACGGCATCAGTGATGAGGAGAAACTTGAGATCGGCCTCTTGACATCATTGCCCTTGCTGCGCGAGATTGTCGACGATCTAGAAGAACTGCAGGCTTCCGGCGATGCAAAGTCATTCATCTACTTCACCAAGGAATCACACATATACACTCTACTCAACTGCATCATGGAAGGTGGCATCCACACGAAGATCAAACGGTCCACAATCCCGGAACTCGACTACCTTTCCCAAATCTGCTTTGAATTATACGAGGCCAAAGACGCCGAGACCGCAGAATCAACCTACTCGATCCGCATCTCCATTTCCCCCGGCTGCCACACGATCGATCCACTGGACGTCTCCCTGGATTCCAAACACGCGATTGGAAGCGCGCCGCGGCGATCGTTGACGAACCATCAGGACTGGAAAGAGGTGATTTCCACCTTGAAAGCGAAGTTCAACACAGTGCAACTGCCGAAGAGCTTCCTGGCAGTGAATGTCAGTGAGAAGCATGAAGAGGAGGCTCAGCGACGGGCGAGTTTGCTGCAAAGCGAAGCGGCAAAGGAGAAGCATGAGTGTAAAGACGAAGGCGACAGTGCGACGGCGAAAGATGCAGACGATGGGGGTCGTGAGGACACGGCAGGTGAAGAGCGGTCAGAAGAATCTCAGCCTGGTGAGCAAGAAACGGCCCCACTGCAGTTTCTGTCTTGAGAGGACAACAAGGTCGATACAGACGAATAGAGACCTCTTGGGAAGGAGGAAGAAGATTGAAATGGTTGAGTGAGTGGGCAACCCTAGTCAGATATTGCGACCCGACCTACAGAACAGAACAGCCCAGTTCGACGGCACAGACCCAAGGAAGGACGCCGGACCAACGGTACAACCTGCACTACAACTTAATCAGACGAGAAGAGGGGCCCATGGACCAAACAATGATTTCACACTATCAAAGGCAGAGGCAGAGGCAGAGGCAGTCTTGCCTTTGTGGAGAATGGCTCTTGGCCTGCAGGCGCCACAGATAAAGTCACTCGGCTGCATAATTCTGGCCGATTAGGGACAGAATATACAGGTAGATGCTAGACCTGCATAGAGGAAAAACGTGTATGAGGCTCGATCGATCGGGTGATTGAGCGTCGTCGACAGGAGTGAGGCCTCGTTGGAAACGTCGTTACTAGCTAGGTATACTTTAGAACCCACTCTACCAAGTCGGAACCGATTCTACTTGGTACAGCGACTCGAAGATTCGGTCCGAACATGATCTTCCGCCAGGAATCGCTGGGGATCTCCCCGAATGTGTCCACTTGTCTGTCCACTCGCTCACTCAGTCCAAGCTCTGCATGCAGGTAACCATGTGGCCATGTACCTAACACGTGGCTCACCGCTCCACCCTGTCTGCCTGTCTGGCGCCTCAGCTCAGCTCAAATTTAGTTCCTCGCGTCGAGTTCGTTCGCTCAGTTACTCATTCGCATACATAAATTCATACATTCCGCAATGTCCCTCGCCACGCCAGGTGCAAAGATGGAAGAGATGGGATCTGGTTCGGTTTGGTTTGGCAGGTAGGTTGGTAGGTTGGTAGGTCGGTAGGTCCTCGGAAGGGAATCACAATTAAACGTCAGGAATGCCCTTGGCCCAGTGCACGAGCAGCTCTCGCGTGGCCATGGCGTCCTCGTAGCTATCGTGACCGCGCTTTCCGACCTGCACGGCGATGCCCAGCTTCAGCTTGCACAGGTTCTGCAGGCTGCGGCCGCCGGGCGTTTTGGTGCTACCGACACCCGAGTACGTGTATGTCTCGAGGATGCAGGTGTCGACGACGAGCGGGTGGATCCAGCGCAGGGCGGTGAAGTCGCTGGCGCCGCCGTGCACGACGACGACCGTGTCGGGTCCCACGGCGCAATGGCGGAAGAGAGCTTCGCGCGCGCGGTCGCAGCCCAGAATCGCTGTGCCCCGAGCGAGGGCCTGCCGCATATCCCGTGCCGTCACGCCAGAGTACCGTGTATTGTAGTGCGCCATGGGCACCGACGGCGAAACTAGGTTGTCGATCAGCACCGCGCCGCTGAAGAAGTCCACCACGGTCAGCCGGATGAGCTCCGGGTCCCCCGCGGCGGAGGTGCCCATTTCGCAGTCGAGTGCGATGGCGTGGAGAGAACGGGGAATTTTGTGTTGCTGTTGTTGGTGGTTATGGTTGTGGCTGTGGGTGTGGCTGCGTGTTGAATCGTCGGCGATGAAAGGCTGCCCTCTTTGTCGACCACCCCTCCTGTGGCCACCTCTGCGAGACCCGACAGGGGGAGTAGAAGGAGTAGCAGTACTGGTAGCAGAGGCGACTTGGGCAGGGATAGACGGCGTATGATGGTATTTCCAGTGCTCATGAAGCCGAGCATCATCTTGCGGAGGCATGCTGTGCTCGGGGTCTTCGACGCAGCCCTCCGCTGAGACGTGTCGGCCGCAGCACGAATAAGCCTATATACCGGTCAAAGATACGTCGATATGGTTGACCAAACGCACGTGTCTAGCTATGTACCTTGTTTCTGACGGAACCTGGATGGTATGAGCAAGGGCCGAAGACTTTCTTGCTGGATGTCGTGGTGGATCTGCTCGGAGCCTCCTCATCCATTGCGTTTTCGGTGTCGACACTCATCAAATCCGTTTGTGCCTTGTTTTTGCTGCCGGCATCAGTCCTGACAGGCTTGGGTCGTGCTCGACGATTCCGTCGTTCTGGACATGTCAGTCACCCAGTTGCCGAGACCCCCAAAGGACGCAGGCGATCAGACGTACTTCCACACTTCGTACATCTAGCCTTGGATGTGATCTGAGCTGAGTCGAGAGGTTGGAGAACATAGCCCGCCTTTTTCAACTCCTTCTGACTGTGGCACACCAGCCGGATCTTCTCCAAATAAGCCGGCGAGTATGTGATGTTAGACCAAGGAACGTGGGGGGCGTTGGGCTCGGTCGCCTTGTTCAAGGGCCACGAAGGTGGTCTCGGCTGAGCCATGGGGACGGCGGCTGTTGACATGACCTGCTCCCGTGAGTGATGATGCTGTGCCAGGAAGGAAATGGCCGGAAGATAAATACCTCAGCATTTGAAAGTGAGTTCTGTTGTTGCAGTTACAAGAGTCTGGCGTAAGTCGTAGCTTGTGGGAAAAGACTACAAGTGAGAGTGAATTGAGAGATGCAACAAGGCACCGGGTACAAAAGGAGCGGCCGCCCTTGTCGTCGACAAAGCCTGCAGTGGACTGTGACACAGCAGAGGTAATGAACAGCTTCAGCATTCCAAGACCACCCCCACTCGTTCCTGTCAAATCCCTCATTGGGTACTTGGGATTGCCTCATGTTCCACCGCGGACGTTGTGTCTCGCGAAGCGACAGCAGAACGAGATATGGCCCAGTTGTTCATCTGTTTGGTGAAGTAGCTGGAGACAATTCAGGTCGACGTCTAAAGAAACGAACCAACAACGCGGTCAGGACTATACGCACTTTCATTCTAACATTCGTGACCTCGGGCTTGTCATTGAGACTGAAAACGCATTCTGGGCTCGTTCAGATTCTGTGGGTTAAAGGCAAGGAACACACGGCCTGGGAGACTTGTTAAAACGGGTTTATCATGAGAATGTCAGACGAGGTCTCCCATTGAAACAGCGCCTCTCGTTGTAAACGGTATTTGAATGCTTTTCTCATATCGTGTGTCAAACAGCCTCGTAATGTACGACACATGTGGTTCCTGGTGGTCAAAGTCTCCTGCTGGCAGCGAACGACAGTCATTCCTCTTCAACGTCAAGGGCGTCTCCAAATAGAATCAGGAAAGCGTTATAACTCGCATCGTTCTTCCCATAATGCATCGGTCCTGTCCAGCCCAAGACACTTTACTGTCCTGTTCATTTCAGACCATTCTTAGCCTTAAAAGCAGCAAGTAAACCAGCTGTTGAAGAGTCATGGTCAGCTCCAGCGCCTTCTGTCTCGAGCTCCTTCTGGATCGTCTTGGCCAGCACCTTGCCCAACTCGACACCCCATTGGTCGAAGCTATTGATGTTCCAAATGGCGCCCTCGGTGAAGACCATGTGCTCGTAGTAAGCAATCAATGCGCCCAGCGTGCCAGGGGTGATCATCTCAGCAAGGATGTTGGTAGTTGGTCGGTTTCCGAGGAAGGTCTTGTGGGCAACCAATTCATCGGGAGCACCTTCGGCCTTGACTTGATCAGGTGTCTTGCCAATCATCAAGGCCTCGGCTTGAGCCAGGAAGTTGGATGCTAGCATTCTCTGGTGGAGACCTCCCTCCACCGGGTTGTGAGATCGGGCTGCAATGATGAAGTCAGTGGGGATGAGTTTGGTGCCCTGGTGCAAGAGCTGGAAGAACGAGTGCTGTGCGTTGGTGGCTGGCTCGCCGAAGAAGATGGATCCGGTCGTGTACTTAACATAGTCGCCACTTCGGGTGACCGCCTTGCCGTTCGATTCCATAGTCAGTTGTTGCAAATAGGCTGGGAAGCGATGCATGTATTGATCAAAAGGTGCAACCAGGTGGGTCTGAGAGCCGAAAAAGTCCGAGTACCAAACGCTCAGTAGACCTGCAATGACGGGGATATTTTCGTGGAGGGGCGCAGTCTTGAAATGGTGATCCATGGCATGACCGCCCGCCAGGAATTGATGGAAGTTGTCATAGCCAATATAGATGCAGACCGACAAACCGATGGCGGACCAAACAGAGTATCTGCCGCCAACCCAGCTTTCAAAACCAAACATGTTCTTGGTGTCGATGCCGAACTTGCTGACCTCCTCAGCATTGGTGGAGAGGGCGACGAAATGCTTTGCAATGTCCGAGGCCTTTGCATGTTGCAAGAACCATTTCTTGGCTGTATTGGCATTGGTGGTGGTCTCGGCGGTGGTGAAGGTCTTGGAGGCGATGAGGAAGAGGGTGGTCTCGGGGTCTGAATCCTTGAGGGCTTCGGCGATGTGAGTGCCATCGATGTTGGAAACGAAGTGCAGTTTCATGTTCCTGTCTCCGTACGGTTTCAGAGCCTCTGAGACCATGACGGGGCCGCTGGCTAGACGTCAATGTCACGGGCCAAAGCCACAGAGGGGAAGGCAAGACCTACAGATCAGAGCCACCAATACCGATATTGATGATGGTGGTGAGCTTCTTGCCCGTGTATCCAGTCCACGAACCACTGCGGATTTGCTCCGAGAACTCCTTCATATGGTCCAAGACTGAGTTGGTCTCCTCGACAACGCTCTTCCCGTCAACCGCCATGGGCTGGTTGCTGACATTTCGAAGGGCGACATGGTAGACAGCTCTCTTCTCGGTGAAATTGATCTTCTCGCCAGCGAACATCTGATCTCGAAGTTCCTCGAGCTTGGCCTCTTTTGCAAGTTTCACGAGAAGGTCAAGAGTCTCTTCGGTCAAGAAGTTCTTGGAGAAGTCGAAGAGGATCTCAGAGTTGTCTGCAGTGTTCTTGAAGACTCGCTTGAACTTCTCAAATCGTTGAGGATCTTTCTCAAAGTATTCTTTGAGGACGATGTTGCGGCCCACAGTGTTGTGGTGCTCCACCAGGGCTTGCCATGCGGAGAGATCGGTGGCCTGCGCGAAGCCAGGCATTTTGCAGTGTAGGAGGAGAGAGTCTCGAGGGCGTTTCTGCGGAAGGATTTTCAGAGGATCAGCCAGGAGAAAGTCTGTGGAAGGGAGATTTAAAGACTCTAGAGAGCAGCAGTAGTAGCTTTGTTCTGTTGCAGAGGTGAAACACAGAAAGCGGTGCATGCACGGAGGGGCAGGGAAAGCTGTTTGGTGACAAGACTTACTCAGATATTAGGAAGGAAATCGAAGGCGGAAACCAAATAGGCCAAAGGTATAGCAGTGATGCCAGCTGAGCTGGATGGTGCAGTGGTGGGAGATGTTTGGGTAGCAGAAGAGACGTTGAATTGGATTTTTGTACAATGGGCGATGTTTTTGATGGAGGGGCAGTTGGCAGTCTCGAGCAAAATGTTTTTCGAGGACCAACGATGATGCAAGAGTGCACCAAGTGCACCAGCTGGCAAGCGGCGGTGACAAGGATGAGGATGAGCGGAGCAACTGCTGCCCCGCTTTGCCTGGTGGCTCGCCCAACCCGCCTCCTGCTGCCCATCGCTTGTACCTAGTACCCGGTAATATTCAGCACCAATGGCCTCGTCAGCAGCGGATAGATGATTAAGCGCCCACGGCGCAATGCCAAATCCAGAAAGCGCCCACAGGCAATCTGAACGGTCCGGGCTTTGCAGAGACATCCGAGTTTTGCTACCAATAAACCAGATTCCATTATCTCTATGTGATTCTATACCTAGAAAGAAAAAAAAAAAAGCCGAAACATCTCCATCCTTTCTCATACCAAACACATAGACTTCTCCTTGTCTAAACCAACAGAGCTGCTAAAAATACCAACGAACCAAGAGCGAACAGAGATGTTGAAGATTGACCCTGAAGGTCTGTAGCAGCGCCTGAGTACCCACTAATGGGCGGGACAATGCTCTTCGTGGGCACCGTCGCGTTAGTGGAGATGGAGGCAGCGGAAGTCGTGGACACGTTGGTGACCGACAAGGTCGAAGTGGTCGTGTTCAGAGCCACTGTAGTAGAGTTGCCGAATGGCGCCATCGAAGTGGTCATAGGAAGACCGGTTGTAGCAGAGCAAGCATCGGCGGAAGAGGATGTCATGCTCACGGTGACGGTGCTTGTGGTTGTCGAAGTGATGGTGGTGGTGTAGCTGGTGGGTGAGGTTGAGTCGCTCGTGGGAGACAGAGAAGAACTTGAGGGAATCGCAACAGCTATGGCAGAAGAAATTGAAGCAGTGGTCGTGCTTGTGCTGTAATTGTTGTTGTTGTTGTTGTTGTTGTTGTTGTTGTTGTTGTTGTTGTTGTCGTCGCCGTCGTCGCAATCTGCATCAGGATAGGAGCCGCGCTTGGGAACACACCCTGTGCCCGTAGAAGAGCAGTTGGCGCTTGCGGGACAAGAATCTACACTCCATTAGCATATGGCATGACTCATGGGATGGAGCGCCAATTTACATTTGCTCGAACAACAAACGTCGCCTGCCGACGGGTTATAGCAAGTATCAGGACCGCATTGAACGTAGTTGGCACCACAACTGGCACACCCACCAGCGTCAGAAGGCATGCAGGTGACATCACGAGGATGCAGTGGATAATCTCCAGCGTGGCCGGCAGAGCCTCGAACTGCGGTAGCCAAGCTGGCACCGATGATGAAAAAGATGTATGAGCGCATGATTCGTCTATTTGTATGGAGTACTGCCGAGTCGCTTGGGGTCAAGGAAGGAGAGGAGAGTGTCTCAGGCGAGAACGACTGTCAAGAATAGGCGTGGCAACGAATGTCTCGGGCTCCAGCTCAGTGGGTGGAGAGAAACAGAAATGCTCAGAAAGACTTTGAACATCTTAAAGCACTTGCAGGATTGGCAAGGAGACATCTTTGTGCCGAAAATGGAAACTGAATAAAGAACCCATTGCAAGCCGGACTGTAGAAGCCGTTTCTAGAAGGCATGGTGGTACAAACAAAGAATCAACTAGGGAGCCAACCATAGACCCCATCAATTTCCGAAGCGCAGACCAGTTTGCAAGGGGAAAAAACCCTGAGAATCACGAACGAGCAGCCATGCAGGAGATCTCCTGATGCTGTGTGATGTCCAGGACCGGAGTAACGTGGGCTTGCATATTCAGTGTTCTGGAAGTTTACCGGGTAGATTGGTGCAGGTAGGGACGGGGCACCTTTCAAAGTCAGGCACAAAGAGAGACTAATTGCCAAAAAGCAACTTCTTCGCCGTGAGACCATTGTGTATTGAGATGAGAGGGTTGGTGATTAGTATGTGTTTGTTTGCAGACGAGTTGAGAACGAGCGACGGAAATTAAAGTCGAGGTTGGAAGTTGTTGGAGGAGCCAAGAGCCTGGCCGAAGCAAACAGAGCAAATATGCCAAGCGATCAAGCGAACTAACTCACCGCAAGCTGTGAAGGCGGCAAGGTGCAATGACGTCAGGGCACCGCAATTCTACGTACTGGGTATCGACTGCGAAATGCCGCCGCAAATCGTCACTCAACTTACCAGTGCCAATCTGTCCAAGTATCTGCTATCCTCGTGCTGTGTCTGTAGTTGGAGGCCATGGCAGCGATAAGGAACGGCCTCGGGCAGCTTTTATCGTCGTCAGCCAAGTCTGCTGCATACCCAGCAGTGCAGCAGTTGATGACGACTTTCTGCTCCTGCCCGAGATTTGGCCCTTGGAAAGATACGAGTGGTATAAAGCTCCCAGGACTTCGATAAGACGGCAATGAGCAATCCATAGCTGCAGCCTCACGCGGAAGCCAGCGTCCTCCCCCAGTCGCAGTGAAGAATAAGTGACGCAGTCCTTCACAACATACATGCCCCACCTAATGTAGCTGAAGAGGACTCAACAACGACGAAGTGGTCGCCATATCGAATACAGCTGGCGGCGCAGGTGAAGGGTAGAGCATCCCTCTTCCTCCTCAAGGGAAATACAATTCTCATTACCAGTGAAAGCCACCTCTGTTCTAACAGTCGAGCAGTGAAGGACTTCCAGTGTGTCACTTCTTCTTTCAATTCGGCTTGGCGCATCGGCAACAAGAAACTTGGTCATGACTTCTCCTCCTTGCTGGGTCAACCTGAGGTAGAACTGGCTTGATATCCAGAGCCCATGGCATCCTCACTTCGCTTCCGAACGGCAAAAATACAGAGAAGTCGCCTGCTCGTCTTCGCTCTGTTCTTCGTCATCTTCACCGTGGCCACTGCATTTTACCAACTGCGACGACACAAGGCTCATGGAAAGCCTATTTTCCCTACCCAAAAGTCAGTCAACGGCTTCTCCAATGGTCCCAGAGTGGCCGGATATGGCAAGCCGGAGGGAGTCAAAATCATTGGCCTCGTTTTCTTTGGTCGGAAAAATCGTGTCGAGATATTGCAATGCTTCCTCCAGCGCAATTTGGTTGACAATGGTGGCTGGCTTGACGAGATTCACTGGGTGAAGAACACGGATAATCGCAAGGACCTGGCATATCTGGAGGAGATTCTAGCCTCGTCCTCTCGATACAAGATGGTGGAGGTCGAAGGTGTCGGCTTTGTCGGCTATGGACTGGCTTGGACTCAATTAGAGCCGGGAAATCTGTATGTCAAGATCGACGATGACGTGGTATGGTTCGCAGACGACACGATACCGCGCATTGTAAGCATGAAGCTTGCGCATCCGGACTATCTGGTTGTGAGCGCCAATGTCGTCAATTCTCCACTCATGGGCTGGGTTCACTATCATATGGGCGCGGTACATCCTTATATGCCCGAACTGACCGACTATGAACCGACCATCTTCAATCTGGGTCAACCGTCGCGCAAGCCTTGGACATACTGGTCATATCCCACCTGGACAGGTCCAGATGACTATTTCTTCGGTCCATTCCAAGCACCCCCATACGACGGACATTGCTGGCTCCGACTCCCAAACGACTCGGACATCTCCCGCACACCTGTCGCCGACATTGAGTACAACACTTGGGGCACAGGTCTAAAGTCTTGGGCAATCGCCGCTCAAGAACACTACTCGTTTCTTGAAAACCTCGCTGACGACCGTCTCAACACCTACCGGATGGGCAGCAGCCTCGACCGCGGAGGCACCGATAAAACCTGGCTCACCATTGACCAACGACTCAGTATCAATATGATCACCGTCTGGGCAGATGACGTTTTGGACAATCTACCGATGGACGACGTCGACGAACAGTGGTTGACCCTCATCTTACCCAAAAAACTCAAGCGCCAAGTCGCCGTGAACATGGACGCACTGGCGGTGCATTTCACATTTGGATCACAGGGAACGGTCGAGACGACAGACCTGCTGGCCAGGTATCGTGATTATGCATTCGAAAACGCGTGTGCAAGATGGATTTGACATTGGCGGAGATTCATTGCGTCACAGAACAGACAAGATGCCCCACGATCATTGCAGGTTGCGATGCTCGCCTTGGTGATTTGGTGCTCAGCTGTGGCCCCCTCGTGCGGTCTTACGGAAAATTCCTGTGTGACCGGTCCCGCGCGACTGGAAATTGAACAATTATGGTGATGGTGGAGACAGAGGCCAAAGCCCCCCTTTTATTCCAGAACGGAGCTATTAGACATCACTGGAACTTTTGAACGGGGCCAGAGAAAGTAACACGGGTGGTTTGAGCTACGACCATATCAGACTTGGCGCTCAGGCGCGCATGGTACGCTTACTGCGACTGATATGGAAAATCGATATCGTCATCATACGCGAATGCGGCCTCTAGAACTCAGCAGGAATCCCGCCTTTTCCCATGTTTGGCTGAGTAAAGTACCCCTCTGCGGATGGGGCCGGTGAAGTGCACGCAAGCAACGGAGGAAAGCCGTGGACTGTCTGTGTTCCCCATATCCATCCATGTCGACCTGTTTTACCAAATTATGAAAACGAGGGAAGGGAGGAGGATGAAATAGATAAAAGAACGAGGGACTAGATCGAGAGGGCTTGTCGCTTCTTCTTTTTGTCCAATTCCCACAGCCACCGTCGGTGCACCTCGAATCATCTCTGCGGAGTACATAGCTCAGCCAAGTGACTCTGTGAGTATTAGGCGCATACAAAGTCAGCATTCATGGCGTAGTCTCTCGAGTGTCACAAGTCACTAGTTCGCAAAGTACGCATACGTGTCTCTTGTGTACAAACCTCCCGCGGGGCTGTGCAGCTGTATAGATACGGACATATGGGAGGAGTGAGCAGTAGTAGCACGGTCATAACAATGGGTGAGTGGACGGAAACTGGTTCTTTCGGCCATCGGGACCTGGTACATCTTTCTCCTTCCCCCTCCTGCTTCTCTTCCTTGCTTCTTTGTTCTTCTTGTTCTTCTCACCGAGGACTCTCCAAGCCCGGCTAGCCCTACCTGGCCAACTTGTTCAAAGCGGCATAATCCCAGTCTTCCTTGATCATGTCCGCCGCCTTCTCGGCGATCATATAGACACTGCTCAAGATGTTGCCACTAACGTTGTTCGCAAAGACGCTCGCGTCCGCGACGCGTAGGTTCTGCACGCCTTTCACCCGCAGGCGCGAGTCCACCGTGTCGCCCATCGCGCACGACCCGCAGCTGTGGTATTCGCCCACGATATGCTCCCTGATGGCCGCGCGACGGGACTGCGCCGAGTCGAGGGAGGGGAACGTTTCTGGCTCCGGCACGATGCGTTGGCTGATTTTGTCCTTGAGCTGGGGCGCTGCGGCCGTCTTTTCGATGAATTTCAGGCCCGCGGCGAGGATGGCGACGTCGGCTTCCTCTCCCAAGAAGTTGGGGTGGATTTCGGGCGCCATGGCGGGATCGGCGGATTTGATGTGGATATGGCCCCTGGAGAACGGGTACTGCAGGCAAACAGCGAGTGTGATGCCGTCTCGAGCGCCCTCGGCTGGTGGAGCGAACAATTTGGCCTGATCACCGACACCTTCTGCCACATCACCCGTCGCGGCGATAAAGATGAGCTGCAGATTTGCCGATTTGTTGCTCTTGATGTTTGAGATGACTTGGTCCCATTGTTTCCTCTGAAACGGAGTCTTCGCCTTGGCGCTTTCAATGGACTTGACAATCTCTTCTAGCTCGCCTTCCTCTAGGAACATGGAGCAAGGGAAGAAGCCTTGAACGGATTGGATCCCGGTCAACGGTCCGCCTTGTTCTTCTACGAGAGCCTTTTGCGCGGCTGCCATGACTTCAGGCTTGTAGATCGAGTCCGCAGACATTTGGCCATCGGCAAGTTTGTAGATAACAGCGGCAACGACGTGATCCTGGTAATTTTCTCCGACAGAGGGTAGGTTGACGAGACATTGGACGCCTGCTGCGTTAAGAATGTCTGGGTTGCCAATGCCAGACATCTCGAGGATCTGGGGAGAGTTGATGGTTCCACCACAAACAATCACTTCTCGTTTGGCTTTGACGGTATGCTTCTGGCCGTTATGGATGAACTCGACACCAGTGGCTCTGTTATTTTCGAGGATGACTCGAGCGACCAGCGCCTCGGTTATGACTTTGAGATTCGGGCGGTGTTCGTTGGCTTGGAAGTATGCTCGAGCAGCGTAGCTACGCATGCCCTTGTTAGGGCCTGTGCGTGTCACCGTACCCAGAGTATTGTAGAACCCAATGTGGTCTCCGCTCCATGGATCGGTTGGCTTTTTGTCAAACCCAGTAGCGTGGTCAGCGGCCTTGATCACATCGTCTTCGATCGGAAGTCGTGAGTCATTGAAGCTGGTCCGTATAGGACCGCTTGTGCCGTGGTTCTCTCCGACAAATGGCATGGTGGAGCGATCAGTGACTCTCTCGTCAACAGGCTCCAGTGTTTGGTGCTTTCGCATGTATTGCTTCATGTTGGCGGATGACCACGAAGGGTCGTCCGCCAATTTGGCCCAGTCATCGTAGTCTTGGTCTGATCCGCGAACATACCTTTGCTGACGTTAGACCACGAGGCTCGTTACCTGCCGGGAGTACAGCACTCACATCATGTAATTGATCGCGCTCGAGCCACCCAGCGCTTTGCCCCGGACGACATGGTGGACTTTACCCTTGTTTCCTGGCTGTGCACGAGTTAGATCATGGAGAAAGGCATGGGACAGTGACAGTTAGGACCTGAGGAATGGTTTTCCATGCCCAATCGTACTCCGGGTTTCCCAACATCTGCGTAAACATTGCGGGGACATCGACAAGCGGGTCACCAAGTCGATTCTTGCCGGCTTCGATTACACCGACGGTGACATCTGGATTCTCTGTTAGGCGAGCAGCAACGGCCAGTCCAGCTGTACCACCACCACAGATGAGATAGTCGTAGTCTTGCCCGACAAACTCATCGACGGCGACGAGGGCCGATTTCTGCGTGCCACTGGTTCCGTTAGTGGTCGCCATCTTTGTTAAAGTCGAACGCAGTGTCGTCTAGAATCTGAACTTAATTGACCGATGTGCTGGGCGAAGCTTGTAGTTGAGACCGGGGACGGGTTTTGATCGAGGGAAGGGCAAGAGCGATTGTTATATACTCACGTCTTGTCCCTTAACTTATGAGCAAAGCAGCAGCCCCGTATCTGCTAAGAGTGACATTTCAAGGACAGGGTTGGCAATATGTAGTATCAAAGGATGCAGCCACCAGGGGTCCAAACGATTTGTGCAAGGGTGGCCTCGTTCTCGACGTGTAAGACGCCAAAGGAGGGGGTTACTCGAATCAAGTCTCCTAACAAGGACTAGAGCGGATGTTGAGGGCACCCTTTGTAAAGTAAGTGAACGAGTAATATTAAGAGGAGAAAGTCTTGTGCCGTTGCCCTTGGTCCAAATTCCCTGTCACCCGTCAGTTCTTACTCGGTTCCGATTTCCCTCTTATATCAGTTCAGGTGCTTTGCAGTCAACGGTGCGGTTGAACAAGAAGGCATGGACCCAGCTATCGATGGTGAGAGCCACTACCACCAGCGGCGGCGCCGCAGCGAGGCAACCGACGACACGCCCTCTCCGCACAAAGAGCTGCACAAGCACCGAGCATCCGGGCAAAGTCTGTCTCAGAATAGACCGTGGCGGGGAAGTCGTATACACCCCACTTAATGCAATAAAATCTTTCCTTTCTCAGGTGATCTGATTGGTAGGATGCAGAGCTAAAGCTCGTATGGCCCTGGCCAGATGTATTCGTATTCATCAAGGAAGGTTTGGGCCAGGAATCCATGATTTTTGGCGGAGGCAACGTCATGGGGGGCTACTTTGTATTACCCAGTATGTCAGCCTTATTCCTTCTGAGTGGATCCAATCCTCGCCGAGGACCGTACATCCGAAGCGCAAGGGCCCTTGTTAATACTCCTGTCACAGTAGAGAGCATCAGGAAATCGTCGCTTCCTGCGAGTGCCGCGCCAAGTCCAGATTCCTAGGCCAGCAGTCACTCTGTTTAGATAGACGTCGTTGCCATTCAGAGGGTGTCCAAAGAGGTTAGTAACTCAACCCCTGGACGATTGAGGAAGTCCTCCTATGGTCTGAGGGGGGCTCTCGGGGGGAAATACCTCCCGCCTTCCCGTATATGGAAACTATCATGGTCCTTGTTGGTCACTTACCTCAGAACCCTCTTGACTACGCAAGCAACATGGCCGAACGGTGAGAGATTATCCGCGGGACAGCCGTGTAAGATCGGACCAGGCGCATGTTGGGAGGCGTGTCGGATCCGCAACGCGCTTCTTTAATGCAATTGCCCGATTTGAGCAAGCTAGAGGCAAGGTCTGACATATGCAGGAACAACATGATACCTTACTTGGACAAATAGAGAATGAAATTGGCATGGCTATTTGGGGATGGCACTATGGAGCCAGTCATGCATCGCTGTGAGAGAATAGAGGATAACAAGGGGCTCCCAGAGAATTGAAGGATGGCATTAGACGAGAAGAAGCATAAGATTTTATTAATAAACTAAGAATGTTGGAACTGGCGAGCTGGTGGGGTTCTGGAAGTAGAAGGTGAGCCGAGGGAGACTTTCGTAAAGCGGCAAGTGAGTTAGGCGACACGCAATGTACCTCGCACCGCCTTCATACCGAGATAGCAAGATACCTAGGCATTTCTTTCCCCAACTTACACTGCTGAAGACCTCCTTAGCACGCAATCAGGCAGAGGGTATACCGATCATCAACCTCAAAGTCATCGACACCGCTAACTCCGTCCGCGGAGACAGCGCTTACCTATCTGCAGCAGCATATTCCTATGCTCCGGCATTCAAGCTATCCTCCAAAGTTCCATTTTATTGAAGGGCGTCAGTCAGGCACCCAGCTTTATTTTATCGGGCTTACTGATGACTCGGGGGGCTCCGCGAACCTTACGCATGCTTCACGCGTAGTCACTATCCACCTGAAGTCCACTCGCGATCGGTTGGTCGACATCTTGGGAAAGAATGAACTGATCTCCAGAGATCGGCAGAAAACCCCAACATCGTCGACCGGATTACGTGATTTACCTTGATATCGAGTCCGCAGCCACGCAGGATGTCGTTGTCGTTCCAGCAATCCTTGCCGGCGCATCTGCTTCCCGACCGTGAGATTCACGTTGTCGTCTCGATTCTGTCTGGGCGCCACAAAGCCAAAGAGTATTATGAAGAATCCATCAAACCTTTACTCGACCGTCACGGTATTATATACTACACACACGAAACCAAGTCTACAAAGACTATCATCGAGCTGACCGAGAAACTTTTCATCGTGAACGCGCGACAAGGTGTCAAGCAAACTATCATTCTGCTCTCTGGAGATGGCGGCGTCGTCGATATTGTCAACACTTTTACAACTCTCTTAAATCGGAGGAACGACGACATTCGAGCTCCTTCAATATTCCTCAAGCCTGCCATTGTCCTGATACCCATGGGAACCGCGAATGCTTTGGCATGGAGCTCTGGTGTTGCGCAAGACCCTCTCAAGACTCTGATGGAAGGAAGACCAAAATCGTTGCCTTCCTTCAAGGTTTGCTTTAGTCGCGGCGCGGAGCTCCTTGTCAATGAAGGCCGGGACCGGGAAGCCATAGGCGATGAGGACGAGGATGAGCCTGTCATGTACGGCGCAGTGGTCTGTAGTTGGGGCCTCCACGCGAGCCTGGTGGCAATGAGCGATACGACGGAATATCGCAAGCACGGTCTGGCGAGATTCTCAATGGCAGCAGAACAGCTATTGAAAGAAGCTCACCAGTACAGAGGCAAAGTCAAATGGCGGAAAGCGGACGGCGAGTGGGGAGACCTGCATGGATTACAGCACTCCTACGTGCTAGCCACTATGGTATCTAACTTGGAGGAGCATTTCCAGATCTCCCCAGCCACCAAGCCCCTCGATGGGACTCTGCGACTCGTCGCCATTGGCGCTGAACCGGCCTCGGAAATTATGCGAATTCTGCAACTAGCCTACCAATCTGGGAAGCACGTCACAGACCCAAAGGTGACATATGAAGAGATTGAAGGTTTGAGGATGGAATTTGATGAGGAAGAAGAACGGTGGAGGATGGTTTGCGTCGACGGGAAGATTGTCGCAGCAACACAAGGCGGCTGGGTCGAAGTCACCAGGATCCCCGCAACAGGCATGGATGCGAGACGAGTCGTCGAACTAGTGTGCTGAGGAGGTCGAGAGGAGATTCTAGGGCGAAGGCAGTGTCTGCATGCAGAGTATTCTTGTTTGCACGGCATCCCTGCTAAGTGGCCGGGTGGTCATACACAACATGTGAGCTTATGCAACAACCTTGACGGAATGAATGTTGAGGCTCATTCCATACCCCCAACATCTTCCAAATCGATAAAATAGAACCATAAAACGACCACTCCCCTGGCTGACGAAGGAGATACAAATTGGTACCGAGTACCTCGTAGAAGGTGGGGAGACTGAATATGTGACACGTGATAACATGTGAGCAGGTGGTTGAAGCGCGCTTTCCCTTTTTGGGACGGAGCAGCCGAGTATCCGCTTGCCGCGCTGACGTTCCAATTGACCTTTTGTCTGGCTTCGCATCGGCAGCAGTAAAGCAGGCTTCCCTCATCAGCCGACACTCAAATAGCCAGCCTGTCCACAGACCGTCGTCGATCGCCACAGTCTTGAGGACAATCCCTCCTTGTCCGATCCATCTTCTGGCCGGCCCGCTCGGAATATAGCGCAGCTATAGGAAACGGCAGCAATGCCCGCGTAACGTCTCCAGCTGAACCTTCTAGTGAGACCACAGTCAGCCTTATCAACGTTCCTACGCTACTACGTCTTTGTCTCAGAAAACAAAAAGGGGGCGCCTTTGGCAGTCTGAGGGTGCATCCCTCGCTCGATCAACGCAAGAAACCCAAAAGTTGAACAATAACCCACTGTCGCAAACATGGGTGGTTGGGGTATGTCACATCTTAGTCCGCCTTGGGCATCCTCGCTAATCGAAAACTTCTCATCCAGGCCTCTTCTTCTTCCTCCTCTTCCTCCTTCTAATCTTCGCGGTTGTCGGATGGGTCGTTTACACACAATATAGGGCCCGCAAGCAAGGGCTCCCCGCACCTTCCCTCAAGTCATGGAAAACTTACATCCCGTTCCTTAAACCTCAAGCCTCCTCGAATTACCCTGCTCCTCGACATGCAGGACCATTGGAATGGGCTAGAGATCAGTTCGCCAAGCTGACCAGAAGACGCACCGCCAGGGGAGCCTACGAAGAAGCCGGAAGTGGTACTGATGGGCTAGTGCCTGGTGCTGCTAGAGGGGCCAGGGGAGGCAGAGGGGTGGAAGACGATGCGTGGGATACGCGTGTAGGGAACGAAGACCCCTATGGGCCAGGAGTGAGTTATTCGGGGTATGAAGAGCAGGAACTTGGCTTGGCCCCGACACCGGGATTGCAGAATGAACCTTACGGCGGCGGCGCCCGCGGAGGTACTGGGGGGGACTATTTGGGTGCCAGGGGAAGCGCGGGGTATTCCGACGTCGATGTGACTGGACGTGGCCGGCCGGGCAGTTCTTCAAGAGATAATCCCTTTGGCGATCAGCATGAGGCGACGCCGAGGCTGAGGAGCGTGAGCCCCAGACCGGAGCCGGAGGGAAGCACCGCAAAGGGTCATACGAAGGGGAACCAGAGTCTCGACACCCAGGGTAGCGGAGACGGGAATTCGAGTCCGATCAGCACCAGGAAAAGCGTCTTTCGCGAAGGGATCTAGAAGCGGCGGCGACGATGACGACGACGACGACAGATTGCACGGGATTATGAGGCGGGAATGACAGATGTGATGAAAAGGACCCAAAGGCTAGGTCGCGTCGAGTCATTTTGGTGCAGTGCTTGAATCTGTACGTGCTTGGAGAGAAAATAAAGACGACACGACACGAACATGGGTCAAATTTCCCTCGTTGGCGAGAGACGAGAGTCAAAGTTGGATATTCTGCGCGTCAACACGGTCACTCGAGGGGGCGGGAAATTCTAGCAAAGCTTTCGATGATTTTCATTGACCACCCAAAATCTCGGAGTTAGATAGGTCTTAATGGGTTATTGCGTGCATGCTCGGAAACCTACCAGCACGCTCGCCAGGTACCACGAAGCGATACGTAGGGAGGGAAAATACGATTAATGATGACTGCAAAGGACAAAGATATCCTACCGGCCCTTTTTTCTCTCTCTCTCTTCATTTGACTCTCTATCTCTCTCATCTTTGTCTCTATCTGTCGTATTTTGGAATACCATGGATGTCATGTGCCCGTTCGTTATCCTGTTCTGTTCTCTGGCCGCCTGATTCGATGCCGAGGGGAGCTCGTGTCCGGTATACCTAGTTCATGGCTGGAGATGGTGGACATGGCACTCGTGGATTCGTGTGTTGACATCGACGCCAATCCCTCGTTCAGCTGCGTATACTGCGTATAACGTCCCCGTCTCTTCTTGGTGGGCAGGCAGTATTGTCCAACTACAGATCCACGACTCGGGGCTTGTTCGACAATCGGGTTGTCGTCTGGTACGCCAGGGAGCCATTGATCATATATCCGCCCTGCCTGGCGCCTCCCCACAGCCTTGTCCACATTAGACCTCTGACATCTGCGATGATGCATTTCAGGCCTTTCACCCACAACGGCACATCCAGCAGCTCGGTCAATGGTATGCGATGGCTCGCAGGTATCTCTGCGGGCTTGTTGTATGCGGTGGCCAGAAACTCTTCAAAGGCATGTTGGCTGTCGTCCCACCAGACGGGTTCGACGCCATGACCAGAATGGATATGTCCAAACGCATGCAATGTGGGCTTGACGCGCCAAACTTCCTTCAACTCGAACTCATCACCCAGGCCCCCGCTGGTTGGCAAATCTAGGTGCCATTTCGGCGGGTTGTGCGTGACCAGGACATCCACGTCGTCGGGAATCGTACCACTCCAAGCATCTTGGCCTCTGTTATATTGAAATGCAAATTCTCTGCCCCCGCACTTGGGTATTTGTGGAGCACCATAGACATTCAAGAAGCGACCACCAGGAAACCGGAGGGTGACTGACGTGTGCTGTAGGTAGTGAATCTTGCCCCAGTCCAGTTGGCGGTACGCCCGGCTCTTGTCCTGTGCGCATCGGGAGCGCTCGTCGAAGTAGCTGTCGTGATTCCCGGCCACCACTACGATATGGCGAAACCCATCGGAGGAGCCGTGCCAGGGCTTTTGTAGCGTCTTTAGCCAGTCGATGGTTTGCTGGATGGAGGAGAGCGAGCCGGTGTTTGTGAGGTCTCCGGAGTGGATTAGCAGATCGCCCTTGGGGATCGCGGTGCGTGGGATTTGGCTATGGGTATCGGAGAGGCAGACGACGCGGATAGGGATTTTATGTTTGGGTGTGATGTAGGACGGACCACGGAGGTAGAGAAGGATGTGGTGGAAGAAGGTAAAGCAGGTGGTTACAGGGTGGTAGATGAGCTGATAGATGAGAGAGGGAGGTGCGAAATGCGAGTCGGGAGGCGAGAAGAGACCCATTTCTGGTGTAGATAGGACAGCTGAGTCCAAGGGCGAGATACAGTACTATTGAGCGAGCTCCTCGCTTTCCCGCAGGCGGTGTCAGTCGGAGGGATCGCTGTAGCACGCCGTGGCTGGAGAGGTCATGGTGTGCGTTTTCGAAAGCCAACCCGTCTCTGGGGCTCCGATGAGGAATGACAGCCTGAGGACCTACAAACCACTCTTCAGCGGATCTCTTGATTGCCGCCGTAGGTCCTCCGTAGGTAGGTGGCGACAAGACGGAGTGCGAACTTGGGTGCTTGTGCGCAGGTGGTGAGTTTTGGGATGCCCAGGGACGCAGCTCAATCTTGGTCGTTGGTCAGTGAAACGAATAGCCAGTACATTTACTACGCGCACTCACGTCTGAGCTCGGAATCCCTGGAAGGAGAATGTCCATTTTGTCCACTCGGTCGTGCTCCTTGGTTCATGGCAGGAACAGCATAGAAAAATGTACAAAAGCTTCGTTTGAAGACACAGCACTGTCGTCACTTGCGCCCTCTATCATTCACCCTCCCTCAGCATTGATATCAAACCCAACCATCACAGTCCACCCACCTTAACCCTCCCCGAAGAGACCCCACCATTGCTGCTACTGCCACTGCCTCTGCCTCTGCCTCTGCCTCTGCCTCTGCCTCTGCCTCTGAGAATCACATAACTCTCCTGCTCTACCAGTGACGGGATCCATCGTCATTGGCAGGTTCCCGCAGGTCCCCAGCAACCCAAATCGATATCACCATCGCCGCCATCTCCCGCTCATACAGCACCATCTGGCCAGCTCCGAACTCGTTCCTTGTCCTCCGGCTCGATTCGATCTCCTCCAGCATTCCGCGCTCTCTTCAATCTTTGGGAAGTTGACAGAAGTCACCCGCCCATGTTCCTCGACCCTAAGCCGTCGCCTTCGCCCTCGCCCTCGTTGTCGAGGTGCCTGATCGAGTAGCCGCCGGCGCGTTGGTTGGGTGCCCTGCCGTCCGGTCCGCGAATCACATCCGCCAACTCGCAGCACGCAGCTTTCAGTGCCCACTTTACATTTGTCTCATCGGGGCCTCTGCTCGACTCGATAAAGAGAGTGAGGCCGCCGCAGCCGCAGCCGCAGCCGCAGTCGCAGGCCCTGGGGACTGCTGGAAACGTGACAGGTCTAAAAGGGGACAAGACACACAAACAGACACGCACAGATTAGACATAACATCATCCCGCCTGTACCGTCAGCATTCTTTCTTACATTACAGGGCGTGGTCCGATCCCTCCGAAGCGAAAGCGAAGATTCGAACCCGCCGCGCCCTGAATTGCCAGAATAGCCAGAATAGCCAGAACAGCCCACCAGAACCAGCAAGAGATCCACCGCCATCTGGCAACTGGGATTCTGCACGCCGCCGTAACCACACTGCCACTGCCTCTGCCACTGCCACGCCCACGACGCACTGCGTCAATCCTCTGACGCTCGCAGATCCTGTCACGGTCACGGTCACCCATCACACACCAGGCCAGCTCGGGCTTAACCCTCGTGGCCCAACTGCGCCCAAAAAAGCCATCCCCTTCTAATCTCGACTGTCAACCTCGAAATATCTTCCACAATTCCTCCATTATCGGAAGCTGGCCCTGCAAAGGGACCAGGCTCTCAACATTCCCATAACTTGTTGGCCGCAAACGCCGCCGTCTTCGCGATGATGAATGGCACCGACCTCAAGAAAGCCGCCATCAGCCAGGCCAAGAAGGTTGCGACAACCGCAGCCCTCGCAGCAAACGGAAACGGCCAGAAGAAACGGCGGAAAGGCGACAATCTCAAGCCCATCATCACAACCGAGAACGCGACCTCGTCGAGTCTTCATGATAGCCCCACTCCAGCCGACCCAGAGTAAGTCACTTGCTCCAGTCACTTCGTCACTCCTCCCTTGTCACCTGCAATGCCTCTACCTCGTCCACGCCGCTTTTGTCATCCTTGCTGCACATGACGCCGTGATTGATCGCAGATGCAATAATGTCTTGTCCCTTTTCTCGAATACATCTGCTTTCAAACTGATCGTCCTCCTCCCTCAGCGCCATGGATTCGCCTCTACCTCACGCGAAGGCCCCTGCAAATAACTCACATCTTAACAGATCTCCCTCTTCTTCCACCTCCGAAGACGACCCCGCCGAAACCACGGCCGACGAAGAAGACTCCGAAGATTACTGCAAGGGTGGATACCACCCCGTCCATGTGGGCGAAACATACAACAATGGCAGATATGTGGTGGTGCGGAAGTTGGGCTGGGGTCATTTCTCCACCGTCTGGCTGTCAAGAGATACGACGACCGGAAAACATGTCGCCCTGAAGGTGGTTAGGTCGGCGGCGCATTACACAGAAACAGCCATCGACGAGATCAAGTTATTAAACAAAGTCGTCCAGGCAAACCCAAATCACCCTGGTCGGAGATATGTCGTCAGCCTCCTCGATTCCTTCGAACACAAGGGCCCCAACGGTGTCCACGTGTGTATGGTCTTTGAAGTCTTGGGAGAAAATCTGCTGGGCCTCATCAAGAGATGGAACCATCGGGGCATCCCGATGCCATTGGTTAAACAGATCACCAAACAAGTGCTTCTGGGGCTAGACTATCTGCATCGCGAATGTGGCATCATCCATACTGATTTGAAGCCCGAAAATGTCCTCATTGAGATCGGCGACGTCGAACAAATCGTCAAGGCATTTGTCAAAGACGAGAAAGAGACGACAAAAGATGACAACAGAAACGGACGGAGACGCAGACGAACTCTGATCACCGGTAGTCAACCTCTCCCCAGTCCGCTCAACGCCAGTTTCACGAGTTTAGATAAGCTGGGGGGCCACCATCACCCCCCCAGTAGCCTGAACCAAGTTATCAATGACTCGGTCTCAAACAAATCGACGGACGGCCTCTCCATGATTGAGCAACTCAAGCTGAAAGCCAAAGAGAACAGGGCGAATGAGGAACAGTCTGCCAGTGGCAAAGCGAGAGAAGGCACGACAGATCCGCTCGAAAAGGATTTGGCTGGGGTTTCGCTCGACAACAAGAAGTCGTCAGATGTGGACAAAGTGTTGAAGGCGGTCAAAAATGAAGACGAACCGGTGAGCGAGATTATTTCCGTCAAGATCGCAGACCTGGGGAATGCCTGCTGGGTGGGCCATCATTTCACGAACGATATTCAGACCCGGCAATATCGATCGCCCGAAGTGATACTGGGTGCCAAATGGGGCGCCAGTACAGATGTGTGGAGTATGGCATGCATGGTACGCTCCAAGCAGTGGAAATTTGTCGGCCAAAACTAACAGACCCCAGGTATTTGAACTGATAACAGGCGACTACCTCTTTGACCCGCAGTCTGGAACCAAGTACGGCAAAGACGACGACCATATCGCGCAGATTATCGAATTGCTGGGTCCATTCCCGAAATCGTTGTGTCTGTCAGGGAAGTGGTCACAAGAGATCTTCAATCGCAAAGGCGAGCTGCGCAACATTCATCGATTGCGGCACTGGGCCCTCCCCGATGTGCTGCGGGAGAAATATCATTTCTCTGTGGAGGAGGCCAAGCGGATTAGTGATTTTTTGACCCCCATGCTCGAACTACCGCCCGAAGCCCGTGCAAACGCGGGTGGGATGTCGAATTCGGAGTTCTTGAAGGGCGTCAAGGGCATGGACAACGTCAATGTGGATGTCCCTGTTGGATCGAAAGGCGAAGGGATTGAAGGTTGGGCATGTGAGGTTAAAAAGCGATGATCCGGGTCCAGGCTTGCACACCACGAACCACTGAACCAGGGGGTCGAGCCTTCTGCAAGGATTGCCGGGGTGGCAATGATGTGATATGTATCAGATTTTGGCACGCACTCGGGGTGCTTTCTCATCTGAAGGTGTCTTGTGAATGAATGCGAATGAATCGAGCACGATCGCTGGACCAAGAAATGAGGCGCAAATACACGGTTTTCACGTACAGAATAAATGACTACTTTTGGCGGGCTGGATGGCTTTGCCTGGCTGCTTTGCGACGACCCATGGACAACAGACTGGATCATTTTTGGTTGCGAGGAGTGATGCCTTCATCATTCTATACTTTTTTGGGGGTGGCATGGATGGTCATGAGAAATGATGCCCAGGAGTCTCTACCAAGTACTTATTCATGGTATTATGGTCAAGATCTTTTGTTTATCGTTCCACCGCCTTGGTTCTCTTGCCGAGCGGGGCCCCCCTCTTTCCTTGAGAGCGAGCCGCCCATCCCGCCTATTCTCCAAGTAATTGGATAGATGACGATTTGCAGAATGTTCCAGTCCATCTTCGACAACGAGAATGTGACGTGACTCGTAATACCTCGTCGAGCATGCAAAGAGGGAGGGCCGGATTTGGCTAGCGCGGCTCTCTGACACGGACTAATCAGAGGACTAAACGGGCTTCCGGATCGGGACTTCCGGGTCTCGCCTAAACTTGTTTTGAACCTTCGTGCTTCCTCATGCTTCCTCCTTGTTCATCTCGTACCTCTTTCAAAAGCCATACCAGACGCCAAGCATCACGCCAGCCTCTTCAGAGTGCTGTGTGATCCCCCCGGTTCCCCGATCAGGACTCCATACTGTGCCAAGCACAAGTACAACAGCTGTCCTTGCTCGAGGCTTAACCAGTGTCACAACTCATGTTTGCCCAAGTACGGCTGGCCAAAGTGAGAGAGACCTACTTGTGACCTGTACAAGTCCAAGTACGCTCGCCGAAAATGCTCTGCGTCTCGCCCCTCCGTCCGTGTGCGCGCTTTCCTCCTCTTTCTCACATCGGCCCATGGAACACCTCGCGTCAGGCTGCTCTTCAGAGCATAGTGGGGCTGATTTAGATCATAAAAGCGATCCCTTTTGCGGGAAGCATCTAACGACTCTTGCTCTGGCTCACAGGTAAAGAACTATTCCGGGGTAAGGTGGGTGCGTCTTGTGACCAGTAGCAGTTAGCACATTGGCTAGTCGCCTGAGCGACCTTAACAGTCAGGAGCCTTCTTCCCCGGTCGGTATATTGACCTATAGGGGCGCGAATGGCCCGGCCCTTCTCGATCTATGATATGACCATTGCATGGCTCAGATGATTCCAAGGATTCTTGGCATGCCCAATTAGGAACAATACGAGTGTTGTTTTCGTCGCCGAGCTCGAGAGCCTCAAAGCCAGGTCCAGCCTTGGTCGACTTGCGTCTCCTCAACAGAAAATACGAACGTCTCCTGATTCGGTCACGAGCCTCAATCCCTTCTCGGGGTTCAAAATTGAACATATCTAGGCGGTCAAGGCCGAGTCAGCAGTTATGTCCTCGTTGATACTTTATCTGCCAGAAATGAAAAGTAGCACAACTACGACACGAAACTTAACTATTATCTTAATCAAGCTACAATTATAGTAGAGCAACCCAGCCTCCAACTACCGAACCCAACTTCAAACTAAAGCAAACTCACGCGAATGGATCCCGATAGCACGATGGTGCTGGAGCGCCCGAGGGGTGCTTCGTACTGGGAAGTCCAACGGCACCAGCCACAGCGGTTTTCCCCGCCATTCCCACAGCAACCTCCGGAAGAGCCAGTTAACAACCTCGTAGGCGTATTGAAGGGCAAATCGATCAAAAAATTTGAAGAAGCCTGGAAAGATATGGTCGAGGTACAGAAACACGAACACGAATCACAAAAATGCACCGACGCAGCCAACGAGATCGACACCGCGTTAGAGGTGTCATCCGATATGCTTCCTCCTAAATTTCGCCGCTCTCCCGTTTACCACCTCATGAGGAGGGAGTCCTTAGAGAACCGGCATAAGTCAGAGCAGGAATTTCAAGAAGCACTCAATATGCACAACAAGGCGTCGTACGAGAAGGGGCAGGCGGAAACCTACAAGGAGGACGCGCAAACACTGGAGGACGAGCTGACGAAGAAGAAAAAGTGCAGCTGCAAGAGTAAATGCTGCCATTGCCACAAGAAACCACCAACGACGATCGTCGTGTCGCCATTCACGAGAACCACGTGGAATTGGTTCGCAAGTTGAAACAGCCAGCATGGAAAACGGCGAGGTCGCAGAGCTCGGCAAAATCGACGTGGGCAATCTTTTCGACCAAGTGAGCACATATGGAGTGGTGTTCACGGGGATTGACTGAGTCTTTCTCTTTCTCCTAACCGTGGCCAGAGGTGACGGACGAATGTGGAGTGTGTGTGTGAAAAGGGTTGGGATGAATACGCTGTTCTATCCTCTGCTTCAGACAAGGATACGGATTGAAGCGCTGCCACGCTGCCACGCTGCTCACAAAATAGCGCTCAATCTCTCAATTTCACGGCATGCACAAATCCGGGACATTGCCAGATTACGAGAGCTAATTCGGCTAGAAGATGTGGGCATTGCGGTCAAGTCGAGCAGCCTTTTCGGGTCCCCTTTGTTCCCTTAGGCTCTAGTTTAGCTCCATACAGTGAAAGATAAATGAGATTTAATTCCGATCCCCATTACTTCTACCTTTGTTTGAGAGCTACTGCCTTGTCACCTAACAGGGTTAGGTTCCTCAGTAACAGATCCTTTATAAGTATAGAACTAAGTGGGGAAAGCGCAAGGTATGAGTACTTGTAGTCGTGTTACCGAGAACAGTATGGTTCGGTAGATATCACGAATTGGCCACGAAAAGAGTGTAACTATGGAGGGGGAGAGGGTGTGGCTACATACCCATGAGGGTCTTCCGAATGAGGCAATGTAGAATGATATGTTGGTCTGTTGGTCTGCTGGTGTGCCAATGTGCCAGCATACCAACATGCCAGTGTCTCTTTCCTTTCCTGAACGTTACGTGACTAATCCTCGTCTTGCTCCTAAGGCTACCTTGCTCAGTTGACCTTCCTTTCCGGCTGTGCCCTGCGTTTGCCGTGGCCGCATGAAAGGCTATGTCTAATACCAGATCTCTCTCTATCCCACGCCCTATCGGTTAGGGAGAGCCTTAATCGGCTGCGGGTGACGGCGTCACGGACATGGAGCGGCTTACAGAGCCCGTGAACGATAATACTGTATTGGCCGTAAGTCCTTATCCAAGGAAGAGATAGAGAATAAATTCACTTTCCAGTCAAGACGCAATGAACAAGAGGCGTAGTTCGAGAATACTTAGGCTTAGTGTGTTTCTCCATTAACTACTAACGACTACCACTCCGGTAAGTTCTATATCGATGCTATAAAGTCTCACTCTAATTCTAATATAGAGTTACAGAAAGTGTCTATATATTAGGGACCTACGCAACGCAGTAGATATAAAGGAATTAGAGTAGCTAAATACCTTGTTCTATTCACGTAGCCCTATTGACAACGACTCAACGCTTAAGAAAAAGGAAGAGTTCTCTCTCAGCCGATTCAGGTGAGAGAAGACTCTTATAGCTTCCTCTCTTTCTGTTACGTGAAAAGAGTAAGGCAGCGTTAACCGATAGCCTTGTGTCTTAACCGTTCTTTGTCTTATTCTTTTCTTTTCTTTCTATACCGTTCACTCGATTCGGGTGAAGAGCGTAGAGTACTTAGGGATAACGGTGGGCTCGTGATAGTTACCTCCCCTCTAAAAAGCGGCTCGCTCTCGAGTCGCTGCGAGTATAAAGATAGTCTTAATTCATCGTATAAATAGGCCGTCTTAATTATTAATGACGAAGACAATAATATAATAGTTAAATAGTTATTCACTAATAATAGTAAGTAATTAAATTCCCATTTAATTTAGGTGAGATAGTCGTTTTATATTATTACAGTAATACGGGTGAGGTTTAATTCACTTTAGCCTTTGCTTTGGTTCTTAAGCTCTTTACTATGGTCTTCTTCGTCTCTTTCTTCCTCGTTTAGATTAATTATAAGATATATAAGTATTATTTATCTAACTCGGGTGAGAGACGTTACTAATATATATATAGTCTCTTATATACGAGGAAGTCCGACTAGACGCTTAGTTCTAGTTAGACTATGGTGCTAGTCTTATTAATAAGAATTATGAGTTCTATAATATTAGAATAATAATAGCGTACTGACGAAAGAAGCGCTTTCCGTGGTTTTACGGATTCTCCGTCTATTTCTAGCTCTAAGCTAGTTTCTTCTATCTTGCCCTACGACTAGACTTAGTCTAAGTCGTATAGGTTTTATTTTCGTTCCCGGCTTAGCGCTAATTACGTTACCGTGAGTGAGAATTTAGCTAAGGTTAATAGTATACTAAATAAATTAGATCTCCGTTAATCTATAGATAGATTATCGTGCTCTCTAAGCTTTTATCGAGAGAGTAATTTTCGTTGCTAGTAGTAGTTCGGCTATTTTAGCCGATTAGATATAAATATTTCTTATTCGATTCGAGTAATGAATTACTAATATCTATTTTAGGGAATAACTTAAGTTCTAAGTATAGGGGCTTAAGCTTATATTTCGAAAAGCTAACTGTACTTATAAGGTTAGCGGCGATACCGATCTCTTCGATCTTAGAGAGATTTAGTATTTACTAGACGTCTTAATAAACGTTTTTATCTTTTATTAGTAATATTAAGAGATAAAGGAATAATACTAATTAGAATAGTGGCTTCCTCTCTCCCGGCTCCTTCTATCTTCGTTAATAACGATGAGAAGAATTTTAGCTCGGGTTTCGATATACTTATTCTTTCTACTCGATTCGAGTGAGAAATTACTAATAGTAAAATAGACTAAAGTACTAGTTATTTTAGTAACTTCTTCTCTTCTCTCTCCTCTTCTCCGGCTTCGCCGGTCTTAAAGAAGACTATTATCTCTTTCTTCTCTTTCGCTATCGCCGTCCGCGCTCGTTAGAGAGTACCGGACGTATAGTTAGCTACTCTTCGCGATCTTAAAATATAAGTTAAATATATAAATTAAGAACGTCTCTAGATCTATGGTCGCTAAGATAACGATGTCTCTAGACGACGTCGTTCTTCTTATTTATGGTACTAATTGTTCAAAGAACTTAGAGAACTATCTAATGTATAGATAGTAAGGCTCATATAGATCGTAAACCTTATAGGTAGGTAAGTGACTATTAAAGAACTT